TAATATGAATAACAAAAAGAATATGTATCATAATTTTTATGCAAGTCAAAGTCACATGATAGAATACCCCAAATTATATATCCGTTTGTATCCCCAAATACTCACATACAGTGATCGAAGCATGAGATTTGAGAAGATAATGCAAATTGAGAACGTCGAATTGGTTATAACATTGGGACGTAAGGACCCAACTTTAATTCTTGGGGGAGGATAGTGTTGGAAAATCTATGATGCAAATTCTAAATATCAGTGGTTTCGGCGAGACTAAACTACGTGGACGACATTTGAACGAATCTTAGATGACCTTGAGAAATATTAGCCAATCAGGAGAAAGTTAGTATACAGTAAAAATATAGTGTACAAAACTCAAAAATTAAAGGGGATACTGTTCTTTTACATGACTCAAAAACTTATCAAGGTTAGATATAGATTCGGAAGTTCTAAAATCATAGTGCATCCGGTACAGGAACTCATCCATGTGGCTCCGTAGTAGTCGACCTCTGGAACCATGATAAGGTCTCAAAAGTTCTTTTAGCCTCAACCACATAGCTTCAATGTTGTTGGTATGGTTTGGGGTTAGAGTTAAGGTTTAGGGTTAAGGACGAGACTGTAAACTATGGAAGACCTTTGAGCGACGCTAGAGTGACTCTGAGAGTGTCAACATAATAAGTAAGACTAAATGAGGATTATAAACCTGTGTGAAGAATTCAAATTATGATTTACAGCTCATGGTTAAGGTTAGGAAATACACTTAGGATTTTCATCACGAACTGATATCAACTACAATGCCAAAACTCTATTTATGCATCAGATAATTGAATTTCGCGCCAAAATCTTATGATATCTCTTATCTTGCAGACGCTGAATTATCACATCTCTATAATCCGTTGTGAACCGACCGTACGTAAACATCAGCTACCGAACTTAGCGATTTGACCTTGAAAACCCGCGAAAGCTTCTGATTGGCTCGTCCGTATAGTTTGGTCTCGCCAACTTAAAAAGAAGACGTACAATCGATTACAGACACTTACACTCCAATTTGAGCTGTGACGGATGTGTTGTTTGAATGAATCAATGATTATTTTCTATTGATGACTGCTTTGATTTTGAATTCCAAATACAGTAAAATCGTTCGTGTTCATCTAATAATTCTCGATTAAATTGCGTTGTTGCTGAGATTACTAGTTTATACAATAATTCAAACACTTCAAATCATCACACGTAGCCAATCGAATTTCAAAAATTAGTGGTCTAATTAAAGTAGATCCCTTGAGATATATGCCTTCCGAGGTGAACACAGCAGATGTGGAATATGCAGATTTGAGTTTCAGAGACACTGGTGTTGTAGGGGTAGCGAAATGTCACTGAGCCCTAGCTCAACCATCCGGCATTTAGGTCATTGAATATCGAACAAATCATCGATGTCTGTCAAAGTCAAGGACAACCACGCACATCAGTTAATCGTAAACCATGAACTGACGTATGCGGCGCTGGTCTCGCTCTCATCTTTGCACTCATTCTTACCAACATATTTCTGTAATAACGTTCTTTAAGTCATGTGGCTCTTCAAAGCAGACATAGTACTTTAATACGTCGAAGTAGTAATCCACGTCAGATGCTGACCGCGAGGTGTGACTTCGAAGTTAGCTGGTTCGTCACTCAGTCCCCGTCTAACTCGAGTAGGCGTCAAATCATTCGACGGAGATCGTCAACTTTGATGGCCTTCAGTGTCAAGATGTCAAAACTTCATGAAAAAACTCAAGGAGTAAGGCAAATTATAGATGTACAACCATGGCCTTGTCATCATCCATCGGTGATGTTTGGGAATGATGATTGACTTTCAGTTGAGATACAATAACTGGTTTCCCGAACCTTTAGGTCTATAAATCAGTTGAAGTTGTCAAAAATTGGTTTTATTGGAAGACAATTCACACATGTTTCCATATTTGATTCTGGAATCCTGGGACATCTAAATAAGTCTTACTTCAAACATTTCGAAATCAGTAAGAATGAGAAACTGTACACTACTGAAGTTACCACCAGTATTCGAGTTTGGCAACTCTTTACCAGTAACATAATCGAATCGTACCCACCCAGTTAAAATCAGAAGCGTGGAGGTTGGGAGATATATTTGATGAGTTATCAATATATCGAGAAGTGACTGATCTAATCTGGCTGATGATCATAGGAGATGCTTCGCACGCCGTTCTGAAACGTGATCTAATACTAATGCATGACTGAGCGTCTTCAGCTAAATGAGTTCACTAAAAATAATGTGGTCAGCATCCAATGTTGAACACTTACAGAGCTATTGATTTTGGGAATTTATATACAGCAACAGATCCATCCCCCCTAGTGAGGTAGTGATGCCCCTACGACGTGGTCAGCCAGAAGCTTAAACCTGACAGGTTTGTTGTTGGCAAAAACTCTTCCGATAGCTTGCTATGTTTAGCAGCGTCTGGTCATCTTTCCTTACTATAACGAGCCATGAAATACAGTATAGTAATCGTAAATCAAAGTACAATCGAAATCTCAGTTCTTCCTAAACTTTATCGTTATTTTTGCAACAGTCCTGGACAAGAAAAACAATAGAACGTGTGAGTGCATGTCTAAATACACTCGTACGCGTAAAGACACAAAGTGATATGACTACCTTCTAAATATGCTGCTTTGATGTTGTCGATGCTGATGCTATCGTTTGTGCCGTTCTTATCAATTATATAGTACTTAGGTTCACGCTGAAGAACTTTGAAGGGTCCTTTGTATGCTGATTCGAGGGGTTGTCGATCTGAGTCTGGATGTACGAAGACATGTGTACGGTATCTTAAGTCATGTTGAACGAAAACATCAGTCGATTGAGGTAGAGTGGGGACAGGTTTAACTGTACGCATTACGTTTGTAAGCCCGCTCACATAGGAGTTTAGATCCATATTCACTAAAGAAGATGAAGGATCCTCGAGTTCTCCTGGAAGACGAAGTGTCGTTCCATGAATGAGTTAAGCTGCAGTGTATGGAATGTCAGCTTTCACTGCATTGCGGATACCTAATAAGACGAATGGAAGAGCATCGGTACTCTGTAAAGCGTCTGCAGTCGATAGTAAGGCTTTTAGTTGTCGGTGAAAGCGTTCTACCAACCTGTTTGCTTGTGGGTGGTAGGCGGTCGTTCGGCAGCGAGTGATTCCTGGTACTGTGGTCAGACAACGGAAATGTTCAGATTCGAACTGGTGTCCGTGGTCTGCAGTGATGGTTGAAGGCCAGTCTAAGTTTGCTATCCATCGTTCGACGAAAGCGCGGACAACTGTCTCAGCAGTAATGTCCCTGATAGGTAATGCTTTTGACCATCGATTGAAATGGTCTACTCAGGTTGAAAGATAAAAGTGTTCATTTAAATCTGTCAAAGGTCCCACCTCAATTGGGCGATCCCTACATGTAGATGTGTCACATAGTATGGTTTCGTTACCTGTTTCCGTCCGCTTAATGCGCACTTCAGGGTTTTTGGAAGATAACACGTGCTGAGGATCAGTGTCTTCCTTTTAAGCTGGATGAGTTTAATAAGGTAGATTCTTTGGAAAATGTTCAAGGAAGTTATATGAGACAAGGCGTCTGTAACCACAATGTTTGCTCTAGAAATGTGTTGTATATTTGAAACAAACTGCGAAATGTAGTCCAGTTGTCGAGACTCTCGAGGTGAGTACTTGTCGGAGGATGAGCTTAAAGAGAAGGTAAGAGGTTTATGATCGGTAAAGTGTTAATTCTCTTCTTTCGAAAGTGTTGGAAATACCGTACAGCACAATACATAGCTAGGAGTTCCCTACCGAAAAGGCTATACCTCGATTCAGTGTCTAATAACCGTCTTGAGAAAAATCCTAAAGGTTGCCAAGAGTGGTTAACCCATTGTTGTAAGAGTCTTCCGATTGCTGAGTTGGATGCGTCTACTGCGATACTGATGGGTGCTTGAGTGTCCTGATGTGCTAGCAAGGTTGCCTTTTCAATATGTTCCTTAATTGTGGAGAACGCTTTTCGCATTGATGGGTTTCGCATTTCCACGAAGTTGGTCGGTTAGCGATTTCATGAGGGATGCGCATTTTGGTATGAACGGTCTATAGAGACTTACGAGACCGTTAAATGTGCGCAATCGCTCAATTGTGGTCGGTTTTGTGTAATCCACTTTCCTTTTTAGAGGTCGGATGTCTTGAGAATCAATGGTGTGTCCTAGGAAGTCTAAGGAGTTGGCTCCGATTTGGCATTTCTGAATGTTTTCAGTAATGCTATGCCATCGAAAACAATGTCCAGATGCTGGGGGTGGGATTCTCTGTTCGGGCTTGCTATCAGGCAATCATCAACGTACGCATGTACCAAAATTAGTAGAGTCCAAAAGGAGTTATGATAGCGGTTTTTGGAATATCGTCAGTAGCCATAGGGATTTGGTTATAGGCTTTAACCAAGTCGATTTTCGAAAAGGTAGCTGTCAAAACGTGAATGTAGGGCAACGAGTAACGATCGGTAATGGATTTAGCATTCAGACGCCAATAATTACCAGCTGGACGCCAATTGTTGGTGTTCTTTTTAGGGACCATGTGCAAAGGAGATAACCACGGGCTATTTGATGGTCGAATGATTCGTAACTCTATCGTGTGATCGAATTCGTTTTTAGCCAACCTTAGCTTTCGGGAATGTACCACAAATGTAAGAGAATTAGAAAAAAATTGTGAACCCACAGAAAATATAGAATTGGAAGAGTCTTTCAACAAGTTATCCGGTTGATATATCCTGACGAATCTTTTTACATAAACTGGTGATCACAAAAATACAGATCGTACGATTGTTGGATTTTCGTTAAGTTTTCAACTCAATAGATTATTTTATCACGTTGTGTTTCCTCCAAGTGTATAAAGCAAAAAACAGCCATTATCACTTCCATGTAATCCCTTATCCTGACATAAGTCCACATGTGCATAAAGAAATCATGTTGATAATCCTCGTCCTTGAGGGATTAACTATTGAACAGGTGGGCAAAATCAATTATGTTTGAAACATAAGGTAACGTGCTCTTCTTATTTTAGTATCCAGATTCTGTATCGAAATAAAGCGCTTTATGTTGCTAATAGACTACTGGTTGCCTCTTCAGATTATTTATTAATAATTCACTGCTTAAATGACACTTCTAAGAAGTTCACTGTTTATTCCATTCTTCACGATCGTGAGTAATGAGAAATAAAACAATGTAGTCTGATGTATTGAGAATAGCTAAATTTCCACTGTAGATATTATTAAAATTTCGGACTTGGAGCTGCTGATTCTGGGTACTCGGGCTTACTGATTGATCATGTATTTGCAATCGTTGTTTCCAAGTTTAGTATATTCTAAGTAGCGTTGATTTTTTCTCCTCTCACCATATTTAATGGGAAACTCTCTCAAATATCTAGCCAGCTTTCGGAAAGCAAACTTATGTTGGCTTCTACCTTGTATTTATCTTAACCATACCACCATGAGAGTATCAAGTTTCATATGACAATTCAGTAGTGTGCATTTCATTTTGACTGCCCTTGTTTATTTGTACTTATTATTTTATTGTCGATGTATTTACCATCCGTTTTCTGACAATCCCGCGCTGATATTTCGATCAGTAAAGAAATGATAACTTCACGATTTAATGTCAACACCTGAACTAAGGATAGGGAGTGAAGTAGTCGAACGCGTAGACAACTTCACTTAACTTGGAAGTCTGATCAGCCCTAATGGGTTGGTGTTTGACGAAATCTCAGCACGGATTGAAAAAGCTCGTTTGGCTTTTGCCAACTTCACCTATGGCGAAGACGAGATATCCGTCTATCAATTAAGGGACGAGTATACTGCGCAGCAGTTCGCTCTGTTCCACTTTACTGGTTCACAAAAATCAATATGAGCTTCACAGTATTGGTATGTTCGATATATTTCATTGGAAAATATTTTCATTGGTTGAAACAAATATCCATTCTGAGATTCACTCTTAAAATACTTGTACTTATTTATACATAAACATTGGTACAAGGGTGCACCAAATATATATGCGTCACACAAATCGAATGATTTATGTAAGGACTGGTATACTTCCCGAGTGCCCAAACAGGAGGTGGTTTTCTTGGGAGGGGGGCACGCCCTTAGCTTTTGACCTACGAGTCTAATCGACAAGGCAGTGGAGCAACGTAAGGAGATGCAGTCCCATGGTAGCTGGTGACCCACAATTGTCTTATATGTTGTTTGTTTCCCTGTGATTCTGGAGCCCATGTACACCATTGGTTTGGAATCAGGGTTTTCCAACTCCGCCAGGTGGATCCTTTGTATCCACCAACCCAGTTAAAGCGCCGGACATTCCTTCCGATTTCGTAAACAACACCCCCGCCACGAGAAGGCAGTGAGTAGGACCTCCCTGGCGCTGGCGGTATACGCGTGGTCATGTGAGAGCATTTGAAGAGGGAGATCTGACTCTCTCAACCCTCGGCCGTACCAGGGCATTTGGAGGTAAACTACTTGTACATTTGTTATAGTGTAATATAGATCACTTGTTCCCTTCTGGTTTTTAATCTCGTTAGCAAATTTAGCACTCTATATTTGATGACCAAGCCATACTGAGAGAAATATTCACTAGGTTACCAGATCACTTACTGTTTCATTTGTCTACAAGTTCTTATCCCACTGCGTTCTAAGCATTTTGCTCGGAGGTTCAGAAGCCATGGACTTCGTCCATGATCTGTTGGTTAGGACTGTCGCCGTGTTTTTTTTTATTTGTCTTTATTTTGCGTGTTTACGAAAATTTTTTTTCCTGATCGCTTCTAATATTTCGTCTATTTTACCTAACAATTGTCATCCCATTTCATTTTCCTAAATTTTCTACTTAGATACTAAAATCTATGGCTGAGAACAACGAAGCATATTGTCCTCACAATGATTATGTTTCTGAAATCAAGAAAATATTTTCAGATATCCCCTTGTCAGAGTTGGATGACGATACACTAGTCAATAATTTGTTGGAACGGTATGTTCCCATATTATCTGGACTTTACGTCCAGATCTGTTTCCGTCTTACAAGTGATCGACTATGCCATGTCCTATTTTGTTGCTGTAAATTTTATCGGCGGATCGGTTGACGAGTCTTATGAGTTTGATGGATGTTTCCAGTTGGCATTGGAGGATCTGTGCTGTGAAGGCGAATATCCTTTCAGACTTACTAAGTCACTTAGTTTGTTTTGGTTGTGTAAGCGGTTATGCAGGAAAATGTCCATGGTTTCTCAAACTCTTGTATGTTAGGTGTTTTCTCCAACCATGCTTTTGTTTCAGTCATTCCTGTATCATTTGAATTATTTAAAATGCATTTATTTACATCAGTACCTGATTGGTGATGAAAGGTCACCCAAACTAAAAAGTGAATTTCAAGATATTATCAACGTGTGTACGTAATTTGGATATCTAATAGAGTCACTTCCTAGGTGAGGAATGCCTTGATTCTACCCACACTACTGAGGACGTAATTCAGTACTTGATGTTATCATCATATCTGAGTGCTTTCTATTATGAATATGAGGCTTCTAAAACCTTCGCCACAAGATGTTCTCAGTATTTAAATATCGACGTAAAATTTTGTGGTAAACATATCAATTATATATCTCACAAAATCAACAGGTGCCCTAGGTAAATGTACCAGATTCCAGGAAAAGGAAGTTGCAACTCTCACAGTTAAAGTTAACAGAGTGGTTGAAAGTAAGGACAACAAAACTTCAGGTAACTGCCCATTGCCACAGGTAATTGTATTTTACTTTAATATATTTCCTTAAGATAATTTCTCTCGGTGACGATGTACTTCTCAACAATGTAATATTTAGTACAATAGAGGAACAAATTATTCTCTCTAATACTGAGCAGTCTTTCATTTTATTATTGTGGTAAGGTGATTTTTATAACATATGTAAATTTGGCTAGTGAACTTCATCGCCGTCACTATCCACGAGATGATATAACAGAACAGCAGTGTTTAGCTTACATCAATACCGTTATCCGGGCTATTTACCCGGATTCTGAAAATGAAATAAAAAGTAGTTCTTCTTGGCCTATTGCCACAGAAACATTGTTTAGAAGAAGTTTACTGGAACATAATTCTGTTAGAAGAACTGAGCGTGCATTATCTCAGTTAGAGGTAGAAATTCTATTGTATCTTCGACCAGAATGCATTAATTGACTTATTTTAGGAGTTAAGCTGTCAGTTTAAGCGAACTAGTCCGTCGTTTTCTGAGAGATCTCCCAGTACCTTCTTCCTTTCCAGGATGCCGTCTATTTGGACTCTCCAAGTAAGTGACTTATAAGCACTTAACTGTATCTACTTCATTTAAATTTTCTCACACACACAAAGACAGCTTGTATAGATTTATAGGAATCAATCTCAAACGTTTTAAATTATTTTTATTTAATGAGTTACGCTTACTGAAAACCAGCATTAATTAACTAAATTTTCATGTTTGACTGAAAGGATATATGGGCTAAATTGTAATGATTGTTAAGGTAAGTAATATTAACATTATCACGCTTAAGTTTTTATTTGTATACGGCATATTATATTTTAGCTAGTGTGTAGTTTGTTTTAGACATGCTTTTATCAACGCGACTATAAGCGTTTTTTGGCTTAAAAGTAATCACAATCTTTTTAAATATTATTAGCTGTCTCCGCTATGTGGTCATGCTAGGGCCCATTTATTACACACTATTTTATGGCTGCATTTTGTACCACAAAACGGCGAAATATGATTTTTCTAGATGATGTTGAAAGACTTTATTTTCAAGTTTTATGTTATATAGCTACTTTGATAATTTTGCGTAAATGTTATGTCCAGTCGCTTGTCTTTTTCGTAATGAGTCTTTACATATTCCATTACCTAGGACAAAATTTGTTGTACTGATTGATTAAGATGAGTTATTCAAATATCTCGGAACCCATACTTAGACACCACGTCGAAAATTATTTGATGGTAGTGTAATGCTTTTTGCGTATTAGTTTTTTTGGAATTTCCGGGTTGGAGTTGGACGGATGCTATCAAAATGTGCACGTGTATCCGAACACCTCCATTCCATCCGCAATCGAATGGTCAGGTAGAACGTTTTGTTGGTACGTTCAAAATGCTCTAAAAATATCAGAGGGGGAGGGGGGCACCGAAGAGATCTCAGGGAGGTTCTTGTTTATCTGCCGTTCTACACCGAACCCTCAGACAACAAGTGGGGTCTCTCCAGCGGTAGCGTTACTGGGCAGAAAAATACTCACACATTTTGACAGCATCCGTCCGACTCCAGCTCTTAAGCCGCAACGAAATGTGATGATGGAGAAATAGTAAAATCGTCATCATGAGGCACGAAAACGATTATTCAGCGTGGGTCTAAAGGTACTTGCTATGGACTATTGAGGAAAGCATCCTACATGGATAGCTAGTCGGATCGTGCAAAAGAAAGGAAATGTGGTTTACGAGGTGTCCGTTGGTTCAGAAGTCTGGGTGCATCATGCTAACCAACTGAAATCAACCTCGATCGCCAACAACAAAACGCAGCATAGATTACCTCTTGATGTTCTGCTAGACACATTTGAAATCAAAACACCTGAAACAGACAGGACAATCACTGTGCAAACGAAGGATGATACAATGTCCTTATCACCTAAAAGGTGGACAAACCGGAAACACAAACCAGTAAAGCGGTTGCAGGTGAACCATAATAACAGACCCTACGAATTTGCTCAAAGGGGAGGTGTTAGCGGGAAATAAACCGGATTAAGGCATGTTATGTGCATGATCGTGACGGCGCGCGCTGATTGGCTGATTATTGGAGAAGCATATAGAAGCTTCTTATCCATATACTATAAATATATGAACGTTTTTCTAACGATTGATTACTGTTCACCTACCCTTGTTATTTTGAATACAATTTCGTTCCTGCTCAACGTGTTCTGATTTTTGGGGTCTTGTCAAGTGTCATTGTATAAGAATACTAAGCAATAGGAGTAGCTGGGTCGTTTATTAGCAAAACAACTATAACTATGGCGATGGGAAAAGAAACGAAAATTCATTCAAAATGCCGATATCAGACGACCAGCCTAACCGAATGCTGCAACAACAGGAAGCACAACTTGACGCACAAATGCGCTTGTTAGAAACTCTGACGCAACAGCTTAGCATTCACTGCTCGAGTTCACATGCTACTTCAAGTACTTCTTGTGATGTAGTTGCCAGCAGCATCCCATAATTCTATTATGACCCCGAATGTGGAAATACATTTCTCACGTGGTTCAAGCGTTGGGAAGACACATTTAGAATAGAGTTCTGTAAAGAAGATGACGCATGAAAGGCTCAACCGTTGATGCGCAAGTTGGGAAGTCATGAACATGCACGCTATATTGATCATATATTACCAAAGTTACCTCGAGAGCTCAGTTTCGAGGAGACAGCATCTCAACTGTCTGGGATATTCGGTGAATCCTCCTCATTGTTTAGTATTCGCTATCAGTGTCTTAATTTGGTGAAACGAGAAACCGATGAACATGGTGCTCTAGCAGATATCGTTAACAGAGAGTGTGAAAGGTCCAAGTTACACTCGTTGACAGAAGACCAATTTAAATGCCTTATATTCATCAAAGCTCTTCAGACTATGGCATTTGGAGAAAGTATGTTACGATCCAGATTAATGGTATAGCGGCTTGTCTCCAAATTGACACAGCATCCGATATCACCCTAGTGTCTAGAAAAACGTTTAACCTGCTTGGGAAATCGCCAATAAAGCTATCCAAGAAAACGGATAAAAACGCATCTGGATGTCTACTGAAACTAGTTGGTGAATTACAATGTGAATTTTCCTTCAATGGAAATAGCTGTAAAGGGGTATGCTATCTAACAGAACGACCAAACCTTGATCTCCTTGGTCTAGATATGTTAGAAAAACTTGGATTAATAGATAAGCCCATTAACAGTGTCTGAAATGTGTCGTGTTCATCATTGGACACCCCGATACTCGCAAAAGTGCCTGGTGCAAGGTGGCCATGGCAGTTTATACACTTGGACTTTGTTGGTCCACTTGAGGGACGAACTTACCTTCTGGTAGTTTATGCATACAGCAGGTGGCCGGAAATTTTCATCATGGAACATCCAACAGCAAGCTGCACAGTTATAAAACTGTGGCAATTATTCACTCGTTTCGGGTTTCTAGAACAAATAGTCAGCAACAACGGCATACAGTTTACGTCATCTATCTTTTCAGAATTTTGTCAGCAGAACGGAATCAGGCATATGCGAACAAATTTCTTCAAACGATTCATTCATGTAATGATTTACAAAATTGTCTAGAAGCCCAGTGTGTTTGTTTTTAACGAAGCACTGTATAACAATAACAAGTTATATTATTTTGTTTTTGATTTATGTATGTACTACATTTTGAATGAACTAGTACTTACTTACTTACCCCTGTTACCCCTCGTGGAAGAGCACAGACCGCCCACCAGCATACTCTATCCGACTCTGTCCTGGGCAATCCTTTCCGGTTGCTGTTGGTCCTCTTATTATCTGCTTCCAATTCTCAACACAATGTGTTCTTTAGTTTTCCACTTTTATGTTTCCCCTCAGGATGCCAAGATAGCGCTTGCCTCGTGATGCAGTTTGGCGATTTCCTCAATTTATGTCCTATCCACTTCCAACGTCTTCCTCTTCATCTGGAAGCTAGTTTGTCCTCTTCCACAGAAGGCTGTTGCTGATGGTATCCGGACAGTTAATGTTGAGTATTTTGCGTAAACAACTGTTTATGAATACTTGTACACTTTTGATGAATGTAGTAGTTCTCCAAGTTTCAGCTGTCTTGATATTCGTTTTGAAAATGCTGACTTTGATATTGGTTAACAATTGTTTTGAGTCCCATGCGTTCTTCAATTGTAGGGTTGCTCTTCTTGCTTTGCCAATCCTTGCCCTTACATCTGCATCAGATCCTTCTTATTTATCAATGATGCTTCCCAAGTACGTGAATGTCTCCACATCTTTCAGAGTTTCTCCAATAAGTGTGATTGGATTTGTGTTTTCTGTGTTGCATTTGAAGATCTTGATTTTCCCCTTGTGTATGTTGAGGCCTACTGCTGCAGAGACTGCTCCTACACTGTTTGTCTTGACCTACATTTGTTAGTGTGTATGGGATAGAAGAGCTAGGTCATCTAAGAAGTCCAAATAGTCTAGTTACATGCAAGCTTTCCGTTTTATTCCTTACTTCCCCTCAGATGTCAAGGTCTTCATAATCCAATCAACCACCAGGAGAAAGAGAATGAGGGAGAGTAAGCAGCCTTGTCTGACTCCGGTCTTCACTTGGAATGAGTCTGTCAGCTGTCCTCCATGCACGACTTTGCAGTGCAGTTCGTTGTACGAATTCCGTATGATTTTGACGATTTTTTCAGCTACTCACTCCGTAGTGTCAAAAAAGGTTCCATAGGGTTCTTCTATCCACGCAGCCTAACGCTTCCTCATAATCAAGCAAGTTGATTTATAGTGATAAGTTCCATTGAATTGATTGTTCAGCGATAATCCGTAGTGTTGCGATTTGATCTGTGCAAGGCCGATCCTTACGGAATCCGGCCAAACGAACTAGTAGCAGTTATTACATTGTGGAATATTTCTTAATTTCTTAATTAGACTTCTCTTTTTGTCCAGGTTGAGCAAGGTCGACTACTTATGAAAATAGGATGTTACAAAAGTGCTCTGGACATTTTTCTGTTATGGGACAAGTGGTCTGAAATAATCGAATGCTATATTCACCTAAATAAGAGAGAAAAAGTATGTTCTATTTTTTCACTGGAAGTCTCTGTGTGTTACTTATCCAGTTTTTTTAAAAATGATACTGTATATTGGATAAAATCACCACCCTTGTGTGTATTCTATGTTATAACATTCGGTCAGTTATCACAAACAATGACTTTAAAATATCTCATAATACAAGTAGTGACTGTATCTTAAGATATCAATACGTCGGTCTTAATAATTTCAGATAAATTGCTCACTGGGTAGAATAATCGTGTTAAAAAATGGTATTTTTTGGATATCCCAATGAGTGGCGACACAAATCGCAAATCTATCATTATTATACTAATGACTGTATTTTATTTCAGTAACATTAGCATTAGCAGTATGCACCACACTAAGTGGAAAATCAACATTAATTTATTACTGAAATGAACACAAATAAATTCAAAATATTCTGATTGCTGCCTTCCATGTCTTCTCCTTTGTGAAATAGTTTAAAATCTGAACTCGTTCAGTCATCAAAAATGAAACTCAATAAAAAGTTGTTTAATAGTATCATCACTCAATAGTAGAATATCATATGCATGTTTTATATAGCTAAGATCATGAATCAGTTGAAGCTAGACCACCGTGAAAAACCTGGAAGCACTGGACGGCCGTTTCGTCCTATTGAGGTACTCCTCAGCAGTGCGTATCCACGACCCGGCCTCGCGAGATTCGAACCCAGGACCTACCAGTCTCGCGCCAGAGCACTTAACCGATAGACCACTGAGCCGGCATCCAGCAATGTTAATGTCTAACCTCAACCAATCCACGAAATCGCGCGACCAGCTTCCATTGTACCGAGGTAGATACCTGTCTCTACCTGACATGGATTAGCTCCACTGGCCATGGCTTCTCCCTGATAATTTTCAACGTAATAAGACCGCCAATCAGAGAGCAGCGATTTATTGATCGGACCGGTGATACACGAAAACTGTACGAGCAGTCTAGAGTACTTATCGATCCTGCTTTCTGCCTAGCCCAGCCAGTTCAGTCCAGAACACCAATAAGAGCCTCTGCAGTATGAATCATTATATTTCAAACATACTGAGTTTATATACCAATCTAACAGACCACATCGTACCATAAAACTGAAAATAACATTTGTACTAGATTCAGCCAAATGTGGCTGTGAATAAGGGAGACAGTAAATGATAGTAAGGGCATAATCGAAGAATGGCAAATCATATGATAATGGGAAGATACAAGTAAACAACACCAAGTGAATTTAGACTTCACCCCATTGCGCAAGCAGATAGCTACCAGGACTCAGTAGCTAAGTGAATAACGTGATGGTGTTTGAAGCGAATGGCACTGGGTTCGAGTCCCAGATTGAACATCAACTCTGAGATGCAGGTACATCCAGCTGACGAGTCCCAAGTAGGACGAAACGCGTGTCCTGGTTTCCACTGCTATCCACTATCCATCTTTGCTTATAAAGCTTGTGACTGAAGACAATATCGAGACAGTCCACACAGTATGCACATATGCCAACAAGAGACTGATCAATTGCAGTCCTAAATAACAATCGGAAGATACATGTAAACAACACCATGTGAATCCATATAACAATAGTTTATATGTCAAAATAAAGCTCATAATACGGGAAACATGAATATGAATACGTTTAGTATAGTTTGTTTGAATCTTCCCATCGATGTGTTAGGACTGCAACTGGTCAGTCTCTAATGAATATGAATAGTTTAGTTATTTAGCAATTATGCGATAAAAGATGTATGCATATTATTAGTTCAAAGTTACCATTCACTATTCTTATCGAGACATAACAGTAGGTGATTAGGTTTCAAATTGTTTTCACATTATTATTATTATTATTATTATTATTATTATTATTATTATTATTATTATTATTATTATTATTATTATTATTATCCTTGTGTCCTTTTACCCCCCATTTCCAGTCTAGTTGACCTTTTATGTTTTTAACAAGTATATGTGTGATCAGATTGTTCGAAATGTATTGCGTTAATATATCACATTGTTCCGATAATCTTCATCTTCATATTATACTATCAAAATTTATCAAAGGGACTAATTAATTTCACAGTGACTGGATGGGTTTCAGAAACATTCATGTTCGTTAGTTGTAAACTAAATGAACAAACTAAACACAAATTACGGTTGCTATAAGACTTAAACTACTTAACATCACTTTGCTCTTTTTTTATTTTCCGTCTTGAACGCTGAACTGATCTGTAAAACAGTCCTTACAGCCTTGTAGCTCAGTATCAAGAGTATCACTAAATACATAATCCCTTATACTTTACTATTATTTTATTTAAACATAGATACAAGGTGGTACCATATATATATATACGTCACACAAATCATTTGGGATTAAAATAAATTCATTCTGTAATAATTATAGTGCTTTATTTTTTCCGAGTAAAAAAAGTGATCTTTTGGAATTCTAAAGATAATTTTTACTTCAAACTATACACTTCATTGTTGTCATTAATTTAATAAATATAACCGATATAATTTGCCACTATTTGTAGTTGCGTAGAATCATTTTTTGAAGTTAACATTTCAATTACTATCACAATATCATGTTGGCAGATGCAGACTGCTTGGTTGGGGTCCGCGTGACTATCGTAAACAATGGTTGGAGACTCTAGGTGACATGGCTCAGAATCGATCACAATGGCTTAGGTGTATACACTCTTTATCTTCCCTTAAAGTGTGAGATTAAAATTGCTTCATAACTTTCTTCCTTCCTGTACTATATCCTTATATACAACCTATCTTTTATATACTACCACCACTAAATTAACTATTTCTATGATTCCGGTGTTCATCTTGCTGTGCTAACGAGATATGGCAACTTGGACCGATGCATATGTGTGCCTGGTCTTACGTTGTAGCTGACTGACTGGCTGATCATTGTATGTGACTATTTCTTTTACGGATTGGAAATGTAAAAATATTGCATTGTATTCGAATATAGTTTTGATGGATCCACTCAAGTAGAGTATCCAAAAAAACTGTTCAGTTAATATTTAATGTTTCTATAGCGAAAACGTCATTTTTTGTTATAGTGAAGTTGTACTTACACACGTTTTGTTCCAGTTAATTGTAATTTCATGAAACATTTTTCATATTTTTTGTCCATTATGTATTTTGTTAACACAATCAGGCAGAAGAAGTGATTCGTTCTCGTCTAAATTCTGGAGATGAATCTGCCGAATTATATTGTTCTCTTGGAGATGTGACAAATGATCGCCAACACTATTTAAAGGCTTGGGATGTATCTGGTTGTAAGTCGGCTCGAGCAATGCGCAGCTTAGCTGTTACATATATGTACACAGATAAAGTTTGTTTGGAATTTTCCATGCTATCAAATTTGTTTCATTAACTTATGTAGGACTATCAAAAAGCAATTGAATGTTTTGAAAAATCACTAGAAATTAACACTTTGCAAGTGAGTTCATTATATATCTATCATTTTTATCATTTTATTCAAATGAATTATCATAAATTAAATGCTCGTAGTTATTTGTGGTAAAAATTCAATTGTATTGACTTAGTTTGATATGTGGTCAACTACTTATTCAAACTATTCAAAATTTTGATTATCAATAAAGGGTTGTAGAGATTCTTGAACTTCATTGAAATCATGAACTGATCTAAGGTGGTTGGTTTCCAGTTCAGTGATCTGGAGGTTATCTTGGATTTGATTTCCGAGTGTGGGATCACGGATGCGTATTTCTGAGTAGCGATATATTAGGATGGAACAGCCGTTCAATGCTTCTGAGTTCCCAATTGTTGTCCAGCCTGAATCGTTTCATATCCTTAATCAAAATTTGAATGTTAATTTTGGTTTCAATATCCAGTTTAGCTTTTATGATAATCTGTCAATGTATCTCTACGACTTCATAATTATTTTACATTATTATGCTTCCCCGAAATTCGATAGACACCAAATTCTTCTCAATTAATATCCTTTTCCTCTGAATAATTTGCTTCGTTTTCAAAAGCTGGTTTTTTAACAAGTCTCTGTGTTTTAAATTTCTCTTCCATATTTATCAGACTGTATTTCGGTATATATAAAATGACGCAGGATTTCGATTCTGTAGTAAATAATGACTTTTATTGTAATAATATAGTCATTTTGATTAGAATGTTTGTTGTTTCGACAGTCAAGATGGAGTCAACTAAAAAAATAGTTTACAAGGAAGATCATTCTACTTCATATACTTACCGCACTAGCCAAATTGTCATCCTGTGTTGAACAATAAATTACCTAAATATGTACTAAACTACTAACAGTTTATGAGTAGATTAAATTACATGTATTAAGTAATAAATTACTGAACAGCCGGTTTTATATTTCACCCCTTTGTAGTTTCCAGCATTTATTGTACTATGATCCCCATCCTAAGGAAGTCACACAACTATCCAGTGTCTGTTAGTGAAGGTTAAGTTCCTATTTATAACGATAACCACAAAGGTTTTATTCTGAATTCAAACTTTCGCATGACCTTTGCTATTTCCTGGTGGGGCTTATTTTCTCTATGTCTCTAGGTCATGCTTTTGTTATAACATATACGAGGTTACTCAATTTCGTATTGTCGTCCCTAAATTTCAAGTTTTTTCTGCATTGCTGCTTTCTTGTTGCGTTGCATCTTTGAAAACTATTGTTGAAAAGATTTGTGTATCAATTGTCTGAGTTCATAATAGATTCTTTTCGTACCAGAATCATCCCAGTTGTTATTGATAGTAATTACAGGAGGCCCGGCCAAAACCCAATCGTTTATCGAGGTTTAACTGTGCTACGTTTGGTGTGATTACGATATCACCCTAACCGGCGAAAAACCCAAAAGCCAGCTATACAACAACAGGACAAGCTAAACTATTCACTTCTCCTCGATTGCCCTAACCAGAGGGCGAAGGCCAGATTCAGCTGAAGGAAATGTATATTCCACAAGCAGCTCGATGCATGAACGAACAAGCACGCAACTGATGCGTATATATACAGTACAAAAATATTCTTGGAAAACGTCACAAAATAGTGTACTAAAAGAGAAGAAAAACCGATGACGATTAAGGTCTTCTCAAGTGGGAAATACAAACAGGAGGTAAAAGTGGTCGCTTTTGGCACGAAAATGAGAAATTCAAATTTTCAAAGTAAAATTACAAAAATAAGGCTTTAACCAAGTGATCTCTGAGAGTCTAGCATCCCCAGCTAACTGGACATTAAGACTAGAGAAAAAAAGATTATTCAAATAAACAAATTTTCAGCAATTTGGCTTGCATGTTTTTATGTTACAGACATACTTAGAGAAGCGAACTAGTCCTCCACCGCCAGTATGAAAAATTATTTCTTTTATCAATATTATTTCCTCATAATCTGGATATTTTTGATAAAATCACATTATTAATTGAATTACCTAAATATTATCTAAATTTTCGTACAAATTTTCATAGGTTAATGTATGGTTTACATTTGGATGTTGTTGTCTTCAAGCCAAGGAGTTTATAAAAGCTGAAAATGCTTTTCGTTCATGCGTTCGTTTAGATCCAGATGTAAGTTCTATGTATTTTTAATTCATCAGATATTATTGTGTATTTTACAATTTAATTAAGACCCCCAACTAACTTAGTTACTTGCCTCAAGTAAGTGAAATTAATCGTATAGATGTGAAGATTATTCGTTTACGATTTATGCAGTTCTGTCTTCTCTACAATAACTCAAACATTGTTGCTTATTGTATACCTCAGAAGTACATAAACCTTGTGAAAGCTCTTTACTCGAACACTACCAGTCGGGTGAGAGCTTATGTCGAACTGTCATCTGATTTTCCAACCTCAAGTGGTGTCCGACAAGGCTGCCCACTATCTCCATTTTTGTTTAACTTTATCATAGACCTAAAACGCCTTCGTCGACTGAATTTTCCTGAATTGATCTCCTACCAGGAGGTCCACTTATCGACTTAGAATATGCAGATAATATGGTCCTGTTTGGTGAAGACGCTGACAAAATGCAGAGGATTTTGGTAGCACTGAGTAACAATGCCAGGTTGTTTGGGATACTTTTCTCCCCCTCTTAATGCAAGTTGTTGCTTCAGGACTAGACTGCGTCAACATCTGTACTATGCATAGGGAGTGAGGCAGTCGAACACGTCGTCAACTTCACTTATCTTGAAAGTATGATCAGCTCTAATGGGTTGGTGTCTGATGAAATCTCCACAAGAATTCAGAAAGCTCGTTTGAATTTTGCCAACTTACATCACCTATGGCGAAGGCGGGATATTCGTCTATTAATTAAGGGGTGAGTATACTGTGTGACAGTTCGTTCTGTTCTATTTTACGGCTGTGAAACGTGGCCATTACGATTAGAAGACACTCGTAAGTTACTAGTATTTGAACACAGATTTTTTAGAAACATTGCTCGCATCCGCTGAGATCACTGGGTGAGTAATTGTGAGGTTAGACGCAGGGTATTAGGGAATGATGGTAAATAGGCTGATGAGGTGATAAATCTTCATCAACTGAGATAGTTGGTACACGTGTTACGTATGCCTGAACACCGATTACCACGTTGCGCAATCCTGGCTGTGGATGGTCGAGAGAGAGTTAGGGGCAGCCAAGCCAAAACGTGGCATCAGAGCTTGAAGTCACTAACTTCTAGTCTGAGCCATGTTTGTAGATGCAGACTACTTGGTTGGGGACGCGTTTCGTCCTATTTGGGACTCGTCATCTGGACGAAACACGCGTCCTGAATTCACCTCTAGTCACTTTCCATCTTCGTTTATAACGCCAACTGTTTTGGTACATAATATTCATCCCAGATAGTATGATTTACTAATCGTGAAGCACATTTCTTGTTTAAATAATAGTTGTTTTAATTACTGATAAAGGGGTTAGCACTCACTAAGATTGACATATATTTAACTGACATATCTATTATCGAAACTTATTGGTATTGTTTCAAAACTGGCCACTATCAAACTAAATTCTGAGTGTGTTTTTGTAGTATATCAAAGTGTTTATACGTAAAGTACAACACAAATTAGGTTTGATTGCTTTGATTCAGAAAATAAACAGTAAAAATTGGCTTAGTTCAGGTAATAATAACGCTGTGTTTTTGTTAAAATAGTTGGTAAAAACTTGCTTTTTACTTGTGAATAGCTCTTAACAGGTGTTTTTGTGATTTCAGAATTTTGAAGCGTGGAATAATTGTGCTACTGCTGTCCTGATTCAAGGAAAAAAGTACGTCCTACTTTTTATGTAATCTTCATTATACTCCCCGACTATTGTAGCGTCCTATGCAAATTTGATATAGTATTCAGTTTTATGATTTCATTATAAAATGTAACATCACTTCTAATACCATTTTCAGTCATATATCCTGTATGAAGGCTTAGCTGTATATGTAATAGTTTTTTATTACATATTAGAAAACTATCTATTAAAGAATTCCTTGTAGAATGCGTAAAATTTTGTGTCCTGTAATGTGTTGTATGCTTTTTAAGCTTATTAATACATACCACCCACTTCACAGACTACTTATATATTAATTACAACATTTTTGCATTTTACATAGGAATATAGCATTAAAACTAATGAAAGAAGCGTGTAAATATAGTTATGAAAACTGGCGCATATGGGAAAATATTCTGTTGGTGAGTTTAATTTTCGATATGCATTATATTTATTGTTGTTTAAAACTACTTTCCAACCTTCTTTACTGGTAAATCTCAGTATTGTATAATTACTTTCACTAAATGGATTCAAATGTTTGAGTTTTCAGTATGGAGTTCTAGAGATTGTTGTATTTCGTTGAAATCATTAACCGATCTAACTTGAACCACCAATGATAATCCGGATACACTGGACGGCCGCTTCGTTCTTGTGTTAGACTCCTCAGCAGTGCGCGTCCGTGACCCCTTACACGGAGACTGAACCCAGGATCTCGGTCTCGCGCGCGAAAGTTTGGTCTTTAGACTTTCGAGTTGGTATCCAACGGTGTAAATGTCTAACTTCAGTCAATCCACAATATTGCACGACCATCTTCCATTGCACGGGGCGGACAACATCACAAAAGTTTAATACGGCTTTTCTTCGGGACACTGACAAACTCAACAAATTCAGGATAGCTCTCGGCAACAGGTTTCAGGCCTTTCATGGTCTACTCAATGGAGAGGGAACTACTATGGAGAGCAACTAGAAAGGGATCAAGGAGGCAATCATTTCAACATGTCAGGAGGTTCTGTGTCACAAAAATCACCACAACGAGTGGACCACTATTGGTACACTGAATAAGATTGAAGAAATGAGGAATAAGAAGGCAGCAACCAATATCAGCCGAACAAGAGCAGAAAAAGCCAAGGCACAACTCGAATAAACAAGCAAGTGAAGAGGAGCGTCGAAACCGACAAATGTAAATACGTGGAAGATCTAGCAATGATGGCGGAAAAGGCTGCAAGAAAAGGAAACATGAAACGACTGTATGATACAACAAAGAACCTCGCTGGAAATTGCCGTAAACCGGAACAACTAGTGAAAAGCAGGGAAGGCATGGTAGTCATCAACATTGAAGAGCAACGAAACAGATGGGTAGAACACTTCGAAGAACTCTTGAATCGACCAGCTCCACTGAACCCACCCAACATCGAAGCAGCACCCACGGACCTCCCAATCGATGTTGGCCCATCAATAATTGGAGAGATAACCATGAGCATCAGATAAATCAAGAGCGGCAAAGCAGCGGGACCAGACAACATTCCGACAGAGGCACTGAAAGCAGATGTAGCAGCAACTGCAGAGATACTCCACATTCTTTTCAGCAATATTTGGGATGAAGAACAAGTACCAACAGACTGGAAAAAGGGACCTCTGATCAAAATATCAAAGAAGGGTTATCTGAGCAAGTGTGAGAACTACAGGGGCATCACCAGGAAACGTTTTCAACAGGGTATTGTTAAACAGAATGAAAGACTCTGTAGACGCCCAACTTCGAGATCAACAAGCTGGATTTCGTAAGGATCGATCGTGCACAGATCAAATCGCAACGTATCATTGTGGGACAATCAACTGAATGGGATTCATCACTCCACATCAACTTCATTGACTACGAGAAAGCATTTGATAGCCTGGACAGGACAGCACTACGGCGTGCCTGAGAAGATAGTCAATATCGTACGGAATTCCTCTGATGGAATAAACTGCGAAATCGTGCATGGATGACAACTCACTGACTCGTTTAAGGTAAAGACCGGTGTCAGGCAAGGTTGCTTACTCTCACCCTTTCTCTTTCTCCTGGTGATCGACTGGATTATGAAGACGTCAACATCTGGAGGAAATCACGGGATACAGTGGATAGGTAGGATGCCGCTTGACGATTTAGACTTCGCAGGTGATCTGGCTCTTCTATCACACACGCAACAACAAACGCAGGAGAAGACGACCAGTGTAGCAGCAGCCTCAGCAGCAGTAGGTCTCAACATATACAAAGGGAAAAGCAAGATTCTCCGATACAACACAGCATGCATCAATTGAATCACACTTGACGGAGAAGCTTAGATGGATGTATAAACTTTACATAACTGGGAAACATCATTGATGAACAACAAGGATCTGATGCAGATGGGAAGGCGCGGATCGGCAAAGCATGAGCAGCATACCTACAACTGAAGAACATCTGAAACTCAAAACAATTGTCATCCAACACCAAAGTCAGAATTTTCAATACAAAAGTCAAGACAGTTCTACTGTTTGCAGCAGAGACGTGGAGAACTACAAAAGCCATCATCCAAAATATACAGGTGTTTATTAACTGTTGTCTACGCAAAATACTTCGGATCCGTTGGCCAGACACTATCAGCAACAACCTACTGTGGGAGAGAACATGTCAGATTCCAGCAGAGGAAGAAGCGCTGAAAGTGAATAAGAAACACATTGAGGAAATCACCTAACTGCATCACAAAACAAGCCCTCAGTTGGAATCTTTAAGGCCGAAGGAGAAGAGGAAGATCAAAGAACATATAACACCGATAAATAGAGACAAATATGAGAAGAATGAACAACAATTGGACAGAACGAGACAGGAAGGCCCAGGACATAATGGGCTGGAGAATGCTGGTCGGCGGCTTATGCTCCATTGGGAGTAACAGGCATAAGTAAGTAAGTAATCTTCCATTGTCTTTGGTGGTTAACTGCCTCACACCCGACACGGTTTAGCTCCACTGTTCACAGCTTCTCACTGTGACTCCGAGAATTCCCTCTCGAAACTAGTTACTAGTGAGCACATGATAATTTTCATTATGGGGTTGTGGAGATTGTTGAGTCTCATTAAAACCTTGAACCGATCTGAGTTGGTTAGTTACCATTTCAGTGATCTGGCGGTTAGGCGTTCATGCGCGAGTTCGATTATCTTGGATCAGGGATGCGCACTTCTGGGTTGTTATATATTAGGACGGAACGGCCGTTTAATGCCTCTGGGTTCTCAATGGTTGTCCAGTTTAGATCATCTCATGATTTCAATGATGTTCGTGTTGTAATAGATTAATTAGTTTGATTTATTTAGGAAATGTGTACTTATATATTACAAAATGCAGTAACAACCTGTTTATAATGATTGATTCCAGAAGACTTTAAAATACTGATTCCATCAACTACCTAATTGAATGTGCAAAACAAAATAAAAACAGCTTATCGTATTATTATAGTGTTAAATATTTGACTTTTCATTGTAGATATACGTGTCCATTGGGACAGTTAGTCTACTCTTTATACCTTTTTCAGTTACATGGGATGGTCGAGGGTAGTATATATTGTTTGTTTTTGGTGCTGGTTGTACAAAAATGTTAAATTGCCTACGACTTGAGTACAACATTGTTTCATTTATTTTCTCTTGCTTATTTGTTGAATTTATAATCGTGTCGTTACCACTTTAGTTACACAATAATGATTGTGTATTTCTTGTTCCAATTGAATTCATTAAAGATTAGTGCTGATGTAAAAGCTTTTCATGAAACTATATATGCCTATCATCGCCTATTAGATTTACAAGGAAAGTATGCAAATCCACAAGTTCTCAGTGTTATGGTTAAAGACGTTATTTTAAATGAAATGGATTCTACAGGAAACCCTGCAAGTAATTTACGTGCCAAGCTGCTTCAATTATTTGGTCGAGTTACAGCATCTGTAAGTTTTACACGTGGTTATGTTAGCTCGATGTACAATTAGAGTGTATGGTAATATAATACATGTTATAGTTACTTTAAATCTTGTGATAGTTAATTGGTCACTTGATAATACATTGAGATATTTAAAATTTTCTAAAAGTTGTGTTTTTTTCTACAGTTTTCTCACAGTGAAAATGACAGGAACTGTCCCTAATAGAATGAAATGAGGTGGTTACCTAAAAGCAATGTTGGGAAGTATTAGTTTCACTACAAATGTTACAACTTTCATTTTAAAAAAACTGGTTCATTTGGGAAAAGAACTACGGGAGATAGATGTCAAACACTAGAAAAATTTTACGCAAAGATGGATAGTGACTAGCAGTGGAATCCAGGACACGCGTTTCGTCCTATTTGGGACTCGTCATCTGGATGTACCTGCATCTCAGAGTTGATGTTCACTGTGGGACTGCAACCCAGTGCCGTTCGCTTCAAACGCCATCACGTTATTCACTTAGCTACTGAGTCCTGATAGCCACTTGCTTGTGCAATGGGTTCCCAGAGTGAACATCAACTCTGAGATGCAGGTACATCCAGCTGATGAGTCCTGGATTCCACTAGTAGCCACTATCCATGTTTGCTTATAATGCTTGTGAATTAAGGGAATATCCAGGCAATACGCACAGTATGCATATATGCCAATAAGAGACTGACCAGTTGCAGTCCTTACCATCAATGGGAAGATTCAAACAAACAATACTAAGTGACTAGAAACATTTGTTGTAAATTCAACTGATAACTAAGCAATAATAACTTAGTAATCAACTATATGTTCGTTTACTAAACTTTCTGTCGTGTTAGTTTTATGAAAACTAGTTGTACTACCTAGTTGTCCAGACTCGAAGTATGTGAAGAATCTTTCGAATCTTCAACCTAGTGGCCAAAAGTAAAATGGTTTGACTGTCGGAAAATTCGACTAAAAACTGCCTGGAGTTGGTATTATACAATTAACAATGTTCGAAATTTCAAGTGACGCGATAAAACTTATTTATAGTCACCATTACACAAAATATGGTAAATATTTATGCAATTTTCATCATAATCATACAAATTCTATTGTTATTTCTTTATTCAAAAATTGTTTTCTTAACCACTAGACTCCTAACGATGCTGTTATATGGAATGAATATGCACATCTTTTGGTTGATGAACTTCCTCAAACGACTTACACTACATATCAACGTGTAAGTTAGATTGATTTTCTAGAACATTTACTCTTGTTTAATACGATGATATACATTTTTTAGTCTGACTATCGAAATGTGAATTTCTACCTAAATCGTACAAACTGTCACTCGTTCACTGATAATGTAAAACATACTTTTTTTTAGATCGTCGCTCACTTTTGAGTCAAATCAATTGTCTTTGCTAAATTAAAGATGTTGATTATGAACAACACAAATGTATGGTAGTTACTATATTAGAAATTATTTCGTGTGATTTTTGTTACAGCATACTAAAGAATGTAGTAATACTACTTCATAACAAAGGCTTAGTTATAGTGAAGTTGGATTGTACCTAATAGTAGAACTCATGATGTCTTTTTCGTCCTGTTTGGGACTTATCATCTGGGGTATACCTGGATCTCTATCAATGTTCATACCAAAGCGGCATGCTTGAATATCTGGGCTGCCTGTTCCTGCCACATGAAGATTTCAACAAGTTATCTGTTTTCTTGTTTGTTTTAACACATCATCATGCCTATTAGTCGCATAACCTATTCAGTTGAGTTTGTGAAAAGTTTACGACATTTCGCTGTACAAGCTACAAAATAGCTCAATCAGAGACATCATGGTTGCTGGAAATATGTATCGAGAAGAATATACATAAATCAGATGTCGATTCCTGAACTGCTAACATCTAACATTTATCGCAAGGGTCGATCTAGAAATAAGAAAAGGAAACTTGTTGAAGTACTTTGTGCTGAGAATTTTATATTGTACCAAAAATATATTAAATAAAGCCACTAATAATAATAATTTCAATTTGTTACTTCGTGTTTCAAATTCCAACTACTTAGTCCGTATAGGATGAAACCCTCATCTGGAATTCCACTGGTGTCCACAGTCCAACTTCACTTAAACTTATACTTAAAGACAATGCATATATATCAATAGAGTTCAATCCTTAGTATTATCGACGGAAAATCCTAAACTTATTTATAGTTAGATTGAAATTATGGCAAATCACTTTTAACTTACTCAAATCAGTGACTGAAATCTTTCTGCAATAGATGAATGATCACGGTGACTACCTAGACCTTTAGTGATTTTTACTTTTGATTCTTAAAGGTTATCAGTATTTGCTCTAGATTCTAGAATGAAGCGAAATAAAACATTATCAGTGAAGCTTCCATGTTCAGTATTTTAAGTAAATGCATCATATGCACTGAACTGACGCATCGAAACTAATTCTTTGATCAGAATTTATGATATTATTAAAGTCATCGATAACCTATATTTTCTTGTGTAATAAGTAAACAAACAATACCCTAAGATCAAAATTAGTAAGAATTAAAGATCCAATTCACAAAGAAGAATAACAAAATTGTGTCTATGAAATCAGATGTAGTGACTGTAATGCAACACATGTAGGTGAAACATCAAGACAACTGAATGTGAGGGTGAAGGAACACAAACAATGTTTGAAACACATTCCTAAATCCTCAGATGATGTAAGGAAACTGGAGAACAAATCAGCGATAGCATTACACTCGATAGAATCGGGTCATACAATTGATTTCGTTCACACAAAAATCCTTGAAAAAGATTTCAATTCTTTCAAGGAAAGACAAACAGCTGAAGCCCTATACATTTGGGCTAATCCAAACAATATTAATAGGAGGGATGGAATACAATTAGCAGTGCCATGGCAGCTAATCATTAATAAGTAAAATACCTGAACTCCTTAACTTTTTAAAAAATCTATTTCGTATTATCTAAATGACAACAATTGCTTTCAATTATTCTAATCAGTTGTCTTATCGGAATTTGTTAAACAATTCACTGGAACATTAAAAAAAATGACACATACATACAGTTTTTAAAAATTTACACTCTTCAAATTTCACTCTTTTATTTTTATTTTTGTTTAATTATCTTCATTTTGTACATGCTGTGACAGATATGATTCATATCATATATTACAAATTGTATGTTTTCCTTATAAATTCACTGATAAGAGACAATATATTGTGTGAATGTAATTTCTCCTTACGTTTTCTATACAATATGTTATATTAACGCTTATCATTTCACATCACACATCTCTTACACACTAATACACTTACCTAGTTTAGACTTTGTTAACGTTGATTGGATGACCTATTCAGTGTACAATGAACCCGGAGAACCATGTACCTATTTATATTCGATAATTTTGATGTTTGATTGTAATTCCTTGAAAAAGCTTGGACCAGATTGCCAGGCGAAACGTTGGATTTCTACAAATTCATTCGCTGAGATTTTACAAATATATTATTCCTATTTAATGTCTTACATCAACTCGGTGCTCAAATACTGTGAAACTATTCGCTCTAATTTAGACGAGAGTTCTTATATAGACTTTTACATTGTAGTTAGATTTTCTTTTTTTAATACATCACTAGGCTGTCCACTGTCTTCAAGCAGCTCATCGTTGTCGTATACAATCAAGTGAAGGACCATGGGAACAATCAACAAAAAAATGTGAAACTATTATTGATGGTTTAAAAGCTTTACTTGATTTATTAAATAATCCTCCTAAATTGAAAAATGATAATAATGAATCGAATGAAGAAGATCAACTTAATACTTTCATTCAATCATCCTTGGCCACTTTACGAATAAGCATAAAATCTGTAATTTCCAAAATGAAGGTAAGCTTTTTTCAGCCTGTTGCCTACCGGTGTTTTATAACTTGTGAATTGTAGTATATACAAATAGTATAAGAAAGTAGAAATAATATTTTGAGAATTCTGTTGTAATGTTCCATTCTTTGCTTATGTTGGTTATGTTGTGTCAGGAAGTTCGCTTTATTCAATGTAATAAAAATTCTCATAATTCGTCCCTTTTTCACCAAAAATTTCCTTTACTTATATCTTTGGTTTACATGAAGATGTTTTTAGGTAGCATACTTTATACCATTCTTTGTGTACTCATAGAACTTTATCGCTCTTCACAACTTATATAACATAAATTTTCTAAAGCTATGGACAATTTAAATGAAGTCTTTGATGGATACTGCTTTTACTAGATGCTTAATATAGTAACTGCAGTTCCATGTAAAATTACACTTTCCTTTCAACGATGATGTCAAGCATAAACTTTCAATATCTAGCGGTGACAATCATTAAAAAATTTCACTCTCATTTTAACTGTTACTTTACCTGTTTCCACCATCTATTCCATTTGTTCAAACAGTTGGTCAGCGGCATGGTTTCTATAGTGATGGTCAACTTTATTCATACATCTTTAATATGTATACGTACATAATAAGTATTTACTTTTTTCCATAATATTCCACGAATTTTTAAGCCTTCATTTTCATAAACTCCTAGTTCATCTGTGTTTCGCTCTTAGCCATACTTTATGTCGTCCGTGCTGTGTTACTTCAACTAGAATAAGAAATACCTTCGAACCTCATTAACAGTAAAGCTTTTAGAATAGTAGCATTTGTTTGTGGTTATTTCGCTACATTTCTATTTCTGCTAATGTCAATCTTAATTGTGGTTTGTAAATTCATCTCTATAAATTGAATTTTTACGTTCAATTATTTTAATTATTTTTAGATTGCTGAAGAATCTATTCTTTCAACCGATGTTCAAGATATGATTCGTTCCTCAGTTAAAGATTTAAATGAATTATTAATTGATGTTGAAAGAAAATTAAACTAAACTCTTACGTTGTATATGCTTTTTTATCGACTATCGTAATACAAATAAAAGTTTCAGTTCAATTCTGATTCTTTTGATTTACTAAGTTCTATGTGTATGTGACTTCATAATTGCGTGGGTTTTTACATGTAGTTCTGTAGTCTCCAATGTCTGTCTGGAATTATAAATTCTTTTGATGTCCTGTGGTTTCATTTATATCTATCTTGTTAGCTTCGTGATCGTTTAAAAGTGACATTGGGTTTTCTTGCTGATACACTAAATTTTATGTGTCATATTAGCTGTATCGTTACTTACTTGTTTGAAGACAATTTTTAGAGTTGTAAGCCGACACCCTGAGTATATCTCTGTGTATTACCTGTTGTTTGATAATTATAGTGTGAAAAATAGTTTTCAACATACATTTAACAAATATATCCGTTAAACTCGTTCAATATTGAATGACTTTTCTCAACATATTCAGATTACTTTGTGGATAAACTGTATGGATTGTCTTCATAATGACCTCGATGTTGCATGGCGACACGTTCTAATCACTGACTTCAATTGTTCGGTGCAAGTAGATGAGTGATAGACTACATGTCAACGTATAATATTGTGATTTAAGCGCGTTATTCTTCAAAATTCGGTTCTCTTGGCACGACATGATGTGGAGACTAACGTTAAACGCTCCTCTAACATTTTAATCACTAGCGATTGTTTATTGCTATGGCTTGTTCTATACTTCTTCATTTCTTTTTTTACAATTCATTGAAAACTCTAAAATATGTTAATTAATTGATACAGCTGATTAATCTGAATTATTAGTAGTTTTGTTGAGATAGACAATACAAAGGCATGTAATCCATTGATTTATATGGGAAAACTTGTGCATCTTGTGATATGCTTTTAGCATCTAAACGTTACAACAACGCTGGTCTGTAGTGATATGTATTGTCATCATAGAACCTACAGTTGGTAAATTTGTTGACCGTTTCATCTTGTCTAGTAGTTATATGTAGCTTAGGTTTCAGATCATTTGAGTCTCAGATATAGTAGACGTAGTTAACATTCTACAATGCACAAATTATTCTACGTATGTACAAAAAGTTAAATATATGCCGTCATTACTTTTAGCTTTATGATTTAAACATGTCTACTAATATAACATTACGTTTTCAAAATATGGCCATGACCGCCTTCAAACCACTATCCTCATGTCGTGAAACTACCCCATCTGTAATGCCACTGATAGGTTTTTAATACGCTTACCATGGTGTCCAATGTTCATTACCCATAATAATGTGTATTGTAGATTCACTTGATAGACATATTTTTATTTTTAATGAACACCTTTGAATTAGAATGATTTTCAATTCTTAAACGTCAATATTTTATTGACTTGTAAAGATTAACAGAGACCTTATATCTGAGAAATATTGTTTTCACTTGGGGGTCACCTATTATCTTCGTTTTTACCCACCACTTAATATTTGCATCTCGAAACAGACCACATTATTGACCATTATTACTATAACACCTGCCAATGTTTTTAAGAAATTTATCCAGCATCCACCCTTATTTACTAATTCCTAATCAGTCAGTCAGTCACAACGTAGAACTTCGTACGTACGTACATCAGTTCGAGTTGCCATACCACATTAGCACACAGATGCAGTTGTCGATTCAAATCCCATAGTGGAAGAATTAGTAAGAGTATAAGCAGTAATCGGAAAGATTAGAGTTTGAAGATGTTATTGAAGGAGTATAGTACAGTGAAATATATTTGGAAGGAGAAAAACATAAAGACATGAGAAATTCAGAAGATTAGAATTTGGTAGAACACAAAGAGTGGATGCATCTTCGCCATTGCAAACGATTTTGAGCCATGTCATTCAAGGTCTCTAACCATCGGTTGCTATCATCTCGCGAATCCCAACCAGGTAGTCTACACTTACCAACATGGCCCAGTCCACTTGTCAGTGACTTCATTGATTTGTGCCACGTTTTGGTCTGGCCACCCCTAGCTTTCTTCCAACCTACTCCTACACCATGAAACATTGCACGTCGGGGCAGTCAGTGGTCGGGCATACGTAACACATGTCCCAGCCATCTCAACTGATGAAGTTTCACTACTTCATCAATCGATTTGCCATCCCTACCTAGTACTCGTTTCCTAACAACTGCATTACTTACCCGGTGGTCCCAGGATATACGAGCAATGCTTCGAAGACACCTATGATCGAACACTAGTAGCCTACGAATATCCTCTACTCTTACCGGCCATGTTTCACTTCCATAAAGTAGGACGGAACGAACTGCTGCACAGTAAACCCGTCCTTTGGTTGCTAGACGGATATCTCGCCTACGCCACAAATGATGCAAGTTGGCAAAAGCTAGACGAGCCTTCTGTATCCATGCTGAGATTTCGTCAAACACCAGACCACAAGGGTTGATGAGACTCCCAAGATAAGTGAAGTGGTCTACACGCTCAACTACTTCACTCCCTATCATTAGTTCAGGTGTCGCTGCAACCCAATCCTGAAGTAACATTTTGCACTTCGAGGGAGAGAATCGCATCCCGAACATGCCTGCATTGTTGCTTATGGTGGTCAGAAGACTCTGCATTTTGTCAGCGTCTTCACCGAGTAAAACTATGTCGTCGGCGTATTCTAAGTCAACAAGTGAGCCTCCCGGTAAGAGTTCAACTCCTGGAGGCTTAGCTGATGAAAGTGCTGTCTCTAAAAGTATGTCAATGACAAAGTTAAACAAGAATGGGGAGAGTGGACAATCAATTCATATTATCTTACATATTACGTAATCTCAATGATATAAAGTTCATTTTGTGCATTTTTCAACTTTAATAATTTAACATCTTCAGTTTCCTAGTCTTTAAAACCTTAAGGTGTTTGAATTCATTGTGTAACAATATACACAAAGACTTATCGAAATTGAAACTAATGTGCCTTCACTTGTTTACCAATTTTGAAATTCGTTGTCTAGGCACTTGACATGAGACGACTGGTTGTAAAACTTGATAACTCCTAATGTTTATAAACGTAATTAAATATCCTTTTTTTGACCTTGAACGTCTATGCATGTACCCATATATTGTGTAATATCATATCTCGATTATATTTGGAATGATGTAGAGATGAAATTCAAAACGAATACTTCTTTTTCGATTCTAATCTGAATAGTAACAACGCGATAATCATACCGATAGCTCTATTCAGTACTATATGCTTAATACAATGTGGAGTTTCTTACTTACGCCTGTTACCTCTCGTGGAGGAGCATAGGCCGCCCACCAGCATTCTCCATTCAGCCCTGTCCTGGACAATCCTTTCCAGTTCATTCCAATTATTATTCGCGCTATTCATATCTGTTTCCATTTCTCGGCGTAATGTATTCTTTGGCCTTCCTCTTTTCCGCTTCGCTTCTGGATTCCAAGTTAGGGTTCGCCTGGTGATGCAGTTTAGCCATTTCCTTAATGTATGTCCGATCCACTTCCAACGTCTTTTCCTAATTTCCTCTTCAGCTGGGAGCTGGTTTGTTCTCTTCCACAGTAGTTTGTTGCTGATAGTATCTGGCCAGTGAATGTTGAGTATTTTGCGCAGACAACTGTTTATAAATACTTATACCTTCTTGACGATGGATGTAGTAGTTCTCTACGTTTCAGCCCCGTAAAGTAGGACTGTTTTGACGTTCGTATTGAAGATGCTCACTTTAAAATTAGTTGAGAGTTGTTTTGAGTTCCATATGTTCTTCAATTGATATGAATGGAGTGGATAGTTCGTGTCTGATAAGATGTCACTTGCAGTTCTTTACAGGGTTTCAAATATCTTTTCACAACTATATTCATAACAACATCAGAAGATTCACCATGTACTCCACAATCAGCCTACATCGCACCATAATCTTTTCTCAAAAATCTAGGAAAGAGTAGTGAGGAACGGTATAGGTTACTAGATAATACACAGTAACTTTACAAATCGTAAAAGTATCGACTAATCCCAAAATTATTTAGCCTCTTATGATAAGTTAGGTCAATATTAACGAAGTACGGGAAGGCCAATAGATATCTGAAATAAAACCTATGCTAAGTAAAATGACATGCTACAGCTTTTACCATATAATTTCGTCTAGTACAAATACTGAGTGATTCTAGTAGGATGTGTAGATCCTTTTCATTACTTGGTCTGAAGTTAACAGCTTGACATTTAGAAAGATTAAATATAAGATTTCAAAATAGACCGTATTTCAGGATTGGCTGAGAGCTCATTGATTTTTAGGGAATTCGAAGAAGAAGAAACTCCTATACATAAACTAAGATCGTTTGCACTTTTAACAAAATGTTTTTTAAAAAAAAGAGAGGTTGTCCAAGGAAAACGAAATTAAAGCTCCTTTGGATATCCCACTTTTCTTCACACACATTTCACTGTTCTCTTCCAGAAAAATAAAGACATTATCTTTTAGTTATCATGCTCTCTGTTTCGGGTATCGAACGTGATTATCACCTTTTTAAACTGAGCACTATATTATGATGCACAACAATCCGGTGAATCCAAGGAGCTCCTTTCATATTCAAGTAGATTTAGTCAACAAGTCCCAAATAACACGAAATTTGTATTTCAATTTCATTCCTTATCGAATGTTGTAAACCATATTCACTTTAAAAAAACAAGCTTAAAGGCTTCAAAGTCTCCAGATACTTGATTTGATCCGCCATATGAATGTACAACTGACGAGTGTTGAATTATTGTGTGTATTCTTTTTTATATTTGTAGATTTCGTTTTTTGAATTCATTTACTTTGAGTAACTAACCCAATTGTTTTTTTATACATTTTGGCTAAATTTATACTACATAAATAAATTCAGTATTTTATTAATAAACTTCTATTCTTCCGTGTTTATTAGATCAATAGTTTCACATTAGTCCTGAAAGATACTTCTAAACTTATGAAACTGAAACTTTTACAGTATTCAAGAAATTCGAGTTTCTATTATAACTAAGTTCAAATAGTTACCCTAAAATTATCTTAGTTTGTAAAGCTGAGTAATCTTTTTCTGAATTGGTTAAAATTAACCATGTTTCAGTCGGATTCTTTCTACTTACTTTAAATTTTAGAGGATCGTCACTATATTTAAGAATAGATGCAGCTGTCTAGTTACAGATTTTTTCGTTTGTTCCATAGACTACGTAACCATTACAAATTTAATGAGATTTCTTGTGTTTATTTAAATCATCACAATTATTGTCAACAATCTAAATCCTTCCAACCGCATTTTAATTTGGATTTATTTAATGATGAAAAGTTCATTGATAATCTACGTGCAAATTTAACAGCTCGTAAAAGCAACTTAAATCTTGATCATATGGTAAGATTTTCGTTACAATATTGTCTTATGTATACATTAACCATATACTTATATTCATGTATATACAATTTTTAAGCTAAAAGAATAACAGAATTCGAAATACATTTAATTGTTCTAATATCATGTACAGTTCTGATATCACATGCACTAAAATTAAGTGTTGAAATACATTTATAAATAATATTGTAATGAAGGAATCGTTGATTATTGAATGGGTCTTAATTAATTATCACTCAAAACGGATGTGATCAAGAAGACAACTGTTTAAGTATCTACCTCTTAGCTTCTAAATGAATATATATTGATCTAAACAGGATGGCTGAATAAAAAAGTATTGGTTGTTTTGTAGACTTTCATCTTATCCTTGTCATAAGTGTTAAATCATACTATCTGGGTTAATATTATGTACCTAAATAGTTGGCATTATAAGCAAAGATGTATGCTGGCTAGCAGTGGAATTCAGGACGCGCGTTTCGTCCTATTTGGGACTTGTCATCTGGATATACCTGCATCTCAGAGTTCATTTTCACTCGGTCATTGTGAGACTATTCGATCATATTTAGACAAAAGTTCTTATATTGATATTGAACGCTGATAAATAACTAGTTAGGTTAAGTTACTGAACGTCTTTTTATCCACAGACCTCTACGGGCAACTATTTTTATTCGATAGACGTTTTATCAGACCTGAAAGATTTAGATTATTTTTGTGTTATATATACTCTTATTGTAGACAGTATCTATTTACTTTAATCTAGGCTTAAGGAATCTGTCAATCATAAACGTATCATGAAATTTTTAACCGAAGTAAACCCATTTCTTTTCGTCAATGTAAATCCATAAATAGATCGTTCGGATTAAAGAATTGTTGCATCTCATTTAATAAGCGACATTTATGTTCATGTTACCTAATAAACTAGTTATTTGCTTAAATCACCTTTTTGTTATTTAAGTTGCTTTACTAGATTTGCTTTCCTTGTGAGTATGATGTAATGCAGTAGTTTAGTTAAGAGTTCAAAACTTCAATGAACAAAATGAGTGTGACTATTTGATAAACGTATTATCACATTCAGATTAAATAGCTCACAAGTAACAATCTTAAAATTTGATTTCAAACAACACTAAGTCAAATCCTAAAATATTCATCACGTTACAGATGTTCTTTGTTTGAAAACCTTAAAAGCGCCAAATTCATTTTAAAAACATTTTGGCCATCGTCTTCTAACATATTAGAATAAAAGGTAAAAACAGATTGTAAACTTGTTAATAAAATATGTATATTTATGATAAATTGTCTTGTATGGAAACGTGTTTTTTTTAGATTTTATTTGTTTTAATGTTCACTCCATTTTCCTTTTAGCTGGATCTTTATAGAAATTACACTAAAACAAAACATACGGAAACACACGATGAACTAATGTCATTAGTATGTCAATTACCAAATTTTACTCATCCGCTTACTGTAAGTGCTATTAAATGTTCCGGGTGTAATATTACTATAAATGACGGTTACTATTTTATCTTTGTCGATAACTTATTATCTTTTTCGTTCATTATAGCCGATTGGTGATTCATCCAAAGCACGTCATATATATATTCATGGATCTAAACGTGAAGGTGGGTTAATGTATATCTAAACTTTATTTGTTTAATTCAGAAGTTAATTTATTATGGGGATAGTTCTACAATGATATCCTTAGGGACACTTTTGTAAACGAGGAAATGTTTCAAAACTGTTTCGTTATCGTTTTTCACTGCATAGCAATATATACCTTTCATAGTCCTTCACAGGAGTAAAATTACGACGTTCAGGTTTTAAGAGATACACGTTATTCTTATACCACTGGTTGTTATTAGAAAACGTCAATTCATTTACTCAGATGAGATTGTTCATCTACTCATATATATATATAATATCTATATACAAGAAATACACGTTCTTTTTTTAAATCTTCTAGACAATATTCATTTCACATTGGTAATTTAATGATATAACTATGAATCTTTCTTTGCTTCATTGTAATATTTACAATTAGAGAGGTGGAAGCTTTTAGATGTAATCAATATAACTTCAGGTTCACATCAACCTGTAATCAATCATCATAATACCAACTCTTCCATAACGATCAATCCTGAAGGCTATCTCCGTGTAAAATATACAACTTTAGGCGCTGGGCATAAAACTTATTATTTTAGTGGACCATTAGCACAATTAGAATCTGCACTTATCGCATATACTGTGGATCGTTTGAGAGGAACTGGTTTTGAATTTGTCTCTGTACCCGATATTCTACCTGAACCTGTTATCAGAGCTTGTGGTTTCCCAACTCAAGGAATTCGTTCTCAAGTAATACATTTTCTGCATTGTTTGTTTGTCTTCTGTTCTTATAAATATTTAGTTAAATATCTATTAGTACTTTTGACAAGTTTCAAATTAACATGATCCTCATAAATTCTGAACTCCGCCTGTAGCTCTTCTAGAGTTACTGCCGGTCCCAAGCCCGGGTAAAGGAAGAGGGTTGGGCATGGGGTTAGCGACCCCATCCCGTAGAAAAGCTAACTCGCTAAAAAAACGCTAATCAGAAAAAATAATTCAAACCATTTAAACTCTGCCCTGGGAGTAGAAGGAATAATTATGACGTCTCATGATGAAAGCCGAAATTCTTCGGAAGTCACGAGACCGATGCACCTTCTAACAACCAGAGCAACACTCTTTATAGGTACATGGAACGTCCGGACAATGTGGGAGACAGGAAAGACCAGCCAAATAGTAATGGAAATGCGGAGATACAACTTGGCAGTACTCGGGATCAGCGAAACACATTGGACACAAACTGGACAACAAAGGCTAGGTACAGGAGAGATGCTGCTGTACTCCGGTCACGAAGAAGAAAATGCTCCACACACTCAGGGAGTTGCTCTAATTCTGTCCAAAGAAGCACGAAATGCACTTGTGGGATGAGAATCTCATGGAACCAGGATAATCAAAGCATCATTCAGAACAAAGAAGGAGGGGATCACAATGAACGTTATCCAATGTTATGCACCCACCAATGATAGCAACGACGATGATAAAGACCAGTTCTATGAAAGGCTGCAATCAATTATAGAGAAGTGCTCACGAAAGGACCTCACCATCCTGATGGGAGATCTAAATGCTAAAGTTGGAGTGGACAACACAGGATATGAAGATGTAATTGGACGACATGGATTAGGAGAGAGAAATGAAAATGGGGAGAGACTTGGAAACCAATATTCCCACACAAGCGCATACACAAAGCTACATGGATCTCACCGGACCACACCACAGAGAACCAGATAGATCACATCTGTATCAACAAAAAATTCCGAAGGTCAGTGGAAGATGTGAGAACCCGGAGAGGAGCTGACATAGCTTCAGATCACCACCTGGTTGTGGCCAAGATGAGACTGAAGCTAAAGAAAGACTGGACAACTGGACAAACAGCACTACAACGGTTCAATACAGCCTTCCTTCGAGATACTGACAAGCTCCATGAATTCAAGATAACTCTCAACAACAGGTTCCAAGCTCTACAGGATCTACTGAATGAACAAGAAACTACTTTGGAGGACAATTGGAAAGGGATAAAAGAAGCGTTAACTTGAACGTGTCAGGAGGTTCTTGGTCCTAAGAAGCATCATCATAAGGAATGGATCTCTATGGGAACCCTCAACAAGATTCAAAAAAGGAAGAACAAGAAACTAGCAATTAACAACAGCCGAACACGAGCAGAGAAAGCCAAAGCACAAGCAGACTACGCAGAAGCAAACAAGGAAGTGAAGAAAAGTATTAAGGCCGACAAACAGAAATACATGGGAGAACTAGCAACGACGGCGGAAAAAGCTGCAAGAGAAGGGAATATGAAACAACTATATGATACAGCGTTGAAATTGGCAGGAAGATATAGCAAACCAGAGAGACCAGTCAAGGACAAAGAAGGAAAGACAATCACAGATTCAAGAACAGAGGAAAAGATGGGCAGAATACTTCGAGGAACTGCTGAATAGACCAGCCCCATTGAATCCACCGAAAATCGAAGCAGCCCGCACTGACCTTCTAATAGGTGTCACTCCACCAACGATCGAAGAAGTCAAGATGGCCATCAGACAAATCAAAAGTGGGAAGGTGGCAGGACCTGACAATATACCAGCAGAAGCACTGAAGTCAGACATTGAAATAACTGCAAACATGCTTCACCTTCTATTCAAGAAGATTTGGGAAGAGGAACAAGTGCTGACGGACTGGAAAGAAGGATATCTCATCAAGATACCAAAGAAAGGAGATCTGGGCAAATGTGAAAATTACAGAGGCATCAGTTTGTTATCAGTACCAGGAAAATTTTTCAACAGAGTGCTGCTGAATCGGATGAAAGACGCAGTAGACGCCGAACTTAGGGATCAACAGGCTGGATTCCGTAAGGATAGGTCGTGCACAGACCAGATTGCGACACTACGGATCATCGTGGAACAATCAGTTGAGTGGAACTCATCACTATACGTCAACTTCATTGACTATGAGAAGGCGTTTGACAGCGTGGACAGGAGAACATTATGGAAACTTCTTCGACACTATGGAGTTCCTGAAAAGATTGTCAACATTATGAAAACTCATACGATGGGCTACAGTGCAAAGTGGTGCATGGAGGACAGCTGACAGATGCATTTCCAGTAAGGACTGGAGTCAGACAAGGCTGTCTACTCTCCCCATTCCTCTTCCTTCTAGTGATTGACTGGATTATGAAGAATTCGACATCTGACGGGAAATACGGAGTACAATGGACTTCTCAGAATCAATTAGATGATTTGGACTTCGCAGATGACCTAGCCCTCCTCTCTCATACACACGAACAAATGCAGATGAAGACAGCAAATGTAGCAGCAGCCTCCGCATCGATAGGCCTCCACATTCACAAAGGAAAAAGCAAGATTCTCAAATGCAACACGGAGAACACCGACCCAATCACACTTGATGGCGAAACTCTGGAAGAGGTGGAAACATTCAAGTACCTGTGAAGCATGGTTGATAAACAAGGAGGATCGGATGCAGATGTAAAGGCGAGGATTAGCAAAGCAAGGGCAGCATTTTTACAATTGAAGAACATATGGAACTCAAAACAACTCTCAACTAATTTCAAAGATAGCATCTTCAATACGAACGTCAAAACAGTCCTACTTTACGGGGCTGAAACGTGGAGAACTACTACGACCATCATCAAGAAGGTACAAGTATTTATAAATAGTTGTCTACGCAAAATACTCAACATCCATTGACCGGATACTATCAGCAACAACGTTTTATGGGAGAGGACAAACCAGCTTCCAGTTGAAGAGGAAATTAGGAAAGGACGTTGGAAGTGGATCGGACATACATTAAGGTAATCACAAATGTGCATCACGTCTCAATCCCTAACTTGGAATCCGAAAGGGAGGCGGAAAAGAGGAAGGCTAAAGAACACACTACGCCGGGAAATAGAAGCAGATATGAAAAGGATGAATAGCAACTGGAAAGAACTGGAAAGGAAGGCTCAGGACAGAGTTGAAAAGAGAATTCTGGTGAGCGGCCTATGCTCCTCGACGAGTGGTAACAGGCGTAAGTAAGTAAGTAAGCCATAAATTCTGATTAGCATTTCAATTAATTGTTATAATCGTACATTAATTTTACTTTTCGTTTTTATTACCAAGAAGCTATACCATTATAGTGACATAGTAATATTTTGACTTTGGAAAGATGGGATAAAGATTTTCGTTTCTGAAATGCTCCAGTTGTATTCTTAACATTTACAGCTCATTCTTATAGATGATTTTATCACTAACCAGTTAGGAGTGTTATTTGAATGTTGACGAACTTACTATAAACATCGTGTAGTTATTCTTAGTCTTTCATATAAACTGTGGTGATGTGTTTCATTTTATCTGCCCTGTAGTTTAGACATAATCATCAAACATTCTGATTATTTGATGAAAATATATATACTCAAGTAAAGTTAGTGGTTGACTAGCCATATTTGATGCCACTGGCCTCTATTATCTATAAAAATATAGCTCTTCATGTTAACCACACTGAATACGAAATTATAATATGTATATATAGTAATTCGTCTGTGAAATTACACAGTTCTATACATCACTAATTACTAGGTTATAATAGTTTTCAATATTTTGAATATGTTAATTATATAAATCACCATAGAACAAATATAGTGAATGACCATTTAATTTTTTGTTCTTCCCACATAATAACTCTCACACTTATGTTAAGTAGTAAAAATTGTTTTAGAAAAGGCCTGTCTGCAACTAATCTTCAGGATACGCTACTAAAAATAACGTTAACTATCATCTAAAATAGTTGCCCTCTAGTTGAGTTGTGTCACCAGGACTTTGTGCTGTCTCTACAATTATGTATTTTATTGATGAAATTTAATCTCCATATCACTTTATTTTCGTCAACTAGCCTACTACTTGTCATTTCTTTTCACTACAGATTTATAAAATAACCCCACCTGTGTCTAAATTAACTTATTGTCTCTCCGGGACATCTGAAATGGCATTAGCTGGATTTTGTGCCGGTCGGTCTTTTAACTGTAATTCATCTAAGAATGATGAACCAGATGAATCAAATCAATCTTCCGCTCTTGGTTTATGTGCTGTGAGTCGATGTTTTCGTAAAGAAGCTCCTAATCAAGAGCCAACGCTTTATCGAGTACATCAGTTTACCAAAGTATGTCGATTAGCTTAAATTAATTCTTCTTCAGAAGTTTTTAAATCACAGGTAGTATCAATTAATTTCATTTGTAAGTGTATGCTGTCACTAGGGTAATTTCTTATCAACTAAACTTTTTGTATGCTATTTAGATATTGATATCATTGAAGAACCGCTTACATTTCATAGTATAGAAGATGAATACTTTGTTGTATGTAAGACCTGATAACTACGTATCCCATCATTGTAATGTTAATCCACGATCTCTTAAATATTAGAAAGTATATTTAATCACTGTTCACGAAGAAGAAAATGCTCCTCACATTCAGGGAGTTGCTGTGATACTGTCCAAAGAAGCACGAAATGCACTTAATGAATGGGAATTTCATAGATCCAGGATTATCAAAGCATCCTTCAAAATAAAGAAAGATGGAATCGCAATGAATGTTATTCAATGTTATTCACCCACCAATGATGGCAATGACAACGATAAATATGAGTTTTACAAGAGGCTGCAATCAATCATGGCGAAGTGCTCAAGAAAGGACCTGACCATTTTGAGAGAGAGGAAAGGACAACATTGGATGTGAAGATATCATAGGACGACATAGTCTAATTAGGAGAAAGAAACGCGAATGGTGAGAGATTTGAAAATTGATGTGCATTCAACAAGGTGGTTATAAGTGGCATAATAATCTCACACAGAAGGAATGAATCTCTATTGAATCCCTAGAAAAGAATCAAGAAAGGAAGAACAAGAAGATAGCCGTTAACTAAAGCCGAACAGGAACAGAGAAAGTCAAGACATAAACTGAATACACAGAAGCAAACAAGCAAGTGAAGAGGAGCGTTACAACTGAGAAATAGAAATACGTGGAAGACCTAGCAATAGCAACGGAGAAAGCTGTATGACAAGGAGATATATATATATGACACACTGAAGAAACTATCAGTGGTAATATAGTAGACCAGAGAGACTGGTTAATGATGAAGAGGGGAAGACAATCACCAAGACTCAAGAACAGAGGAACAGATGGGTAGAATAATTTGAGGAGCTCTAAAATAATAGGTCAGTTCTATTGAATCTACTGGATATTGAAGCAACACACGCAGACTTCCCTATCGATGTCGCATCACCAACAATCGAAGAAATCAGGATGAGCATTAAGCTGGTCAAGATTGGAAAAGTAGAAGGACTAGACGACATAATAGCTGAAGTCTGACAGAAGTAACTATGAAGATGCTCCACGTTCTGTTCAAGGAGATTTGGTATAAAGAACAAGCACCACTGACAGATTGGAATTCTGAGAATTCTATATTGTACCAGATTATAATACTGAATAAAGCCATTAATAAAAATAATAATAATAAAAAGGGATACCTCATGAAGACAACAAACAAGGGAGATCTGAGGAAATACAAGAACTACACAGGCACCACACTACTATCGGTACCATGAAAGGTTTTCAACAGAGTGTAGCGGAACTGGATTTGAGGCACAGTAGACGTCCAGCTTCTAGACCAACAGGCCGGATTCCGTAAGGATTGGTCTTGCACAGACCAAATCACGACACTGTGGATCATCGTTGAACAATCAATTAGATGGAACTCTTCACTATATATCAACCTCCTTGACCACGAGGAAGCATTCGACAGTGTGGGTAGGAGGACTTCATGGAAACTTCTCCGACACTATGGGGTATCTGAGAAAATCGTCAATATCATCTGGAATTCATACGATGGACTACACTACAAAGTCGTGCATGGAGGATAGCTGACAGACTCTTTCCAAGTAAAGACCGGAATCAGAGACGGATGTTTACTCTTCCTCATCCTCTTCTGGTGGTTGATTGGATTATGAAGACCTCGACATCTGAGGGGAAGCACGGAATAAAATGGACAGTCTGCATGCAATTAGACGACTTCGACTTCTCATATGGACGCGAACAAATGCAGATGAAAACAAGTAATGTAGCAGCAGTTTCTGCATCAGTGAGCCTTAACATACACAAGTGGAAAATCACGATCTTCAAATACAACACGGTAAACACCAACCCAATCACACTTGATGGAGAAACTCTGGAAGGTGTAAAGACATTCAGGTATCTAGGAGGCATCGTTGATGAACAACGAGGATCCAATGCAGATGTGGAGGCGAGGATTGGCAAAGTAAGGACAGCATTTCTACAATTGAAGAACATATGGGACTCAAAACAAATGTTAACTAATATCAGAGTCAGAGTTTTCAATACGAACGTCAAAACAGTCCTACTGTATGGAGCTGAAACGTGGAGAACTACTACTATAGTGAACAAGAATAGCAGTGTATCCAAACAAATATATCTGAATACAGAATTGCAGAATTTCTTAGTAAAATCTGAAGACTATACATTAAATACTTCATTTGCAAAATATCCATCCGTTGTCTCAGACGTTGTTGTTCCTTTGTTTCTGTGCCAATCACTCTCTGGTCATTTTTCTCAACCTTCTCCAGACATTCCACTTTCCATTGGTGATACATACCACATACTACACTACAACAGTTTTCTACGCAAGGTACTCAATATCTGTTGGCCAGAAACCATCAGCAACAGCCTACTGTGAGAGATAGCAAACGCGGTTTTAGCTGAGAAGGAAATTAGGAAAAGATGTTGGAAGTGGATAGGACATACATCACGGAAATCACCAAACTGCAACATAAGGCAAGCGCTAATTTGGAATCCTGAAGAAAAACGGAAAAGAGGAAGGTCAAAGAACACACTACGTTAGACATTGGAAGCAAACATGAAAAGCATGAATAACAACTGGAAGCAACTTGGAAGGATCGCCCATGACAGAGTTGGATGGAGAATGCTTGTGAGCGACCTATGCTCCTCGACGAGGGGTGACATGTTCAAGTAAGCAATATTTAATCATCAAGGACTTATTAATTTCATTACTAGAACGTGTTTTTGTTGTTGAAGAAAATAGTTCCCTGCTTAAAACTTAGAGGGGTTTTTTTCTGGCCAGGCTATTTGACAGAGTATTTCATTCTCCTGCGGATTTCAAGTTCAACATGCCTAAAGTCTATCGAATCTTCAAATAGCCGAACGTTCAATAATTACCATCATAACTGCTATCTCAAAAAAGTAAGTAGAAATGTTGAACTATGCGTAAAAATATACGTAGTTTCTGTTACACAACACTGGTAGACCGACAGAAATTAACGCTTAGTACAGCTGTTTGACGGTTGCTATATCATTTCAATTAGCGCAACTTGAGCCACCTCATCTATTATTATTATTATTTATTATCAGCTTTTTAAATATGATTATAACTGTATCATTTTACTACAGGCCTCCTTCGCCGGTGCTAATCACACCCTGATTTTGACGTACGCACCTGCCCGTATAACCCCAAAAACTAAATCACAGACGTTTATATTGCTCGTATCGACAATGCATAATCCCGTCAACGACCATTACTATTGTTACTATGTTAACATATCGTCAATGAGGTTTTTCTAAACTAGCGAATGGTGGAAAACTTTATTCTAGCTTACTTGAATTATGGGGACATTTATAAGCAACTGAAAAGTAGACCTTTGTAATATTTCCTCAGGTATATGAATATGGTTACTAATTGAACAATGATAATATACAGATGCTGCGTTGGACTGCATTATATATATGAACTTGTTTGAACTGATAATCGATTGTTCTAGACAAACCCTTTAGAAAACAAATAAAAAAGATACTTTCAGAACCCTTATAAACATTGTAAACCTACAATTCAAAGTGATTCGATTCTTCTTCTCATTCATAGGTAGAAATGTTTGCTATTACTGCCCCCTCATTACCTGTCAGTGACGCAATGTTCAATCAAATTATCAAATTGCAAATATGTCTGTTCGCTGATTTAGGTTTACATTTTAGGTAAATCACTTCTTATGATCGGTAAATTTTGAAAAAAAATCAATTATTATTAATTGCAATCTGCATTTTGTTTTTGTAAATATTCTTGGTTTAAACTTTCCTGATATTATCATTACAAAGCTTAGTAGTTTGAATTAAATGTTATAACTTGTGGCCTTGTGCCCTGTCAATATATAACGTAATAATACCGCCAATTAGAGAACATTGAATTATCGAATGATTTATGTGGTGCATATCTATTTGGTGCCTCTTTGTACCAATGTTTATGTGCTCAAATAAATAAATAAAACAGTCTAGAGTCTTTCTCGGTCCTTCTCCCTGCCTTGTTGAGTTCAGAACACCAAATACAGCCTCTGCGTTATGAATCATGTATTTCAAGCATACTGAGTTTATATACAAACCAAACAGACCCCATCGTACCATAAAATAAAAAATAACATTTGTACAAGATCTAGTCAAAAGTGGCTGTGAATGTGCAAGACTGTAATTAATAGGCAGGGCATAACTCAAGAACGATAAATTGTATAATAATAGTTTATAGGTCAAAGTAAAGTTTGCAACACGAGAAGTGTAGATATACATAGTCTAGTTACTAAATAGTTATACATTAAGAATACACATTTAATATTTGTCCATAAATATTTCCCGAAAGTCCCCATTCATAATTCTCGCCGGGATATAACATTAAGTTCTCAACCAACAGACCTAAGATTTCTCTAGTAATCCAAAGAATAATAGTTTAATAAATAATGAGCAGTTTGACTGCAGTAGAGCTTTCTTTTTCTGTCCCAATCCATCAAATATGACTCTTTGTACTAAGTTAGATAATGGTGAGACTGTACCACCATTGACTAGCTAATCAGGTTTGAGATAGCACCTCTTTGATTTTCGTCCGAAATTCAAAATGTGTTAGAATATACCTTGTTTCTGAGTAACAATTACTTTTATTTAGTTCTTAAGGTGATCAAGATTTGTAAACATACCTACTGTGCAGATGAGACATGTTTTGTAAGCTAAATGGCAAGAAGTACTTACTGCTAGTACCGATTGTATCCAAAACGCTAATTACTCGTTAAAAGTCCTTCATGTAACTCATGGTATAATATAGGATGGCTAAAACATATTCTCTTATTTTAACTCATACCCTACTCCGACTCCTAATTTCCTAACCTTTTTTCGTTTTTTATAATAAATAATTTAATTTGTCATGATTCCTTAATCATGTTAGAACTGTGTATCCATTATAGTCCTGTTATTATAAACTGTTTTAGAACTAAACAATGTTTTCTAATTGGTTTACGAACCGCCCAACGTCGTCATTATAGTAAATTTTTACTTAGACAATAAAAGTAACTTATTTCTATATTCATCACTCAATTGAATGACATCATCCAAACGCCTAACTTCTACTATGTTTTTCACCATGTGGCTCTATGATCTTAACTCAGATGTTTTAAAAATACTGGTCATACAGTACCTTTATTTTTCTCAAATGTTATATTTAATTCCAATAAAATAAACTATATTCCAACTGCTCAACAAATTGCTGTTGAAAATAACGTTAAAGTATTTCTTTTTACATATCTAAACACTTCGGTTAAGAAACATCATTCTAGTAATATTTCTGGGTAATTTTGTCGGATTATAAGTTTCGATCTGATATACATACAAAATATTTAAGTTAATATCCATTAGCTTTTTATCCGTAAAATATTTATTAATTTTGATGTATGTCTTTATGAATCCAGAGTTCTTGAAATGTCATCGGAAGAGCTGGGTGATTCAGCTTACAGGAAAGTTGATATTGAAGCATGGATGCCAGGAGATCAAATATACGGAGAGGTGAGTTAATAATCGTATGAAATTTATAGAACATGAAACAGTTACTTTTCAGTGATGTTAAACGCTTGATATTCAGTCAGTGAACAATAAATCGTATATTATAAAGGTGACAGAAATCCCCAGTTTTGAGTGAATTCAGTCGATTGATAATGGATAGTGTGATGACATAAACGGAAATAACCTGAAGAAATGTGATCGAATTAGATAGATATTCAATAATTAAGGTATTTCATGCAGAAAAATGACATTAAATGAATAATTTGAGACAATGGGAAATATAAAACAGTAGACGCAATAAAAAGTGAATAAAGCACTTCAACACTAGTCTCAAGAACAAAATAAATTGATGAATATGACGGTAGGTTCATGATGGAGGCACATTGAGATGCGTGTACCATGTTGTTTTACGATCTACTGTTCGGGTTAGATATTTAGATCAGTTAAGTTTACTAGGGATGGTGTAAGTGTAGGGTATCTTCAGGTAGAGAAGTTTAATGAATGGTCTCAGTAATAATAACGGTTAAACATTTAACGTTCGCGTAATTTCACCAGTGGAACGGGATATACTTAAAGGTGTAAACACACTTCGGGCATTTTCAAAGGAGCAGTAACATCGATACAGTGAACAAAGAATAGGAGGGATTTTATTTCACGGGAGACTTTGGAAAATTATTGTTCTAGAGCATCGAAATTTACTGGTAAACCAATCGATATAGAGGGCAGATGTAGATCGAGATCGTTTCACGAATGATACAAAGTTACGAATACTACAACTAGGCGTTTCTGCATATTGAATTGCATCATTGGACTTAAAAGATAGTTTAGGTCTCCACTTTGATGAATGGTCAAATCCGAGCTCATTGAATCTGGATTTATAGTTCAAAGTACAATCGGTCCTAAGAATGCGAAGTGTGAATAGCCTCTGAATGATGCCTCGCGTCGCTGTAATTCCTGTGAAAAAAGTACACCTGGTCAATTTTTCGAACTATAGCACCTTAAACAAGCTGTCATGTACCGGTTTTTTACGTTCAAAATTGCTATGTATATCAAGCTGACCATAGTTGTAAGCCGGTGTGAGTTCCGTAATTCTTTTTTCAGGATATATGTATTTATTTACCGTAAAATCTGAGATACGTATATTGAACATACTATTGAGTGGCTTAATGAATAAAAATGTCGCATCTCTCTACCCTATTTTTAGTCTATCACTTATAACCCGGTCTATGCATGTTTATTCACACGACCTCATCTGTTATATTTTTTTTACAGATTTCTAGTTCATCAATCTGTCTCGATTATCAGTCTAAACGTCTAAATATTCGATGGCAAACATCTAGTAACCAAAATGAATTCGCTTATACGGTAAGCATTTGTATTACATATATAATGTGTTTCGTTTGTTTTACTTATGATTAGTGTTCGATGAATTATGTAAAGTTAATAATATTTCGTCTATAAACGTTTGAATAGTATCTAAAATTCTGTGAATCCGTATAACTTCAATCCACCTTATAAGTTTGTATGAATATGGTAGTGAATTGTATATTCATTTAATTTAAAAACTAGAATACGATAATCGTTATGGAATAAGTATGATTTTATCACAAATCTTGTGGTGTTATCAAGTCGAATTTTACGCACCTAGTTAGAAATGATCAGTTGGCCCTAATGTTTGTCTATAAAATCATGTTCAATTTCGAAAAATGAATGTATTATTAAATACCCAAACGTCATTAAAACAAAACACATTTATTTACCATGTTGTAATAACAAAGTTTCGATTTATTTAGTTTATTTTGAGCTGTTGTTTGAGACCTTTTCTCAATTTCTAAATATAAGTTAACTAATTCTCTGGGTACTTTGGTATGAGACGCTCTCTAAACATAAGATCTAATAATACAACCCGGTTGCCCAAACAGAAGTAGGTAGAGAGGGATTTAACGGCCAAAAGTCAAACACCTTAGCCACTGAACCACCACCGCAATCCAATGTTTGAAAGCCGTGGTGAATATTTCAATGATCGAAGTTACGAACATACAGTTTTTAAACCTGCATCCTACCGAAAACTCACTTGCAGTATTAAATTCTTTGAATACAATCGTCTGTAAACATCACAAGTGTTATGCTTGAAGTTAAATGGTTAACTTAAGATTTCATCAATGCGCACATCGTTTCAGTGGTAAGTTAATTCATTGATACAAAAAGTTATCTTTTAATAAAACATATTTTATAACGTCCTTGATTTTAACTGCCAATGTCTTTATTTGTTTTTTGATATTTACAGTTAAATGGAACTGCCTGTGCAATCCCACGTATAATGAAAGCCCTAATAGAGACCCATCAGACTCAAGTATGTAAATTCACTAGTTGTTCATTAATCACAACGACACTGTTAGTCACTAATAATATTGTGCACAATTTACATAATTTACAACAACAAATATTGTTGGGTTAAATTTCATAAGACACTTTTTTCGACCGAATCAAACAGAAACGATCAACATGCTTTAGTGCAATCATTTTTTTTAACCAGTGAGTCCCAATGTTCATAACTCATTCTACCTATTTCATTTTGGGCAGTTGGGTAATAGTATCATTAGCCTTCATACAAAAAGTCTTGACCCCAAGGCAAATACATAAACTTTTACTTCGTAAATAAGTTATATCAACTTTATTTAAAATTTGGATCTTACCAAAACTTGTTCATCATATATTCTATGGTCCAGGACTGGTCTGGATTAATATCTTTCATTCAAATTTACATTGTACTGAACTCATCAACTAAATAGGATCAACCGATTTCCCAATACTTTTTTTTATTAACAAATCTAATTTTATTTACACTAGAGAAATAAACTGTTTCATTTGTCTTATTTCTAGGATAAGCATATTATCGTCCCAGATGTTTTAATACCTTATATGAAAACGGGAAATCTTTATCCAGCATTTCAACTTAAACGTGTTCTTAGTCAGAAACTATGAAAACAATTTTTTAATGTGTAATAATTTTATTTACTAATTTCTGTACAAAATTAATATTTTATGAATGTATATTATATAGTTTGTGTGAATGTTAGATTTGTTTTCCCTATAAAAAGACATCAAATTGTCTTGGTGCTTAAGCCATATTTTCTTGGAAACTGTCTTCATCAGTGTCTTCATCTTGAATTGTTGTTAATCGACCTTTACCCCTTGTTCGGCTAGCCTCAAATTCAGGCATTTTCTCTCCAAACGCTTCAAGCTCTTCATGAAGAGACATCATATTCTCTGCTAAATCATTCGACCATACTGAAATAGGCAATTTTTCTATTTCATCCAGTTCATCATACTTTTGAAAAACAACAATGAATGATAATGTCATTATGTTACAAAACAATAGTATTCATAATTAAAACCTATGATTATTTGTTAATATCATTTTAGTGCATCAATTATAAATAACGCTGGGTTTAACACAAGTATATATGCACCAAAGTCACTGTACATCATAACAGCAAAAGATACGAAGTTAATGAATGAAACTGACAGAATAAATGGACAAAAAATAGTACAGTGTTTAAAGCCTGAAGAAAGTTAAAAAGTCTATGTATTTTCATTATGAATTCTCCCTCAGGTCCTTAGGACAGTTTAGAACCACTAGTATTTATAAAATACATTATGGCTTATTGTTCAATACATGAATCTGTCTGTGTTTGGCAAGTTATATTCTAAAAACTTAGTTTTTAATTTAACATGTCTGTTTTTTGTTTAGATGTCGGTATAAGTACCAAATGGAAACTGAAGTTTTCCACAATGTTACATCATAACCTATAACTTAACATTTAGCTAATTTTAAATGGTCTTTGTAAATTAGTTCATTTTGAGGTTAACATTCATCACGAATCGATATCGGCTAGAGAATCCCTGGTCAGTCTGTGTTGAAAACTATCTTTAAATCGGAATAGTCCTAGTTATACTTTACGGTAGCACTTAATATCAGTTGTATTTAATATATGTTCATAACCATCACATACATAAGTACTTGTCATAAAACACGGAAGTGTATTTATACAATGAATATAGTAATATGGAAAATAAAATAAATTCATTACATTTTGCATAGCTTAAAACTTAACTTTTTTTAAAAAACTGAAAATAAAGTTAGGACACTTACGCACCAATCTCCATAAGATGAGTACTTTTTAATTGTTCGGTTCCGAATAATCGATCTTTCGATTTTTTCTTCACTATCTAATGAAGCGCGCCAATCTGATAGCAGTTTCTTTAGTTTGTTGCTGATATCCACTTTTGTGCGTTCATCCACGCTAATCCATTTAGAGTCATATGTGTTTTTATCGATAGAACATGTAAGACACTTTTGTCCAGCTGTAAGCGCTTCTTCATAGTTCCCTAATAAAGCATGAACCTAAAAGCAAACAAGTATTGAGAAATAGGATTAAGTCAGAAACACTTATATTACTGATGCGATGTGAAATTTATATCAGTAATGACTTCACATGTAAAAATATCTCGTCTACTTTGTGTTAATTCTAATTTCGTTGTGATTAAAAGTCCAACGATGGCTTAGTGATCGCAGCATATATGATGGGATTTTTCAGAAGACAAGCCATCATACTCCTTATGCCGGATTCTAACCACTTGGTTTTCAATATAAAATACAGATGAATTCTCTTATGTACAAATAGCTAATACGACTGATCTAAAAAAAAGCCGGATATCCAGAACCAAAGGTGTTCATTTCATCAAACGATAGCAAGTAAAAGATGTGCAAGCAATACCTAGAATAATGACTTTACATGCTTTTTTAACCAATACTGCATTAAGCATATATATATGACAAACTAACTTTCGCTATCCGGAACCAAGCCTTTATATAGTTTGGTTCAAGACTGACTGCTCGCTCACAGCATTTGATGCATGCGGAAAGGTAATCAAATCGAGACTTCTTTGGATTAATAGTACTTGTTGTCCCAAATTTAAAAAGGCAGTGAGCTGCATTCGATAGGCAAATAGCCAATAACTGACGTGGGCTAGGTTTCGACAGCTGATAATCTGGCATCGTTGGGTCGGTATAGTTAAGGTCAGTCACACTGGTGCTTCCCTCTAAGATTCTAATAGCTTTTCTGTAGCATTTGAATGCACGAACCAATAATCCAGTCTGAAATGTACAAAATGAATCGACATTGAAACACTGCCAGATAATCTACGAAAACACATCCGACCTTTTACCCAGGAATTTCACACGAAGCTTTGTCGTTTCAGCTTGATCTACAGTGAGATATGAATAATTCGAGTACTTTATAATAGAAAAAGGCAAAGCGTATTTTCAAAAAAACTACTATATAAAATCAGGATTAAACACGATGCTACACAACGTTTACGAAGTACACGCAAGTTTGAAAAATATGCATGAAAAAATGTATCAGAACCTTTAGTAAATATAAATGCAAGAAGTAAAATGAGTTAGCAACAACACTTATGAGAACAGTTACAGCCTTCTTGTAGTCCCAGTGTTATCCTTACATCTTGAACTCAATGAGATGTGGTTATGAAACTGGCAATTCCAGAATGAATCCTAAATATTTACAAGAGCAAATTAACATGACCAAGTATTTCCAGCATAACTTTAGTACAATGCAAATCTATTCATTAGCAACAGAAACAAACGTTTAAAACCTGAATGGTATACTATTTTTGTTGTTTTAAACTGTCGTTGGTATCTTTCAATAAGACCGAAAACCTAAGGCCTAAAAAAGAAACTTCTATGCCTTACTGAAGGTGTAATAGTAATCAGATGTAGATGACAGTTCACTCTAACTCAAGTATCCTAATTAAGAGAACCCGAATTTGAAACCAAGAATCACTGGGTAACATTTAATAAATGAGATATGGCAAATTGAACCAATGTACATACGTACAGGTTCTACGTTGTAACTGACTGGGTGATATTTGAGAATGCGCGACAGGCGACTGCTCAATCTCTATCATTAGTACTAGCCATTTGCACTTGAACACTTCTTCGCAGAACCCAAGACGGCTTTACTTGGTTTTAGTTATGAAGGGATTTTACGCTCGATTTTTATATATATCTGTGTTTGTGAATTAAAACCTAATTAATGTATGTTAGCTTACTGTCAAGTTAATTGACATTATATTCATTACAATTATAGCCATTTTTCATTGTTTCTCATGAAGTAAAGCGTCTGTAGCAAATATGACTGTGTTATCAAATCAAAAACCTTTGAAACAGCTCAAGACAGATAGTTAGATCCAAGATAGCTCTTAAAGTAAGCACAAAAACTGTGTGGATGTGCTTCAATATATATGAGACTTTAGGAAACAAAAAACCTTAACGGTTCAAAAATTCAACTAAACGGCAACTGGGTATAATTTATTACTACAAACAAATAACTATATCACTAAATTCGCAAAATGAAGCAGAAATTTGAAAAATTAATGTAAATAAGATTCCTTCTGGGTACGTGAATAAAACAACAGAACTTTCAGAATCATACGGAAGGAAAAACTCCCTTTGATATTCTACAAACATAACACATCTTGGATAACAACGAATCACACCGTACAAACCAAATGATTGAAATAGGCAAACGACTCAGCTATCCTACAAACTTGGCAGAAAGAGGAATGCTTAGGAAAAGACTATGGATCATTAAATCAAGACACAGTACCAATCCATGAAGTCATTAGGCTGAGGTATGGCAACTTGGACCGATGCATATATGTGCCTGGTCCTACGTTGTCGCTGACTGACTGACTTAGGCTGAGTCGTGTTGGCAAGTGGAGACTACCTGGGTTGGATCTTTGGGATAACCCCGACCAGTAATTGAAAACATTAGGCGATATGGCTCAGGATCGATCACTATGGCGAAAATGGATTCACGTCTTATGTTCCATTAATTATTGAGATTAAATATTATTTCATACTTTCTGTTCATCAAATTCATCTGTCTTCGAGACGTACTCTTCGACTTTAAGTCTCATTAAACATAGAATGGTGCATAGGACTGGTCTACGCCAACGCCTGAACTGACAACAGGAAGAAGTTGAGTGCATTGATCAATTTATTTTCTCGATAGTCTCATCACCCCTCATAGGTTGGTGTTTTTCAACTTACATCACATGTGACGTGGGTGGTTTATCTGTCTGCCAAATAAAAAAGAGTATACTGTGCATCGGTTAGTTCCGTACCACATTATGTCTGTAAAAGGTGGCCTTTGAAAATAGAGGATATTCGTAGATCACTAGTATTCAACCATAGGTGTCCTCGAATCACTGCTGACATATTTTTTGGGATCAGCGAATTATCGATTCTGAGGTTAAACACAGAGCACTAGTTAAAGATGGTAAATCAATTGTCAAGGTACTAAATCTTTATCGATTGAGGTGATTAGGATATATATTACGTATGTCCACCCACCAATTACCTTGACGAGCTGTGATAGCTGGTGTAGAAATAGGTCGGGAGCAAGCTAGAAGCGGCTAAACTAAGACATGGCATCAGTTTGTAAAGACGCTGACTGTTGGAATGATTCACAACTAGATAACCTATTTTTAGACATTAACATACATTATTAATCAAACTAGGGATTTACAGAATACTTAGAGGAGAGGAGAAACCATAGTCCGACATACACTGAAGAGAAACCATATAATAGCCGCGACCATTTTGGTTTATTGAGATAGTAGGTGGTTAATGATTGATAACAAATATCACTCTGCAATCATAGCACCTGAATCTTTCTATTAACTGAATATATCGAAAAGAAGATTAACCACTAGATTTCGAGGTTAGTTTACAAAATTCGAAAGTACTTACATTTAGAAGCTTATTACCACGACATTTCATCACATCAGCAACAATAAACTTTTCACTTTCAGACATTTGCCAAAACTCTGCAAGCTACGGACGTTTGAGTGAATTTTATTTTATCGACCTACCTTTTTGACGTCTTGGAGATATATCTTAAACAATAGTTTGTGAAAACATGCATCATTGATTTTCAAAAATGTCCTCTCCAAATCTGTGAAGGCGTAGTCGGATGTAAGACTCACTTCACACTGTTCCCCGCAACCCATTTCTTGGACTATATTATCCACAACTTTTATAACTCCAAAATCCTCTGCATGCCCCACATCAAAAGTAATATTCTGGTTCTGAAGAATCACTTTGGTATCAACAACAAGTGAGACGTCGACAACGACCCGATCATGTTCACATGGTTTTTCGGTTCCAGCACGTAGAATTACTTTACTTTTTTCCTCTGATAGCTAAATAAACAAATTAATCTTACAATAGAAACGTTTGTTGCTAAACTATACACACAAAGCAATTCCGTATAATCGAATATTTTCAACAACAATAAATGCCAAAATCTTAGAGATCATGAATCTTACTTAATTTCAAGCGTATTAATCTATTGTCACATAACTTCCACCCTTCAGATGGCATATTTTGTTCACAACTAAGTGATTGATACTTGGATATGAATGGTAATCAGTTGTCCGAATTTGGTAGCTACTTTTTATATCCACGAAACAAGGAAGAGCCAACCGCTGAACAGTATGCAATACATTTGAAATCAAAACCAGGAGGAACCCTTGCTTTATGTCCAGCAGATATCGCCCTAACTATTAGGACTATAGACCTTACTGTAAACAGTCAGTTCATGTGAAGCGTATTCTTGTTTAATAAGCTTAGATGGAAAATATCCACCTACTAATCCACTACAACAGGAACTTGTACGTCTGTCAGTTGCAGATTAACTGCTCGGTGGTGTAAACATCACTGTCACTCGAGATGATATAACTTTGAATGTCAGAGATATTACCACTGAGCTGTTCGGACCGCGACTGACCTCCGGCAGGACTGACGTGTATTTACAACTGACTGGTTACTGGGTAGTGACCAACATCGTGTATGTCAGATCCTTAGTGCAGACCGAGTTCTATCAATTGAGTAGCAATGTACCCACTAGTCTAGGTGATTCGACACCATGGGCACCATGTTAAGATGTAAGGTGGTGGTTGGAGGTAGTCGATAGGGAACCCTGAACCTAGGTTCTGTGCAATTGAAAACTCGTCAACAAGATATACCTGTGATCTTGTAGGGAATGTCGCTCCCTAGCTTATACGGTGACGATGCCTAACACCAAACAAATATGATTAATTTCAACACAATATAAATCAAACATTTGTTTCATTTTGTACGCATGCACTAAAATTATTTTTAAGACTAATAACTAACATATTTAAACACAGACCTTAACTCCAAACATCGAGACATAACAGACAAAATTTCGGATTAATATTGGGGCAGCCCCATTGAAAAGACAGACGTATTACCAATTACAATGTTTATTAAAGCAAAATGAAATTTACAGTAAAAAAACCTTTATGGATATGTACAAATATCAGTTCCGAAACGAAAACGGTGAATAAGATTTATCTGCCGAATTAATATTAATTCGATTCAGTTATGTCTATGGTATTCTGAAACAAAAGTAGAAAATTAAGACGTGAATCAATGATAGCAAGGGATTGTATACGCAGAACATAGAACCACAGTACGTACTGTGAATGAATAAGATGACACTGATTTCCAAGTGACAACTGCCCCAATACCTGCAACAGTACTAGAGATCCTCTTGTCCATTATCAAGTTTCTTCATCAGTTGGTATTTTTTTCAACTTCCACCACTAACCCTTCACCCATGCACCATTTATGCTAACTATTAGAGTCCATAAAATGTTACTCCTGGTCCCTTGATAACATTCGACTTTCGGACCGTATGTCAAACAAGCCAAAAAGCTTACGTAGCTAGTATAGGATTGTAGTATCCAGCACAGTCAGTGTGTGCTGTATCTCCAAAACACAAACACAAGATCAAGGTGTGGTCATCCACTTGACATCGGACAGTTGATACGGAGAACCGGGACGATTTGCCCTAGATGTATCTGGGGATTTCGACTACAACCCCTCGTGACCTCACTGGTATAAGTATAGCACTAAGTTCAAAAGCGGAACAGGCTCTCATAGACTGGATTCCATTAGACAATCGCTCGTCAGACTAAACAGGGAAATAAGAACACGGAAAGATAAGGACACACGCTGTTGCCTCATCGTCGTATCTGCCCACGCTCTCAATGACTGCAGTTCGAGTGAAGTAAAGGACGAGTTTTACAGAAAGATTTCCCCCTTTACTACAAAAAGCCGAACGCTCAGAAGTAGCAATCGTGACAAGATTAAACATACATGCAGGTAGTTGAAGGTAGTTCTTTCAGCTCTATGGGTGTGAAACATGGCCACTAAGAGTAGGTGTCTCTAGGTTACTAGTATTCCACGATAGGTATCTTTGAACCATTTCTCGTGCATTTTGGGACCACTGAGTAAGCAATGCTCGGTTTAGGAATAGGACGCACTAGGTAAAGATGACCAGTCAATTAATCAGGGAGTATATTTTTTAATTAAATGAGGTGGTTTGGATATGACACATACACGCACACCACCTACCGCGGCATGAAAGTAGGCTGAAAGAATGATAGGGGCGGCAAACCAAAACATAGCACCATTCCACATATTCATTGACAACTGGACTGAGCTATATTAACAGATGTAGACTATCTGATTGGAGTTCGCCCTATTATTGTAACTAGTGGTTAGAGACTTTGAATGGCATGACTCAAAATCGTTTGCAATGGCGCAGGTACATTTATGCTGACTTCCTCCAGATTCTAAGCTTTTGAATCCCTAATTTATATTTTATTCAATCGAAGCTTTGATGCCTAATCTTTTATATTACCACTAATAGTGTTACTACCTCTATTGCTCTGGGATTTCCCCTGACAATTTCACCTCGCTGTGCTAATGGGACATGACAACATGAACCAATGTATCTACGCACAAAGGCTCTACGTTGAGACTAGCTGATGGTTTATAGCTAGTTGCGTACAGACTTTCCGTGAGAAGTTTCAGATAAGTTAGCTTGGTGCTTCAAAGGGCCTTATCGCCAAAGACGAAAATCCGCGAGGTGTTAATTAATTTATTATTATTTATTTGAACACAAATATTGGTACAAAGGGGCTGTAATACTGCCCGGGTGCCCAGACCGAATTAAGTGGTTTTCTTAAGGGGCCACACCCGGAGCCCTCGACCTAAAAGTCCGAACTACAAGGCAGTGGAGCAACGTAAGGAGATGCAGTCCCATGGTAGCCGGTGGTCAATAATTGGTTCATACACTATCTATTCCCTCAGGATAAAGGTTTCCCACGGTTGAGAAAAAGGGATAAAACACATAAACAAATAATTGGCCTTATTGATGCAGAAGTCTAGTGTGCTAAATGGAATAATCGCATTATTGTATCTATGTATGATTACACAATTTTGCTACAGGAGACTTTCAGGTAGGCCTTTACCTGGAATCATTATTCGGAAATCTGTTTAATTATCTTACAAAAAATATGGACCAGGACGACACATTATCGTATCATTCAAAGAGACTAAGTGGGTACACTCGTAGTTGCATCCAATAAAAAAATTGCAAGAGAACCGAGGAAAATAGAGATCGGTCACGTATAAAACTCCGAGGAATTAGAAGCTATAGAAAAAGACCTTCGTTGCAATCCAGTCCAGTATCCGAACGTCAATATTTACACACACAACTTACCTATCGTTGACTAGGTATATATTAAGTAAGTCATTAGTATTCAGTCTTTCCAAAACTGAAATCGTATCACCGCTTAGCCCATCAAATCTACAGTCAAACACAATATAGGCTGTGTCAAATGAGTAGGCTACATCGATGCCCAGGTACGGCCGAGAGTGGGGAGAGTCCGCTCTCCCTCCCGAAATGCTCTCACATGGCCACGCGTATATAGCCTCCGCCATGGAAGTCCTACTCACTGCCTTCTTGTAGCGGGGGTGTTGTTTAAGAAATTGAGGGGACGAAAAGCGAATGCCTGGCGCTTTAACCGGTTTGGTGGACACGGCGAGTCCACCTAGGGGAGTTGGAAAACCTTTATTCCAAACCAATGGTGCACATGGGCTCCATTATCCTGAGTGAACAAATGGCGTATGAATCAATCGTCGATCACAGGTGGTGCTTCCTTGTACCAACATTTATGTTTAATAAATAAATAATAATAAGGCTACATCAACATTTATTTTTATACTTGTATTATATTTGTGATGCAGACGATCACTAAAGTAATGTTGGACATGAATGAACAATCTAACAGACTACACAGGTTGGAGACCTGTGTCAAGAAGAGAACATGGAGCATATACTTGCAAAACTGAACTATTGTTGGCCTGAATTTTGTCACAGCAAATAACCATTCAATATACATAGGATGGAACAAGAAGCAATATCGGTATTAGTAATTACCTATTTTACGGAAGGATTTGTAGTGGGTAACATCATTGATCATATGTTTTAAGTTCTCGACTAGTTATTCATTTGGTGAGAGTGATAAAATAAAGAAGACGGATTCAATATACCATACTTACATGATGTAAGACAGAGTAGACAAAAATTAACCAAAAGTAGTATAAACTATCTTAAATGTTCCATAAAGCACTTGTGGTTGTATTTTAAATGATAAATTACTGTACAAAGTATACATGACCTGTTTCTATTTCTCAGTTAAACCCTTACACATCTTATGTCGCATGTAGGTTACTAAAGCTCACATCACATTTCCAAACGAACGTACTTTTGAGAACTAACGTCAGTTAATTCGTTCATAGTATATGCAATGATTTTATGTTACGTACGTACATAATCGCTTGCGAGGATAGATTTCCGTCTTCATTTTCTACTTTTTTTCAGAAATCGGCGAGGCTATAATGTTCGGACGACCTTTGAACGAATCTAAAGTGACCTTGAGAAATGCTAGACAATCACTAAACAGTAAATGGTTCAAATGGTTGAGCACGGAATAGAAGAAGCTTTCGCTTCCTTGTCTAGTAGTAGTGGATCACCAATACCTCCAGGCAAAAACCTAGGTATATGAACGATAATAGAGGAAAAAAAGAACTTGGTAAATCAAAATAATATGATATCCTTAGTCCTTAAGAATAAGTCAAGTTTCCTTTTTAAGGACTCCTGGGAAGTCGCTTGGACTAGCTCAGTAGGCAGCGAATTCCACCATTTGACAACCCTTATGGAGTAGAAGTTGTGTCTGCAGTCTGTCCTGCTAAGCATAGAGTAAAAATATATTATTCAAAACCAAAGAATTAAAGTGGATACACTTCCTTTATATGGTCCGAATACGTACCAAGGTTAGTAAAAGGTTCAAAGCTTTCAAAATCGTAATGCATAAGGTAGAGGAACTTATCCGTACGGCTCCATGACAGTTGGTCTCTGTAGCGATGATAAAGTCATAAAAACACTCTCAGCCTCGACCAAATAGCCTCATTATAGTTCTTGTGTATACTCCGGTTGCATAAGTTTATCGTTTTTAATATGGATATGTCCCTACAATACTCATACCACTGCATAACAGAAGCTTCAGTATTATCTGCGATTATTGCAGCCAATGTTACTGGTGCTTTTATTATAAAGTTTGCGGCAATTATTATAGTATGCCTTAGTCTTGTAGGGCCTGTGAAATGCCACTGAACCCTGGCCAAATCATCCGGCATTTGGGTCACTAAATATTGAACAGATCATCGATTACCGTCAAGGTCAAGGACAATCAACACGCATCAGTTAATCACACGACATGGAGTGGCCCATGCAGCAGCGGTTCTACTTTCGATTGTATCTACTTTAACTAATATATTTCTGTAATGACGTCGTTTGTGTTGCACAGTCTTCAGAGCATCCATGGCCCCTTGATACGTCGATGGGGCCATCCACGTAAGGAGCTGGTCGCGAGGTGTGACTTGGAAGTTAGCTTGTTCGTTAAACCGTTCCTGTCTACCTCGAGTAGTCCTCCAATCATTCAACATAGATCATCAACGTTGATGGTCTACAGCATCTAGTTCTACGTGCCCTAAAACAGCACTATTTCAGCAATTTCTTATCAACAAATTAATTTTAATACTTCTAATAACCGCGCAAACTTTTATCCTGCTATCGGATCTTACTTCATTGATGATTTGTTTTCTTCAGCTCGCACTGTTCTACTTGGTCGATTTTGCAATAAATGTTACAGTTTTTCTTATTCTGTCTCAAACACACTCATTCAATTATGTACATGGTCCGCTTTTGTGTCCTTCATCTTTTCTTGTTTTACTTTTTTCTTTAAGAGTCAACGCAATATTCTTTTAAATTCTACAGAACCTTTTTATATGCGGAGAATGTTATGCAACCATAACAGGAACTTGTGTTTTACTGCACTTCTGCTGAAACCAAAAATGGTTTCTTCACAGCACTTGCGCACCAACAAGCTGTCTAATAATAATAGTAACCACTTTGTGCATCTTGTCGCTCCTGACTGTAATTCTGGATACTATACATTCGCATATGTTCAATAACTTCTATCTAATTTGAATTGCGATCCATTTGTGACTAATAAAATACAAATTGTAAGGGTTTCTAATTTACTAGTTGGTATAAAACTTCGCCTGTAGCTCTTCTTGGGCTACAGCTTATCCAAAACCCGGGTAAGATTGGGGATTGGGCATGGGGTTGGCAACCCCATCCCCTAGAAAACAGCACTACTAAAGGTAAGCTAACTATAATAAACAAATTAAGCCCTTCAAACTCTGTCCTACAAGTTAAAGGAAATATTAGATAGCCTTATGCTGACAGACGAGATTTTTCGGAAGTCACGAGGCCGCTACCACTTTTAACAATCAGAGCGACAATTAATATAGGTACGTGGAATGATTGGACTATGTGGAAGACCGGAAGGAACTTGTCGGTGCTCGGAACTGGTGAAACCCATTGAACCCATACTGAACAGAAAAGGATAGATTCATAACAGATTCTGATGTACTTTGGTCACAAAAAAGAAAATGCACCGCACACGTAGAGAGATGCTCTGATGCTGCCCAAGGAAACGAGAAAAACACTTATAGGGTGAGAATCTCATGGACACATAATCATAGCGAAGTGCTCAGGAAAGGACCTGACCATTTTGAGAGAGAGGAAAGGACAACATTGGATGTGAAGATATCATAGGACGACATAGTCTAATTAGGAGAAAGAAACGCGAATGGTGAGAGATTTGAAAATTGATGTGCATTCAACAAGGTGGTTATAAGTGGCATAATAATCTCACACAGAAGGAATGAATCTCTATTGAATCCCTAGAAAAGAATCAAGAAAGGAAGAACAAGAAGATAGCCGTTAACTAAAGCCGAACAGGAACAGAGAAAGTCAAGACATAAACTGAATACACAGAAGCAAACAAGCAAGTGAAGAGGAGCGTTACAACTGAGAAATAGAAATACGTGGAAGACCTAGCAATAGCAACGGAGAAAGCTGTATGACAAGGAGATATATATATATGACACACTGAAGAAACTATCAGTGGTAATATAGTAGACCAGAGAGACTGGTTAATGATGAAGAGGGGAAGACAATCACCAAGACTCAAGAACAGAGGAACAGATGGGTAGAATAATTTGAGGAGCTCTAAAATAATAGGTCAGTTCTATTGAATCTACTGGATATTGAAGCAACACACGCAGACTTCCCTATCGATGTCGCATCACCAACAATCGAAGAAATCAGGATGAGCATTAAGCTGGTCAAGATTGGAAAAGTAGAAGGACTAGACGACATAATAGCTGAAGTCTGACAGAAGTAACTATGAAGATGCTCCACGTTCTGTTCAAGGAGATTTGGTATAAAGAACAAGCACCACTGACAGATTGGAATTCTGAGAATTCTATATTGTACCAGATTATAATACTGAATAAAGCCATTAATAAAAATAATAATAATAAAAAGGGATACCTCATGAAGACAACAAACAAGGGAGATCTGAGGAAATACAAGAACTACACAGGCACCACACTACTATCGGTACCATGAAAGGTTTTCAACAGAGTGTAGCGGAACTGGATTTGAGGCACAGTAGACGTCCAGCTTCTAGACCAACAGGCCGGATTCCGTAAGGATTGGTCTTGCACAGACCAAATCACGACACTGTGGATCATCGTTGAACAATCAATTAGATGGAACTCTTCACTATATATCAACCTCCTTGACCACGAGGAAGCATTCGACAGTGTGGGTAGGAGGACTTCATGGAAACTTCTCCGACACTATGGGGTATCTGAGAAAATCGTCAATATCATCTGGAATTCATACGATGGACTACACTGCAAAGTCGTGCATGAAGAACAACTGATGGATATAATCCAAGTTAGGCCAGAATCGGATTGGATTATGAAGACTTCGACATCTGAGGGGAAGCACGGAATAAAATTGACAGCTTGCATGCAATTAGATGGTTTAAACTTCTCAGCTGACCTGTTTCTTCTATCGTATAAACATCAACAAATGCAGGTAAAGACAAACAGTGTAGGGGCAGGCTCTTCTGCAGTAGGCCTCAACATACACAAGTGGAAAACCAAGATCTTCAAATACAACACAGAAAACACCAATCCAATCACACTTGATTGGGAACTCTGGAAGACAGCTGAAACATGGAGAACCACTACATTCATCAAAAGTGTACAAGTATTTATAAACAGTTGTTTACATGAAATACCGGATACCATCGGCAACAGCCTAGCGTAGGAGATGGCGAATGAGGTTTTAGTTGAGGAAGTTAGGTAAAGACGTTGGAAGTGGATAGGACAAATATTGAGAAAATCACCAAACTGCATCATGAGTTAAGCGTTATCTCGGCATCCTGAGGGGAAACGGGAAAGTGGAAAACTAAAGACCACATTGCGTCGAAAATCGGAAGCAGACATTAAAAGGACCAATAGCAAATGGAAAGAGTTGCCCAGGACAGAGTTGGAAGGAGTATGCTGGTGGGCAGTCTGTGCTCTTCTACGAGGGTACTACGCGTATGTATATAACTGAGTATTGTATAGATTGTGCGCACAAGCATATATTTGAATATCCTTTGCAATCAGTCAGGGCTTCCACTGGAACATTCCAAGTTATTACTGCGCAAGCTATGATGTCTGTTCGGACTAATTATTCTACTGCATCATGTACCTAGTTGCTTTTATGGATTTGAATAAAGCTTGAAGAAACCTGGATGTAGAATAGTATAGATTCATTATATTTCGCGGTTTTTCATGAGCTGCTCACAACCGTATCTTTATTCAAAGTTTACATTGAGGTAAGTCATAGTGTGAATCAATTGACGTAGATGAATAAAGAGAATTGGGACGACAAGGGTTATCAATATTAACTTCAAATATATATATATATATATGCTAAGCTTACCCTTTACAAAATATGTCCGACTTATCTTAAAATACTGCTCTTTTATCTTCTCTAATATGAACTCCATATACAAAATCAGACGTTCAAAGGCCCTTCATACGCCAACTGCTAGGAAATGAATTCACTCTCGATTACACAGGTAGATGTAATCACCTCTTTTTATAGCCTTTGTGCCATCGTAGGCTAAGGAACAAACTAATATTTCTCTACAAAGTAATAAATGGACTCTCATTTCTGACCTTCTGCCCAACTATGATCTATGATCCAGCCTACAGACTAAGAAACAACGCATATACACTATTCATGGTAAAACAGCGAAAACAAATGCGTTGTAAGTTTTTTACAGTGCGGTATATTTTATTGTGGAGCAGATTGCCAATACTTATTCATAACTGTGACACTCTTACCAAGTTCAAAAGGCGAACAACCTTGTTACTAGACTTTAAAGAGCTTCATCAACTATTCCTTGAACTTCCATCCACCAATGAGGCACTTTATTATGGACCGCCTAACATCTAGACGGAACAAAGATAAAACGAACCCGATTGTTGTTATTATGCATAGAACCAAATTACAGTAATCATGCTTTATCCTCTCCCACTATTAGTTGATTCTTAATTATGGCCTCCTGCTTCTAACTCTCACTTTCAGATTCCGAATCCATCTAATGGTTAACGATTTTTTCTTCTTCAAGGGTGTCATGTCTTTCTTTTCTATTATAAGTAGATAGATAACCCACTAATCATATGAATGACGATCAACTAAGGTCGATTAAAAGAATCTCAAAATGTCTCATATTCTTGGGAGTTGCTCAAAGTTTTACTTTTCTAACCCTGAAAATTTTACAAACTTCTACTCTTTCATATCCTTTGGTTTGCTATTAGTTCTTACCATCTCCTAACCACATATAATTTGACCTGTCTCTTATAGCTTATACCATGAGTTATCTTCATAGCAGTAGGATATACTTAGTGGGTGTCTAACCCATAATACACTAGCAGTAAAAATTCCAAAATCAATAGCTCTGTAGGTGTTCGACATTGGACGCTGACCACATTAGCTTTAGTGAACTCACCTAGCTGAATGCGCCCGGTCATGCATCCGCACCAGATCACGGTTTGGGATAGCGTGCTCAACTTCTCCTGCGATCACTAGCTAGTTTAGATCAGTCACTTCTCGATATATTGATAACTCATGAAACATATCTTCCAACCTCCTCGCTTCTGACTTTTTATTTCACTGGGTGGGTGCGATTCAATTATAGTTGTTACTTGTTGAGTGTTGTGAAACTACAATACCTGTAGTATCTTCGATATAAACGCTTAAGCCATCTGATTTGGTTGTAACATGAAACTAGTAGAGACAGTGTATTCCAACTACGGGCCTTGATTAAAACAATATTTATACTTACCACAAATGTAAGAGAGTATAACATCAAAAAAGGAGAGAGGGTGACGTTACTGACCAGCATATATGATGGTGGGGAGATAGCTACAATCCATCCGTGTCTGTAGGGCAGAACATTTTGTTCAATTACGGCCCCTTAGGTCAAGTGGGATGTCACGAACCAACGGTATTGATGCTGATTTATTTTTGCAAAATAACTTTTTTAACCGTGTTTCATACTCTAAATTGTTTTCATTTCCTACCGAACAGTTCCATTACAAGCAAACTAGACCATTCGCTAAAATCGAAGCCTGCTCAAGACCGTATAAATTTTAAAAACAAAAAATGGGGTCGAATTGCTGCGACAAAGAAGGGAGACAGCAATTTGTGAACCAGAATACTGTTTTCATCACTTTATTTTATAACTGCAGATGATCCCGTACCTTCAGCTTTCTTCTGAACCACCTTTATTTAAACAGTTTCTTATCTACTCATACCTCAAAAATTTATAGGATCACAATCACAAATTTTAGCAGTAATTACAGCGAAATGAATCGCATTATTACAATCTGACTGAATATGTCCAGTTTGACCACATTTAAAGCATTTCGAATTACGAAATACACATGAATTACATGGGTAAAACTTGTCACAAAACAAACCTTGACCAGACTTGTGCTTAACTTCGTGAACTGCATCGCAACTTCTCAATGAATTGTAATCTTAATAAACTTAAGTACGCATTGGACTGGGACGACGTAGTAAAGTAGTGGGATTCCTGATGTTCTGACAAATCATTTTATGAAATTTTTCTCCTTTACCGCTTTCGAAATTTGTACACTTTACATGATGCAGTAGTAGTTGCTTGAGAGTTGCATAAGGGAGTGAAATAGGTTTCTATGGAAATGGCAAAGTTCTTATTAAGCTGCATGCTTCTTTTCCGATGAATGTAGAGGAAATGAGTCATAATATTGCCACCCTCGGCACCTTCCTTGGTCACAGCCCAGATTTCGAACCTTTCCATGTAATCCCCAAAAGCATAAAAATCGGAATGTATGTTCAGCCGTTTCATCACAGGCTCCATCGCGACGCCTATGTAATAATTGGGAGTATTCAAATCATAACACAAACTAAGAATCCAAGAAATAAAGCAACCTAGCCAAGAAGTACTAGATGAGCACAAACGAGCGTATTGTATGTGGAATTCGAAATCAAGCAGTCATCGAGTACGAAGTAATTATTAGTTCATACAAACGCCACACTAAGCCATAGCCTAAAATTTCATGCAGTTAGTTCCCTTTATGAATTTAAATAAAGATAGAACAAATATTGATGCAGAATAATATGAATTCATTATATTTCGTGGTTTCTCATCAGCCTAAAAGCCACAATCATGAAAACTTTCATATAAATTACTAAGTAAATAAATAAGACTCAAATTGGGTTCCAATAAAGTCTCTGTGAGTACAAACTTGTATCACTTAACCTATTCTTATTGGTTTCTCATGAAATTTTACTCTTGTTTTTGACCACTTCGCAAAATTTATGATGTGTTGTAGTATTGATGTTTATGTTAAGCCCATATACTTTATTCTAGTTGCTGGCCAAGCCAATTCGCTTATCCATTATGAGTCATATTTTGATCTTGATAATCATTTGCTTATTAACCTTGACTATACTTTTATATGAGCATATATGTGCACACTTCGTATCCTATTCATCATATGTCTGTCATTCACTTTTGCCTGATTATAAATATTGAGTAATGCTTGCTCATATCGAGTTGGCTTCCCAGCCATCTCCACTATGCATCATCTTTGCTTCGCTCGCTTACATTTGCTCATGTTCTTACAACTTTCTGGTCTGCATCATTTATCAATAAAAATGCAGTTGCCGCTTCCTTATGCCTTCTGATTTTATACACCGTTAAGATTGGTATAATAAGGGTTATCGAAGTGAACTATTATCGAAGCACGGCACTACAATGTGTCTTCCTCTTAACACTTAAAATGATCCGAAAGCCCTGGACCTGATGCTGACACTAACTTTATTCTTTGTGCATCGAAGTTAGATGTAGATAAACTCCTAGAAAATCATCCAACTGAAGATGATGATGGTCCACAGACAACTTAAGACAAGAACATCAGGTTTATAAGCCACTAAAATGAATATGCAGGTGATAAATTAAACGCAAGAGCACTGAGAAACGAGAGCACACGACCAGTGACTTTTGTTAAAGTCAGTTTGCCATCGATGCCTGATGGCTATTGTAACTTCTTTTTTAAGGGGTTTTTAGTAATGGGAAATTTTCCAAGAGTTATGGCTGGAAAATGTGGATTTAATTTGTCAAAATCAAAACACGATGTTCAGCGAAGGGATCTCTTTTCAACGAATTTATTATCAAGCTGTACAATCGTATATATATATGAAAATGTTTTGTTAAAGTACTAATTCCGTGAGGAAATGTGAACACTAATAACCAAGATTATAATACTAGATTACGTAATATGAATAATAACAATAGATTTAGTGAATATAATAAGACGAATGAAATGTTTTGGTTACAATAATTAAAGGTCATAGAAGTGTAAAATAAATAAATAAGGTGATATGATGGGTATTCATGAATAAAATAATGAGAATATCAGACATACGTAAAGGGGAATAGAGTAATAATAATAATAATAGAATAACAATAATATTAAGGCCATGGTTACGATAATGATAAGACGTACTTCTTTTGTACGCATAGTTCTGATTTGAGTTCATGGATGGTAAGAGCTTCGGCTATTTTTAAAAGTTTGATCCGAAGAAATCTTGGTAGATTTGAACGAATCATATAAACAACCCTAAAATCAGACTGAGGATTCGTCGAATGATTACAGTCGATTAGGTGTTCAAGTATAGAACTACGAACTGCTTTCTTTCCACCATTGTAGAACCAAACTAGTATATGTTCTCGTATCCGAGTTGAAAGCGAGCGCTGGCTACGGCCGATGTACCTTGCTCCACAAGAGCAGGTGAACTGGTTGTGTCAAGCTCCCAGACATATAAGCAGTCAAATGTCTTTGGGAATGAGTAGTGAGGTAAGGAATTCAAATTGAAAAGGATGACTACCAACTAAATTTATGCATTGTGCATAATGAGTACTGAAAACATAGGGCTCTTTGCTCAAGAGATACTGTATAGAAAGAGAGCTCTCAGACATTCTCAGACTCAGATGTTTAAGGTGTATACGGATTATGGTGTGCTCAAAAACTGATAAGGAAGGCTTCCATAACTTCGATTGTAAGCGGACGTATGTCTTTGTCACCCCATCGAGTAATTTTACTCTAGAATTGAGGAGGTAAGAATGCAAATACACAAGTGATTTTGAAAGATAAAGTGAAGATTATCAATAATATGAAGAAACTAAGCTTAATATACTAAGAATTATCAAGTCTTTCCAATTGTATTTGAAACTGTTATAAAATCTGAAAAAATCAGCGATCTACTGCCACTAGATATGAAAGCGTGTTAGGCTAGAGAAACTTTTATTCTGTTCACAACGATTTGCTCTATTGAACAGTTCAGTCTATAAATGACCCCTTTTCAAATGGTCTCGGAACTGTAACCTTCAGTTTATTTATGTGATGAGTTATGGACTGCACGAAATATTCCAAAAAGGATTCATCATAGTGCTGTATATCTATGTGATCGATTGTCAAAAAACAACCTGTCTTCACAAGAATCATTCAGTTGCTGAATTGGTGTTAGAATCTACCGACTCGATAATCCACGAAGAACTGTTAAAATTATGCCCGGAAAATACATCTCTTCTTTTCATCACCAGTTATGTGGTTTCCGGACCTCGAGTTTTATCCCCTGGGTTTTTAGGGAGTTCCATCTTACCCAAACTAAAGGAGCTATTTATCAGTAATATTCATTTGGAAATCCCAAGAACTGAATTGCTCAACAATATTTCTTCTAACCTGGTAACGTTGTCAATTAGTAATTGTAGTATACAATCTCTGCCACCTTTTGGCTTGCTATTGGGTCTTGCTAGCCTTCGAATACTTGATTTAAGTCTCAATAAGTTGAGTCGACTGCCTGTTGATATATTCCAGTATTCAAAAAATCTTGCCTTCGTAAATCTTTCTCACAATTTATTAAATATTTTGCCCAGCTTGCCGCATCCGTTTCAAGTTTCTGTTTCTGACAATCCAATCGCATGTTCCTGTGTTAATTCTAGACTGTTATCAAAAGGACGTTTCGAGGGTCTTCCTGTTTGTGATCCATGGCCCTCACCTTGTGGACCAACAATAGTTACCGATTTATATTTAAGTCCAACTGGGTCTAACGTTTCGTCATTTGGTGGTAACTCTTCTGCTTCCATCTTTACAGGACAACGCCTTTCTTTTATTTGTAATGTAAATTCTGATTTATCTTATGAGCTTTTTTGGGTTTCGCCTATTGGTGTTATTTCCCTTTCCACCATTAAATCCGAAGTTACCACATATTCTCTGCATTACGTCGTTCAACCCATTTTAGCCCCCACAGTGTTACACATAACGCAGGTTAATGACACAATAAACTTATTAGATGTCGAGAACACAAGAGGATATTTAAGTGGGAAATGGTTGTGCGTTGCCCATTCTTCAGAAGTTACTAGTCACTCTACACCTATCAACATCAGAGTTGTTTCCAGCTTATACTTTGGCCAAATATACTACATATCGCTTTGTTATGGGTATGGTGGAATGATCCTGTTATTGTTAGTTGGTATAATCGGGGGTACAATCAGATATTGTAGCGAAACTCATTGTCTCAGACGTCGTCAGCCATCCTATGCATTTAAGGGTAAAACCTATGTTGGAGTTATCCCAGTCCCCGAAGTAGAATGTGCAGAGATTTCGCAAAATTTTAAAACTGCTGAAAAGAAACTTTTAATCCCACTGCGAGACTCAGGATGGACTTATAATAGATATTTTGGCCCATGTACTCACTGGAAATGCAACATGTGCAGAACAGTTCATTTCGCCGAAGAAATCCAGGAAATTAAAGAAGCAGGTTTATCATTTGCAGCTGGAAGCGTACCCGTGGGCCGATTAGCTCCTGACGGTGAAATAATTGTTATAAATGCTAGTGACTCTAACGCAGAACCTATTGCTCTAAATGATGATAAACTACCTACTTCAGATGATCACAACTCCGAGTTGATGGAAACTCATCAGCCGCTTATAATTGATTCTAAATTGAGAACTGGTGAAGCTAATGTTCATTGCAACCGCCCTCAAATATGTAAATATGAAGTTTGTGTACGGTCGGGAAATTGTGTAATCAGAGTCCGACTGGACACAGATAATTCTCATTCCTTTGACTACTTGCATTCACTTACTTCTGTAGATAACAATTTTTGTGTCCCCTGTCTCCCTCGTCCAGGGAGCGCAGACGTCAAGTTAGTTGTATCAAACGAAAAGCTTGCACAAGAATATCACGAAGCACTGGCTAGTTTAGCTCAAGCCGTCGAAAATCCCGATCCCGCACACTTTCGTGAAAAGCTCGAAGACTTCCGAAGCAGACTTTGTCGTGATGTTGGTCACGGGGTTAAAATTTTGCGCGGTGAATTTCAGGACCTAAGGGCTAAGTCTGCGAAAAGTGTTGCATCTCTTCGTAACCAAAGTTCTGTTGCTGCACAACGCATGCGAGCAGGGATCTCTTACGGAGTAGAGCAAATGAAAGATGGTATGCGCAGCGTTGCTGAATTATGCGGGGCTTCAAGGACAATCGGCCAAACTATATCAGTTGTAAGTGTGTATGTGGATGAAAAAGATCAAATTAAAAGGGAAAAACATATTTCTGATTTTGTGTTTTAGTTTTGATGTTCTGTTTCCCAAATATATATTTATAACGCGTAATTGTTTGTACTTTTGTTGATTTATGATTCGATACTTTTCGGGTTTCTGCTTACTGTATCACCTAAGGGGTTATTTCGTTTCACCATAAGCATATTGCTTGTGATAATCAAATCTCTTTGAGGAATGAAAGTGGATTACATAATAAGATTGTGAATAATTTCAGGTGGCCTCCACTATTATTAAGGGTACCTAGAAATTTCTCCAAACCGTAAGTACATACGCTAAGGATGAAAGTAGTGTATTTAAATTAATAACAGTGATTGATCCTTTGTCTTTTATAAAAGTAGTTTATTCATCTTTACTTAGAAAGATTCACAAATCTTAGAGGATATATATAAGGCGTGACTGAACACTCATTAATTCACATTCCATGGTTTTAAGAGGAATGTTTGTCCAATGTCTCAGTTTGATAAACCAGTTATTCTGTTTTCGAGGTATTGAGACCAACAGATATATAATGCGATAGGCTATCCAGGTTTTAAGAAAAGGACCAAAGCAAATTGTCTAGAATCTAAAGAAACTTAGAATGCTTTTGAAATGTCTTGATTTTAGTAAAAGGAAAGACATAACCGAATATATACAGTGCTTTAAATAAAACACGTATTTAAAAAACATTATTTATTTGAATTTACCAGCAAAGAACATTTGTTTGAGAATTTAGGTGTTTTTGAATACGGATGAACTTGGACTCTTATCTGCCTGTTGAGGTTTTTGCATTAACTCAGACTACGGATATATTTCACGAAAATTCATAAACTTAAAGCCGGTGATAAATGAAAACACACATCACTAGACATGATAAAAGTCAAAAGGTTGAAAGTACCCACCCTTATAATTAGGATATTGGCACAATACGCGAACAAAGTGTGTGAATTTCAAACACACTTTTAACATTAAAAATGTTATGTACTTGCCTAGCAATTTTACGAAATCGCCTATGGGAAGAAATATCCCGAAATTTTCTTGAAAAAGCGCCTGATGATAGCTGGTCTTTAACAACTTTAATCCGTTGATCATAATATGGACTATTCTTCAGTATAAGTTTTAGTAGAAAGTTTCTGAAGGTAGTTAATATTTCAGCTTTGTGGCACTTATGAATATTGAGTAATCACGTGTTCTCTGAACTCACAATATTGTTACCAATAATTACAAAAGAATACTGTGACAGCTCGTAGAGATGAATCAGCTGGGGAATTATTAGATAAATATTCCTGCGTTTTATGGTCGCTAGAGCAGTTCATGAACAAAAGTACTAGTACTTTGCTTTGATCAAATGAAATCACCTTAGAACCTGATCAGGAGAATGATTTATGAAACTACTTAGTGCTGAAATCCCTTCAAAACTCTCATTTTGGAAGCATAATCTCAATGCTGGGGTAATTTTAGACTTCATATCACGCGTGAGACAAAATACGACATCACATTCCAAGTATTGCCAACATAAATCACGACGACTTACTTAGGAATACAATAGACTTTTATGGAGCACTAACCTGATTCGTACGACTATAGCTGTTCTAACTAAACATTATATAGTTAGCTGTAAAGTTTGCGGCCAACTGAAGAATATGCTAGAAGTCTATCATGTAAGTGAACCATTTGGTAACTTTGCATTAGATTTCTCGTGAGCATTAGGGTTTATTTAATCATGAATCTAGACTGATTGCATTCATATACATACATTATAAAGGAGTTTAATCAGTTAAAATGCTAGAAAGTACTACTTGATGTGCGGTTGAATAACCTAAGTGTTGATGCCACTGGTGACGGCGAGATTTCTATCTGCTAACCACAGGATGAGTGTACTGCATAGCAGTTCGTTCTGTCCTACCTTGTGGCTATGAAACATAGCCTCTAAAGATAGGAGATTAAACAGAAAAGTAAGAACACGGAAAGATAGGGACACACGCTGTTGCTTCATCGTCGTATCTGCCCACGCTCTCAATGACTGCAGTTCGAGTGAAGTAAAGGACGAGTTTTACAGAAAGATTTCCCCCTTTACTACAAAAAGCCGAACGCTCAGAAATAGCAATCGTGACAAGATTAAACATCCATGCAGGTAGTTGAAGATAGTTCTTTCAGCTCTATGGGTGTGAAACATGGCCACTAAGAGTAGGTGTCTCTAGGTTACTAGTATTCCACCATATGTATCTTTGAACCATTTCTCGTGCATTTTGAGTCTACTGAGGTTAAATGCAGAGTACTTGGTAAAGGTATGTAATCGGTTGTTGAAGTAGCAAATCTCCATTAAACGAGGTGGCTAGAACTTGTGTCACTTATGCCTAGCCACCGACTGAGAATTTTATTTGTAAATCCGTACACTTGAAAGTTAAGAAGTCTTTGAGTCTTACTAGAGTATGTTTCGTCAAATAATTGACTAGCGAGGCATATATATATATATAGTTACTTCGCACTTGATTGAGCGGCAGTACGCTAGTTCTCAGGAAAAATGTGGTTAGCAAACTGAATAATCAACCCCAGTCTGGCTTCATGAAAGTGGGTAGTCATTTGAACTAAAGTTTTCAGAATTGAGGATAATAAAGGAATGTTAATTCAAAAACTATGGATGACGTTACACAGACAATACTTGTATAGTAAGTTGGGAAGATTTACGACGTTTAACAAAGCGAATAACTTCATATAATAATCGTGGTATTAATGAATTGTAAAAACACCTGAGGTTGTCAAAGATGTGTATCAAATATCTTACCAACTGCAAAGCCATCTGTCAAAGTCGAAAGATACATTGAAAAATACAACCAACTCACATGCCAACAATAAATTCCCTATCTTAAGGGTAATCAGATAGGTTAGGACCGAGATAATATGACAAAGCCTCATGCATTTCACGGTATTTTAGGCTATTGATTTGCCAGAAGACGTATGTGTACTATGAAAATGACAGATTATCAGACCGACTTTCGACCTATGATCACGTTCAACACACTAGGCCAACAAACACAGATGCCATTTGTATCACCACAACGCTGAGGATAGAAGACGATTAGTATGAAATTTGAAAGTTTACTATTCCAGAAAATATTTGTGGGTGCATTTCTAACTGGACTGTGTGTTAGTGAATACTACTCTTGTTTATTTACTAATTGATTGTAAGGACCCTTTATTTTCTGCTTCTTAACATACAGTGATTTCGTTCATGTGGTGAATTTTTGGATTCCCAACTGTAGAAGAATTTACACGTGTCATAAATAAACAACTTTTCTCTTCTGATGACAACTTGTTTGATTTGAAAGCCTTATTAGTCAAACAAATGACCTTATTCCAGTATCTAATAAAGATTTTGAGCATTTCAAAACAACTCTTTTAGATTGTTGTAATTAATATGTAAATAAAATCCATACAGTTAGTCGATTACTCACAAAAAACATAAATCTCAATTATCTGATCTTCGGAAAAATCAGGACTTGGTGTTATGTCGTCCAGACAAAGGTGCAAGAATTGTACTTATCGCCTTGACTATATTTCTAAATATCTTCGATATTATCTGATACGGTCAAATTCTCTAAAGAAACCGTTCAAAATGACACAACTGAAAAAACAGAACAGATTCTAATTAAAATCCTAAGGAAGATGAAAGATAAGCTTATTATCAATTGTGACCTCTAAATGATTTCGTCGGAAAGAAATTTTTCTTCGCTGGATTCTCTTTTTCTTGTTTGATTTTGAAAGTTTTCTATACGTAGGGTATCAAAATTAGTTCTCTGTATAAAATACATAAGTCTATTGAATGTTAAGTAATCAAACTCACAATGCACAAATTAACGGATCGAAAAGTTATCTTTTGTGATAGATAAGATTTATTTTAAGTCATTAACAAACAAAAATGTTAAAACATATATCTACAAAGTTATTAGTGATGCGAATGACTATTTATAAATGCTTATGGAGGATGTCTTTAAGATAATTTCTCAACTTGAACAGCTGGAGGGGGTTCACTTGTTAATAAATCCACAATAGTTTGGAGGAGTCGTCCTTCCTTATTTGTGCTATCCCAGTTAGCCACGCTAGGACTTTTAAACTTCTGTTCTAACAGTCCATCCATGCATTTCCGTAAATCCTACAATAAATGTTGACATGAATGCATATAAAAAAAAGCGACTAAAAGATAGCTGATAAAAAATTGTCATCTACTTTCTATTCAATAGGAAGTGAAATAATATTCTGACGTTAATGTGCTTGTTTTATCAATACTTGAGAACTTTTGATGACTTTAATTACTTTGAAATAACACCCACTCATAGACTATCATATTCGGTGCTTGAAATGGTTTGATAATCTTCGGTGATTTTATTAAGTGGTGTGAGATCCCGTCGGTTTTGTAGACTTTTACATTTAATAGTTGAATAAATTTGACTATTTTTGATAATTTTATAACGCTTTTCTGCTTTACTATAGACCACCACATGTAACCGATTACCTTTTTCTGGAAAGTCTTCATTTTCTTTGGTCAATTTATGTTGTTAAGTGTTTGCTGAGAATACAGAACACGTTTCCTTTTTTTGTAAAAAGGAGGAAACTGTATAACAAATAATACAATTTGATTCCAAACAACGCAACACCAAAAAACACTGTTCCAGGTCTACTGAGACCTCGGACAGTGTTTTGCGCACTAGAACCGTTGGCCATGGCGACACTTGAGGAGGAAGCCGAAAGAAGTTTAGTGTTGAAAGTCGAGGTGTGAGGAATAATAGGAATTGAAGGAGACTGATTATGAATACAGTGATTTCGAGTGTTATTAGAGGTATGAGGGCGGTTATCATAATCAGTTATTTGAGCATAGCAACTTGATTCCTAGTTAATTGACATAATTATTGCATTTCCACTTCATACGACTTTTTTAATACGAAAATTTGACTTGATGATTTTAAATAAATCGAGCATTTGATGGAATGTTATTAATAAAATCATGATTTATATGTGGCATCCTAATGAGAATTCCTAACGTCTCATAACTATTATTCAGTTTAAGTCGTTTCTTCAGAGAGTAAGTAAATAGAGAAGCGAGTTAAATTAATACAAATTTAAATAGTATACAGAACCAGGACAGAATATCTAAATAATAAAAATAAAAGACGTTTGATTATATCTATGTTTTGTTGCTCTGGTCAAGGTGACATCATTGCGTATATTTGTGTGTACGCTGGTGAGTGTGAACAATGTGAACTTTGTGCATGTATGTATGCATTAATAGTTAGAAAATAATAAAATTAAATGTATTATTTGGATAAACGGTTCAAGTTGGATGATTGTCATGTTCTCCTTTCCATTGAGGGCTACTCGCCTTCCTATATCGTTGGAAAAACGTTTTTGAATTATTTCGATCTCTTTAGTATTTATTTTATAATCATTGAAGATAGCAACCACTACTATTGCTGATTTGATTCGAAGCTTATCGAATTCTACACGATAACTAAGTATTTATTAATTAGCTTGGATGTTTTTTGGCTGGACTCAGAATTTCAAGAAAATACTTTCTAATATATAAGACATCACAGTCCACACAATATAATTTGTAGACGCAGTTCTGTGTAAAGTAAAAGGTAGCATTTTCTTTATTTGAATCAAAAGATATCGAAAAGTGTCCTGAGGACTATTAGGTTCCTAGAATGCATGATTTATCAAATTAATCACTCACTGAAAAATACGAAATGTTATATTGTGTTGAGCTCAGGAGTGACTGGGCCACTGCCACTTAAATTTTTTGTGTGGATATAGTAAGCTGTAACTTTACGTAACAGCGGACTTTGTTTTACATTAACTTGATGGTTTGTATGTAAAATTAATACATATAAATACACATGAATTAAACTATCAGTCAATAAGAAAGGATACATTTAATCACTTTGGAACTAACTTTTAATAAATTGACTACTTTCAACTCCCCACTGAATTTAATCCATTGATCAATGGTGAAAAGACTTGTATCGTTCTATAAAAGTAGAGGAACATTTTATTACTTTTTGCCGGCGCATACTACATAAAAATTTTTATGCATTGTCAGACAAGGAAAAAAGAACAGGTTCCGACACCGAAAAAGCGCTTATTGGTAAAACGGAATATGTCTACCCAGTGCTAACAGTTTCACCAGTTAACTTTACAATGTTTTTAGTAAGCTAAATAACCCGATATTGTATTTGATACTAAATGGTTAGTGGTAACTGATAGAAATATTCAGATTTGGTTATAGTACATGCTGGAATTCATTAACAAGGAATATTTATAACTGAAAACAAGGATAGATCTAAAATTGTATTACTCAATGCTACGATCAAACACCCATGTTGTTATTTGATCAGGGTCTAGAGGAAGGTTTTAAGGAGATATGAGTTTTCTCTTTTTAATGAAGAACCACAGAAATTACATTTAGTTATTCTTGTCCATATTTTCTGATTGTGTAATACAAAATAACCCATCGTTAAAAAAAACATGATGTCAAGTAAACAGTTAGATTTCTAATTCTGGCAAGCAGGCAACGAAATCCGCATAAGTACTTTCTTGTATGGCCGAGTACCGTACATCATAACTGAAATAATTATCACTTGTCGCCAAAGAAGGAAATGTATTTATTATTTTCATTAACAGTAAAATATAGTAGAGATGTTTCTAAATTATGATAACTGCAATCTGTTAGTCACAAAGCATAGAGATTAAGTGAACTGTGAAAAGATCCATTAACTACTTTGAGATGTTTGCCACAAATATGAGAGAGAAGTATGCATACAAAATCCTTTAAGACAAGACGAGATGTAAAATATATGTTATTTGCATGTATTGTTAATTGATGAAATCGGTCATTAATCTGATTCGAATACGAACCTAAAAAGCTAACTCGGACGCTAAAATTATGAAACGTACTTAGTTGAGTATCTAACTAAATCTATAGTTAATTTATACTTGAATAGGATAGTGTTTGGATAAATAGAGCCAATTAACAACACATTATGTTTTGTGCACGGTATTTTAGTGGTATTCATAAGTAACATAATTTAGGGACAGTGAAGCTAGAATAAAGTGGGAATGTTTTGTTCATAACACGTTATTTGACATCGTAAGTCCTTGTGAGGAGTTTCAATTTGTGGACTTTTTAAAACTCTCGAGAAATTATAAGGATTATTTACAACAACACATTGATTACTATATCCCAAATCTTATTCTTACAGATTTGAGTATTCAGCTAGTCTGAAATATAAAACTGGTAATAATTCTCAGTAATTTTCAATTAATTCATGAACAAATGCCAAACAAAACAAAAAAAGAAACAGTTGAAGACTATCAGTGATCTTTTGCTAACAGTAGTTTTATGAATCGTCAAATTTAAATGCTATTAATTTTGTCTTCTCAATTTAGTATAGTTTAGCTAAAGCTATTTAAAAATTGATCATTACGCTTTTCTAGCTTCGACATAATCTAACAACCTGTTACTTACAGAGAAAAATATGACAGAATTTTTGTTGTAATTTACAAGCACAATGTATTATTCTAAAAAAATTTGATTTTTCATACTCATAATTAAGAAGGAAATAATTAGTTCATCTCAAATAATGTTAGTAATGGCATGTGTAACAATATACAAAGCACTAACCTTTGATATTTCTATATTACCACTGAAAAATAACAAAGGTCTCAGTGATATAACAGTTGAGTCGAATATGGATGGATACTGGAAAACAAATCAATGAAATCAAGAGTATAAAAGTAGTTTTTTACTTTTTTCTGTTCTCTATTATTATTATTGTTATAAAGAAAAGCAATAATTTAGAAATGCTCAGCAATTTTTATATATAAGTTTGTTTCATTATTTAGTTTAGTTAGGATGATAGATTAATGGCTATAGATTAGTTAATTCGAAGAAAAACCATTTGATTATATTCTAGGCAAATAATATTAATGATGATATTAATTAGAATGTGATCTATTTCCTGTCAGAGAATATGGAAATTAACATGAAAATCAACATTTACTTAGAACATACACACAATAGCCACCACTTACCGTAATGGAGTAAGTGGAAATAAGTTTAAACACAATCAAGCATGAAGTGGTAACTGAGAGTCACTGAATAATAAGGTATGAGTTTTATTGACAAAAACGTGATCGTCTTAACATCTAGATTACACAGTTCAAAGTGAATCAAAGTGGTACTGATACGGATAAAACGGATGCATTTTCGTGGAGTTTTTCAAGTTTGTTTATTGTTTAACTGTTTAATAACACGTCTTAATGACAGGATGAAATTGTAGAAGTGTCTGTTCTTTATCACAATGTTCATCTACATTTCATTGAAGAGAGAAAAAAAGGATTGAGCAGAATAAAATGAATTCATTTTATTTCGTTAGGTTCTTATCAGCTGCTTGAAACTAACAATATTTCGAAATCAAAATTGCTGTAAAGTTTACATACTTATGGCAGTAAAATTAGATATATATCATGGTGGAATAGCGATTCGAATAAATGTAATAAGATTGAAGAAATATGAAGAGAACCACTGTAAGCTAGAGCATAAAATATTAAAAGAGATGAAGCGCTAAACAAAGTTTTGTAGTTAATAACTAATAGGATACGATGCTCACGTGACAATAAAGATGTTTTCGTCGAAGAACTAGTAATACTGAATTTAACACCTTACATAAATTGACTACATATCCGTGATATAATGAAATGAAAGTATACATGATTCCACTATCGGCCACACCCTAAATTAATTGACCTAAATATATAATGAAGATTGGACTACTTTATAACCTAACTCACTGTATAATAAGTATTATTAAATATCAGACAACTGGTGTCTTGGATAACATTAGTCAAAGTTTGTCAGTTTTTCCGATCAAACATATGGAACCTCCTCAATCACTATTTGCATTTTCTATTACACTTTTTCGCCTTATTATTTCATAACTCTGATTATAGTCGTCAAGTTAAGTCAATTTTCTAGGTATCACGTTTCAAGGAACAGAGTCCAGACTAGACAAAATAATTAAGAGATCTGCTTTATACAGCTCTGCAGTACTACGAAATGTCAAAATATATTGCATGTGATCTTTGAATATAAGAATATTTGGAAACTCACTGTTTCCAGCAAGTAAAACCCATTCAAATATAACTCATGTAAAGTCAAATACTAACCTTTCTACAAGGAATGAGCCAAATAACATTTTACTGCTCATTAATCTCTTCCGACTTATCATAGACTGATTTAGGAAAAAACTTCTCAGAAACGGCTTTTAAACACTGAATGTAACGACCTTAATCCGTTGGATCGTGGTGATTCACTTTTAAATTCATACTATTCAGAAACTATATAAAGATTCATTCACGAATCCTTGAATCAAACCTTAGTTGTGAGGGGTTGTGACAATTCCAGATTACCGAAAGCTAATTGAGACAAAAGTACGTTAAGTCTGTAAAACGATGACTAAAAGTCAAGTATTTTAGTCACTAACTCACCATTCAATTTGATTTGACTGAATGGCAATAAAGGTTAAACAGATTATGTCACAGGTCAAATGACGCTGAAAATGTCAGTGACTTAAATGTAGGTATTATATATTATAGTAACTGTTATGAGATGAATCTTAATGTAACTCAGCTTAAGACATTATTGATGCAAATTGAAACAGCATATGAAATAACAAAAAATTTATTCATTTAGTAATTATAGATTATTGTTTTTCCGAAAGGATATTTTTAAAAAGATAAAAGGTAGCCTACAATTTACCAAAAGATCATTTTCCATCCACAATAATAATAAAATGTTATCCATTAAAAATTACGAAATAGTAAACAGCTGTCAAAATGGTATCTGACTGTATAGCTCGAATCATGTATATGCTATGATTGTAGAGAAAGTATCAGTCAATATAACTAATTAAATTAGTCAGTTTCTTTTTTTAAAAAAAGGTTAAACTTACAGATCCTGATTCAAGCTTAGTTTTTGTAAAATAAACCATCCATATAGGCTCAGTTGGTTGAATTTTACTATTTACTGATGATGGATGAATATTTGCTCTACCTTCAGATGGACAAGACATAATGACTGGTGTTTTAGGTTTGCCCTCTTTACTAAATTATTACAAAGATACAAAAATATTATTCAATACAAAATATTATTACAATCTATATATAAAAAGTAAGTCTTTAAGGTACGACGATTAAAACAAAACACTTCAATAATGAAAAAGACATTTAATTGTAGACATAATTATTTTATACATTTCTAAGATTAATAATGGAATGGACGTAAATATTACATGTGATATATTAAAAAAATACTACAACAATAACAACGTAACCGCATATAGTGCAAAAATCCAACAGAAAGGATAAATTTATCAAGGAGACAGTTGAAAAGATGAAGTTAACTTGTTTAAAGTGCTGAGTATGATAAAATGTGGATAACCATTAAGAAAAGATAAAAAATCTTTCACTGTCAATTTTCAATGTTAGAGAGGTTGAAGAATATGTTACACAACAGAATATTAGTTAATTGTTGAGCAGTTCAGCAACAAGTAGTGAATTAATTGTGCTTTTTTTCACTCTTCACTATTCCTACTGAAACTGTGCGTCAAGATGACAATCCTACGATTTCCGATAATTGATTGATTCATGTTATTTACCTGGAACATTCAACCTAAACTCTAACTTGATTTGAGTTTTTTCTCATATATACCAAATGTGTATTAACAGAAACACAAATTTACCAAGATTATTTTTGGAAGTGCATGCAGAAAAGATATTTTCTAGGGTAGTAAATAAAACACAGATCATATTTCTAAGATTACAGGACCCTGTTACTACTTAAATAACTAATCTATGAGTTTGGAGATTAACAGGACGTTGAGTATCAGTAAACGGTAAGTTTGATATTTCGAAGAAATATACAACAAAAGGATAAAAAAATTAATATTTACAGGATTATAATTTCATTACAAAAACCATTGATAAATTTAAACTACAGTTTTCAGAAAACCATTAAAGTTTAAGAAATAGATTCTATTACACAAAACGTTTCATATGGTCAACAAAGATAACAATGAAAGAATGAATATATACAAGAGTTAGTCTGGGAGTCACGATAGATAGAGAAGGATTTAAGCTTGTGATACAATGTCTGAAAGTTGGTCGCCTAAACTAATGACTAACAGTTTGTTTATGCAAGTCAGTCAGTCACAACGTAGAACTTCGTACGTACGTATATCAGTTCGAGTTGCCATACCACATTAACACAGAGATGCAGTTGTCGACTCAAATCCCATAGTGGTAGAAGTAGTAAGAGTATAAGCAGTAATCGGGAAGATTAGGGTTTGAAGATGATATTGAAGGAGTATAATCCAATGAAATAAATTTGGAAAGAGAAAAAAAGATAGAGACATGAATAATTCAGAATATTAGAATTTGGGAAGACACAAAGAGTGGATGCACCTTCGCCATTGCAAACGATTTTGAGCCATTTCATTCAAGGTCTCTAACCATCGATTTCTATCATCTCGCGAATCCCAACCAGTTAGTCTACACCTACCAACATGGCTCAGTCCAATTGTCAGTGACTTCATGGATTTGTGCCACGTTTTGGTCTGGCCGCCCCTAGCTTTCTTTCAACCTACTCCTACACTACTTCATCAATCGATTTGCCATCCTTACCTAGTAATCGTTTCCTAACAACTGCATTACTTACCCGGTGGTTCCAGGATATACGAGCAATGCTTCGAAGACACCTATGATCGAACACTAGTAGCCTACGAATATATTCTACTCTTATCAGCCATGTTTCACTGCCATAAAGTAAGACGGAACGAACTGCTGCACAGTAAACACGTCCTTTGGTTGCTAGACGGATAGCTTGCCAACGCCATAAACGACGCAAGTTGGTGAAAGCTAGACGAGCCTTCTGCATCCATGCTGAGATTCCGCCACACACTATACCACAAGGGTTGATGAGACTCCCAAGATAAGTGAAGCGGTTTATGTCATCGGCGTATTCTAAGTGACCAAGTGAATATCTCGGTAAAAGTTCAACTCCTGGAGATTTAAGATGATGAAAGTGTTCTCTATAAAAGCATATCAACGACAAAGTTAAACAACAATGATGAGAGTGGACAGCCCTGACGAACACCACTCGAGGAAATCAATTCTGGCGGGGGTGTTGCTTACGAAATTGAGAGGACGAAAAGTGAATGTCCAGCGCTTTAACCGGGTTGGTGGATGTGGAGGATCCACCTAGGGGAGTTTGTAAACCCTGATTCCAAACCTATGGTGCACATGAGCTCCAGTATCCTGAGTGAACAAATGACGTATGAATCAATCGTTGGACACCGGCTACCATGGGATTGCATCTCCTTACGATGCTTCGCTGCCTTGTGGATCAGATCTTTAGGTCAAAGGCTCCGGGTGTGGTCCCCTAAGGAAACCACTTGCTTCAGTTTGGGCACCTGTGCAGTATCACAGCCCCCACACAAATCGAATGAGATTTGTGCGGCACATATGTATCTGGTGCTTCCTTGTACCAATATTTATGTGTTCAAATAAATAAATAAATGATAATCAATTTTGATGACAGTTTGCCATAGGCTCTAACTTGACGAGTTGTGTTCGAGTAGAGAGCCCTTATATGGTTAATGTTCTTCTTTGGTACTCCTTTCAGTGACAAACACTGTTTATGCGAAATTGAACATCAATCAGTGTCATAATACTGGGCATTTATTATACAACGTAATCTCAAAAATGAAACGATTAATAAGTGTACGAGTGAATTGACTTTACACACCTTAATGACACAGATTGTAGTTACAAACATCTGAATACTATTTCCTAATATTTTTTAATAAGAAATGAACTATGAACAAGAAAATAATTTTACACTCTAATCGACATACAAAAAGATAAATTTAAAAATAAGTCAGTACTCCAATTAGTCGACAATTTCAGATAATTACTACTTTTGATTAACTAATGATGAACGTATAGAGCAAAGTAAAATACACACACATACACATTAGAGAATAATGGTGTTGGACTAAGGATTGCTGATTGTAATTTCAATAAATTTAACTTTTGACTATTTTATTCAAATTAAACAGACAAGTGTATTAATTTCTATTATCCAACATGGTGAATTCATTACATTAATTTGAGACTGTTATTAAGACTACTGAAAAATCTTTATAAAAATTGAAATGAGATAGTACTGAAAAATAATAATGAGAATAATAGTAAAACTTACGTAAATCTTGGATCCACTTTTACAATATTTGGATATAATGCTGCACACATTATAGCTCGGAAAAGATTGATATTCCCTATTTCATCATAAAAAGAAACAAAGATAGTTATGTAACACATTAATAGTAATTTAAAAAAAGGTGGAAAGGCGTTACTACATATCATCTGGAAAACAATTATGTTTAACTATAATATGTTACTACTATGTATAAGAACTGTCGTCTAAATTAGAGCGAATAGTTTCACAGTATTTGAGCGCCGAGTTGATGTAAGACATTAAATAGGAATAATATATTTGTAAAATCTCAGCGAATGAATTTGAAGTAAATTCAACGTTTCAATGAATTATCCTTGAAAAAAAATGCTTGGACCAGATTGCCAGGCGAAACGTTGGATTTACTACAGATTCATTCGCTGAGATTTTGCAAATATATTATTCCTATTTAATGTATTACTACTATGATTACTTTACTTGGCGAGTCAAATATTTCGCAACAGTAACTAAAAGTTGACACAAGAAGAACGAACCGCATGACGGCTGTTGTAGATAGAATAGTTGACTCAAGTCTTTGGATAGTTTAAAATAAAGAACAAGACCACTAACCTGAAGAATATACATTTTCTGTAATCAAATGGCACACTTATATACAAAATATTATTATGATACCATGTCATAGGTAATTGAAGAAATTTAGTTTGTAGGCCACTCTATAATCAACAAAGATCTGACTTTTATAGTTAAGATCATGAGTCAATTGAGGCTAGGCCACCATCGAAAACCTGGAAGCACTGGACGGCCGTTTCGTCCTATTATGGGACTCCTCAGCAGTGCGCATCCACGAACCCGCTCTCGCGAGATTCGGGCTCCGGCTCGAGACTGCCCATCATATGGCAATTCCACATGAAATGATACATGGCAACTCTGGTAAATAGATGATACTTTAAGCATGTTTCATATATACTTTAATTGAATTAAAAATCATGTTTTTGTTACTTTGATAGATTGCGACAGTTTTGTTGGCATGAAATGAAAGATGCTCATATCCGTAATGATTAGACAAAACTTTTGGTCAAAGAATTATCAGTTAATTGACACAAATCATTTAAACATGAAATGAAAACAATCTGTAATAACAATAATAATATCGAAAAATAGCTTAATTTAATACTCTAAGTTCTGTCACAACAAAGAATTCTCAACAATAATTATGCAATACTGAAACAAATATCTCTTTAGCATAAATTTAAAGTGTAGTTATTCAAAAAATAATTTAAAAATGTTTTTAACAATCAATATCGTGTATTAAATCATTAAAATTTTCTACCAGTTTAGCTGTTATAACTAATTTTCCATTCATCATAGGGTGTTTGAATTCAAATGTATTTATCTTTTGCTCTTTTATTTGAAGGCTAGGTAAAAAGGTAAATGTGCCTAGAACTGTATCCTCATATTTAACATGACGATAATTTATTGTAAGTGATTTAATACAGTTATCATTCGTAGTAACTTAGTTTATAGAAGTTTAAAACGGGTAAGCTAATTACGATATTTGTATACATTAAAAAATGGCCAAAATGTTTGAGAGAAAATTGAAACTGGAGGACATTATTCATTCAACTACTGTCCATATTGTGAATTCTATTTACACTTTTAAAATATTTTCAGGCATATTTGATTGCCTATCTATCTATCGAAGTCACAAGAATCTAAGATATATAATACAAGAATATTGCTGATTTACATATTTTCATTATATAAACAGCAACTGCTGTACGAGTTATCTGGACAGGTGGAATGGGTTTAAAAACATCCAATATCTGATAAAAAGCTCCATTTTGTATTCTGCGAAAATGAATACATTGAAAATGTAATAATTTAAAATGTATTTCAGAGAGACAATATGGATCATTTTTTGTACTTTGAGTAACATGATATGGTGCGATTTAAAATAAGTCTTTTGTATAACAATTTATTAGGTAAGAAAAAATATTTCATTTAGTAACAATGCAGTAGATAACAGTATGCCTATATCAAACAATATGGGTTACACTTGATTGATGAAATTCGTGATATGGAATTACGTATAAAAATAAATCGGATTATTATTTGTTATAAATGGATTGTGAGATAGTAATAATATTATTACTTGAAGATTGTTTTCACTGTGAACTGAAACCAAATAGATGGTTATTAAAAACTGAAAAGTAATAGACAGTTGTTCTGGTTTAGTTCGCAACTACTAAACAATGACCGCTCGTGCCATTCCACTTTTACAAACACACAAATACGAAGAACCCAATATTCTTAGTCCTTTGCCCAAAGAGTGGTTAAGTCAGTATGCCAATATAACAAATAAAAAGTCGTTTAAAATGCTCTCTAAGTACATTATTTTTTTGGAAGGAAAAGCAACTTACATTGATTACAGTTTGCATTCGAATCATCAGGTTTCGGAGTGGCAATATACCTTCGTTCATATAACAATTGTGCATAGTCATTCATAAGTCGAATAATGTCCTATGAAAAAAAATTAGAATAGAAGATGAGAAAACAAAAATACACAAAGGTACTGCATTGATCAATGAGAATATATGAATAAAAACAGTGACAAAAATGCAATTTGCATTCATTAAAAAAATGTTAAACGTACATAAATGCGTACTTATGAAGTGAGATCACATGAAGTGTATCATGAAAACACCATGACAAAATGAATAATTTCTACAGACCAATAAGCATAAAATCAATCCATTAGAATGTGAGTCGTTTCTGTTTGATTGTATATATTTGAATATTATAGAAAAAAATAGCAAGGTAGATAAAAAAGTAATTTCACAGCTTATGTATGTTTATCGACAAAAATGATAAGAAAAATTAGACTTTTTGACGTTTCGTGACTCAGTGTAAGCCACTTCTTCGAAGAATAAATGTTTATTCTCTGAAGAAGTGGCTTACACTGAGTCACGAAACGTCAAAAAATCTAATTTTTCTACTCAGTGGAATATTACAAATATATTAACTTATTTATAACAATCTACCCAATGCTCAATTTATTCAAAATTATCAAAAATGATAAGAATAAAAATCTCGATTGTTTTTTATAATGGGATGAAATCAGTGTTGTATTTTACATGTTGAAAGTCATTATATTTAAACAACTGGACTTAGATTATTGCAAAAACAAACAAACAAACCTCTAATCGACAAACAATGCCCTACTTGACAAAAATCATAGAAAATGCAGTGTGTTAGTGAAAGGAGACTAAGTTTTATCTACTTTGTATTGCTTACATCACAAAGTACCAGTATCTCATACCGAGTCAGTTTTAGTTCAAACTAATTGACCTGAATGTGATAAAAAAAGCTGTTTATTTTTAGTTCAATTGATCACTACTAATAAAAAAAAGAATAATGACTTCAATTTGTGTTTTGATAAAAACTAATTGTACGAATTTTTTTTAAAAAAAAGGATGGAGATGATTTCATAACACTAAAATGATTCGATTCTGAGAGTAATTATTACAATTCAGCAATCAAATAGAAAATATTAGCATTTGAAGTAATAGATACCGGACTGTAAGTTGATTAAGAATACCAACCATTTATTAGGTATATAAGTAGAATATCACACAAAACAATAATAACACTTCTAAAGTATTTTTACGAACTAGGAAAAGTAATGAAACACAAAAATGAAACCCAAATGCCCTGGTACGGCCGAGAGTGGGGAGAGTCTACTCTCCCTCTCGAAATGCTCTCACATGGCCAGCGAATATATAGCCTCTGCCAGGGAAGTCCTACTCACTGCCTTCTCGTGGCGGGGGTGTTGTTTACGAAAGTGAGAGGACGAAAAGCGAATGTCCGGCGCTATAACCGGATTGGTGGACACGGAGGGTCCACCTAGGGGAGTTGGAAAACCCTGATTCCAAACCAATGGTGCACATGGGCTCCAGTATCCTGATGGAACGAATGGCGGAAGAACCTGTCATTGGTCAACGGCTACCATGGGACTGCATCTCCTCACGATGCTCCACTGCCTTGTGGATCAGACCTTTAGGTCAAAGGCTCGGGGTGTGGTCCCCTAAGAAAACCACCTGCTTCGGTTTGGGCACCCGGGCAGTATCACAGCCCACACACAAACAAATGAATGAAATTATGAACTTTATTGACGATATCCCTGGTCATACTAAAAGCAAAACAATTAACATTATTATTATTATTATTATTATTATTACTTACCATATCGCTAATTCACCCCCTTTTATCCCCAATTTGTGTAACCTTACTCTTCAACTTATGCAGCAGCTCGCTCTTGGTGGAAAATCTGTCCTATCTAAACGATCTCCAGTCACTGTCTGGTTGAAAGTGAATGCTTCCACCGATAATGAATACTGAGGCAGTCTTTCTGAAACCACGTACGCCGTTCAAGCTGGCTTCCTTCAACGTTCGCACACTAATGCAGATCAGACAACAGATAGGGCTGGCTATGTCTTTGGAAGGTCTTAATGTTGACGTTTGTTGTCTATCCGAGACCCGTATTCAAGACTCTAGTGAAGTACTACAAATCCGCTCTCCATCTGTCGCCTCGAAAAGCTTGTTCCACGTGCGCTTATCCGGGGACCCTGTGGCATCTTCGTCTGGTCTTGCTGGCGTTGGTGTCGCACTAAGCGCTAGGGCTGAGGCAGCACTAATCGATTGGATCCCCATTAACAGTCGGTTATGTGCTGTTAGATTAGAAAGTTCCATCAAAGTAAGAAGAAACCAGCGTGAGAAACGGTGTCTTTTCGTCATCTCCGCCTATGCCCCGACAGATTGCAGCCCGGATGCAATCAAGGATGAGTTTTACCATCAGTTAACAGTTCTTCTCCAGAAAGCGCGTTCGACAGATATTGTAGTACTAGCCGGAGACTTGAATGCACAGGTCGGGCGTCTAGGCACAGAAGAGAGTCGTCTAGGTGGCCGATGGGGACTTGTTGGTCGCAGGACAGATAACGGGGACCGTTTGCTGCAACTGTGCACAGACCACAACCTGTTTCTGGCCAGCACTAACTTCCGGCACAGTCATCGCCGGTGTGCCACCTGGCGTCCTCCCTCTGCATCCCAAGCCTGGACTCAGATTGATCACATCGCGATCAGCTACCGCTGGCGTGGTTGTGTACAAGACTGCCGCTCCTTTTGGAGTACCTATCTGGAGTCTGATCATGCCCTGGTCTGCGCCAATCTCACCTTACTTTTCAGTGGCCGAAGGATTGACCACCACCAACGGATTGATATTAGTAAACTGGCTGCAACTTCTGTTGCAAGTAAGTATCGAGCGGAGCTAGCCTCTAGGCTAGCTACCACCCCACCGAAATGTATAGGTAAGCATTGGTTGCATCTTCATGACGCCATGAAAATGGCGAGTAAAGCCGCTTGCGGCTTCGCGAAACGTCCCGCTTACAAGCACTGGGTTTCTTCTGGCTCCTTACAACTGATGGAAGCCCGTCGGTCTACTCCGGGTGACCGTGAGTTTGACCACAAACGAAGGCTGTTACGTAATGAAATCGGGCAAAGCTTGTGTAAGGACCGGGAAGCCTGGTGGTCGGAGCGTGCTAATGAGATGGAAGCAGCAGCTGCTTCTGGTAACTGCCGGAAGCTCTTCCAACTCATCCGAGCCACTGGCAGCAAGAAGTCTGGTGTGAGTGAAACAATCTACGAGGATGACGGGATGCCAATCACTAACATCTGTCGACGTCTTGGACGATGGGCGGAATTTTTCGAAGGGCAGTTCAACTGGCCTGCTGCTCCGGCAACATCAACCAGCTTGTCCTGCTCCCCATGGCCGGTGACGACTGATCCACCAAACGAGGCGGAAGTTCGCAAGGAACTCCAACTCTTGAAACGTTATAAATCACCGGGCCCAGATGACTTACCTCCGGCTCTTTTTAAAGATGGTGGTGACTTTCTGGCTAAGGAACTGACTGCGTTGTTTGGAAAGGTTTGGCAGCAAGAAAGTGTTCCAACATTTTGGAATGAGTCAATAGTCGTCCCTATCTTTAAAAAGGGTTCACGTTGTTCCTGTAGCAACTATCGGGGGATAAGTAGGTGTCATTACCAAGACTTGATTTGATAATTTTGAATAAATTGAGCATTGGGTAGATTGTTATAAATAAATTATATATTTGTAATATCCCAATGAGTAGAAAAATTAGATTTTCTGACGTTTCGTGACTCAGTGTAAGCCACTTCTTCAGAGAATAAATAACCAAATTAATATTAATCCAAGTTTAAATAGTACAACGGAACAATCAAAGAATATTAGGTGATCAATCAAAAACCGGTCTGAATAAATCAATGTCACGTCATTTCATTTCGTTCAAAGTGATTCATAAGGGATATGTATGTAATTTTGTGTGTATGTATGCATTGTTAATGACGAAAAATGTGTGACCTTTGTGATGACAAAGGATAGAGTTTAATTTGTAATGTAATGGTGTGAGATTGTAAATAATATTAGACTGGTTGACTAGGATAGATAGTCCAAGTGGGATGTATGGTAAGGCCTTCTTTTCTATTGAGGGCCGTAGGATTAAGCATTATATGGAGAGCTTCTGCTACTCTTCTTTCTTTGTAGTTAGAAAAACCTTTTTGTAGTATTTTGATATTTTTGAAATCAATTTGATGACTGTTGAAAATGGCGTGAACTGCTATTGCCGATTTAATCTGAAGTCTATCTAATTCTACAGGATTATTAGGCGGTTTCTTTGTGTACCTGATATGTTCTTTAGCGCGCGTTAAGATTTCGCGAGATGACTCTCCAATATAGAAGGCATCACAATCGACACAACCTAATTTGTAGACGCAGTTCTGTGTCGACATGAATGGTATTTTTTCTTTTAATCGAACTAAAGTATTTCGAAGTGTGTTAGTTGTTTTGTAATATACTTTAATTCTGTGTTGTCTTAATATCCGTTGGAGTTCTTCAGTTGTGCCATGACGGTATGGTAAGACTGCAGTACCAATCCATGGCAGTTCATTCGAATTATTATTATTATTGTGTATTGAATTGTCTTGTTTTAATATACTTCTAATAATCTTCATAGGAAAATTATTAAATTGTAAGATGCTAATTATATTCTTTTGTTCTTTTTGTTTGTCTTCTTCTGAAGTGATGATCTTGTTGGCTCTTCTAACAAGATTTAAGGCTAACGAAATTTTAGCACTGAAAGGATGTGCTGAATGGAAGTCGATGTAACGATTGGAGTGTGAGGGCTTTCGGTAGATGGATAAATTTAGAACTCCATTTATATTTCTTTTCACTAAGCAATCTAAGAATGGTAGCTCTCCATGTTCATTTTCATTCTCATTCGTGAATTTGATGTGAGATGAAAGTGTATTTAACAGTTTTGAAAACGATCTCAGATGCGTCTTTTTTATTACTACAAATGTGTCATCTACATATCTGAGCCAAATTCGTGGTTTAATTTCGTTGGAGAAAATCTTTGATTCTATGTGTGCCATAAAAAGATTGGCCACAATCGGGGACACGGGAGAACCCATTGCTACACCATTTGTTTGTCTATATAACGTTCCGTTGAAGGTGAATAGAGTTGAATTTAAGCAGAGTTTTAACGATCTCATGATTAAACTGATGCTTAAAGGACATCTGTCCGATAGAGTAATGTCATTCTCTAGTAAGCCACTAATGAATTCTAAGCATATATCAATCGGAATACTAGTATATAAAGATACAACATCAAAGCTTACCATGACTTCATTCTTTTCAATAATTAAATCCGATAATTTTGATTTAAAGTCATATGTATCTTTAATCATATTATGTACGTTAAGCTGTAGTGGTTTTAATATGTTGCTTAGATATTTAGATAAAGCAATGCATACATACAAATGCATACATACATACAATGCATACATACACACAAAATTACATACATATCCCTTATGAATCACTTTGAACGAAATGAAATGACGTGACATTGATTTATTCAGACCGGTTTTTGATTGATCACCTAATATTCTTTGATTGTTCCGTTGTACTATTTAAACTTGGATTAATATTAATTTGGTTATTTATTCTCTGAAGAAGTGGCTTACACTGAGTCACGAAACGTCAGAAAATCTAATTTTTCTACTCATTGGGATATTACAAATATATAATTTATTTATCGGGGGATAAGTCTACTTTCGATCGCGTCCAAACTATTGGCTTCTATCATTCTTCGTAGGTTGTTTAAAACCCGAGAACGATTGACTCGCGAGGAGCAGGCTGGTTTTCGTTCTGGTCGAGGATGCATTGATCACATCTTCACCCTCCGCCAAATGTTAGAACACCGTCATACTTATCGCAGGCCAACAATCGTAGTGTTTCTTGATATCAGGGCTGCCTTAGATTCGTTGGACAGGACCGTTCTCTGGGATTGTCTATTGAAGAAGGGTGTGCCTGAGAAGTTCACTAACATCTTAAAGGCCCTGTATACGAACACCTCAGGCAGAGTGAGGGCATACAACCACCTTTCTCCCTTGTTCCATTCGAGCAGTGGGGTTAGGCAGGGTTGCCCGATCTCACCATTCCTCTTCAACTTTGCCATCGACGACATCCTAGAAACAGCTCTGATGGATGTAAGTAATGGCGGTGTGGATATGTTGCCTGGAGAACGACTTCTCGACCTCGAGTATGCGGATGATATTGTCTTACTGTGCAATAATGCCCAAGGCATGCAATCAGCACTTAATCAGTTGGCAATCAGTGTCCGCAGGTACGGCATGTGCTTTGCACCCTCCAAGTGCAAAGTACTTCTACAAGACTGGCAGGATTCTCATCCTGTACTCACCCTGGATGGTGAGGAGATCGAAGTAGTTGAGAAGTTCGTGTATCTAGGTAGCTATATAAGTGCTGGTGGTGGCGTGAGTGATGAGATTGATGCACGTTTAATGAAAGCCAGAGCGGCTTATGCCAATCTGGGCCATCTTTGGCGCCTTCGTGATGTTAGTCTGGCTGTAAAAGGTCGGATCTACAACGCGTCGGTGAGAGCAGTTTTGCTCTATGCTTGTGAAACCTGGCCTCTTCGAGTTGAAGATGTTAGACGTCTATCTGTGTTCGATCATCGTTGTCTCCGAAGGATTGCTGACATCCAGTGGCAACACCATGTTAGTAATGCAGAGGTTCGGCATCGTGTGTTCGGGCGCAGAGACGATAATTCAATTGGTGTCACCATCTTGAAACACCGACTTCGGTGGCTTGGACATGTTTTACGAATGTCGTCTCAGAGACTTCCACGTCGTGCATTATTTGCCGACCCTGGGACTGGTTGGAGAAAGCGGAGAGGAGGTCAGTGTATGTCATGGTGTCGTGGCATGAAAGAGAGCTGCAAAGGGCTAGCTTCCGTTGGTCCTTCACGACTCCCTGGTTGGGGTCCGAGAGATAGTGCAACACAGTGGCTAGAGACGTTATCGGATATGGCTCAGAATAGAAGCCAGTGGCGATCCTGCTGCAACCTTCTTTTACTTTCTACATAAAGAATGGTTCTAACTTTCCTAACTGAAAGAATCTTCTGGTTGTACATTTCAGCCCGCCTTATCTTTTCATCCTTTATCTACCTACTTTCATTATTTTGTGTGGCGCATATGTACCTGGTGCCCTTTTGTACCAATATATATGTGTTTAAATAAATAAATAAATAATTCATTTTATGATATGTGAGAATCTTACTTGCTAACAAAAAAGCTTTATTTATAGTTCATTCTATAAAATTATTTTTAAAATCCAACTTCAATAGTAACTACAATATGTCTACGTGTCAAGACATTTTCAGACTGAAAATTCCATCAAATGTGAATACAAACAATTTACAAGTGCTAATTAAATACGAAATAACTGGGAACCATTGCTATAAGTTAATTACCAGCTAACTGTTTAGTCATTAAAACAATGCGGTAATGTTCATTCCTTCTACAACATGAGGTATAATTATGACTACTTTTATTTTGATGTTTATTTACTCAAATATTTACAAGTTTGCTAAATCTGTTAACATGACTACACAGATACTATTGAATGTTCTACTGAGAAAACGTCAAAATTCTAAAAATGTCATGGAACTTTGAATTCAGATCGATTAACAATCAATATATACGTTGGACTGAGTCCAAATTATCCACCCATGCAAACAAGGTCAATCAATCAAATGATCAAACATAGACAAAAGACAGATGAAAATAACCATTCATTAATAAGGTCATGAGAACTAACTAATTTTAATACTTGTAAAGAAACTGCGAAGCTTACATCTAAATGAATTAGATTTTGATAATATTGTCCAGAATGACAATGAATGACTTGCAATTATACAATCTAACCTACAGGACACGAAACGGAAAAATTTGATCCTTAATGTCGTACTATAAGATCAAAAAGGTAGGCAACTTTGCGATCATTGGAGTTGATTATTTGAATTTATTAGAAAGAAATTTGTACAAACTTATCACTCGGTTAGTTACCATTACTATAATTGTGCAAGAAGTTAATGGATGACGAAAAGGTGAAATCACAAAAAAAAGTAAATACTAATTAGTATGGTAATGACACTTTTTATTTGGATAATTAAGTAAAATTATTCTCTAATAAAACAAAGTTTTAAGCTAGGGCTGATCATACCAAGGATCTTTGTTAATTCTGTACCTAATGTGAGTATTCAGTCATTAAAGATAACTAAGACTTGTAGTAGGTTATATAGGTTGTACCTATTCTTCGAGTTGTATTTCTTATGAAAGGAGATAAATGAAAAGTGGATTTGAAAACTATACTTATTTTAATTTTGATGTTTCAATGGAAATCAAGTGTTTAAATCATTGATCGATACATATTCATTGAATATAGAGTAACCAATATACGATGTTAGTTTTATGTGCTCAAAAGATTTACTAATCAAATGCCAAAGTAGTAGAATGGGTTTAGTGTGACGTCAACAGCAAATATTTACAAAGTGTGATTGGATGGGTAGAATGATTTATAGGGTGGTAGTGACGATGCAACACATTGGGCTATCAAATGTACTACTGAAGCATAAAATTGTAGACTGAGAATTTCTATTTCTATTCTATTTCTAATATAGTTCTAGTCATTGTAGGGTATAATTAATTATTGAAATGTACAATGCACTTTAGTCAGTCAATGTAGAGCCTGATTCTGAAAAAATTGGAAGACATATGCCAACATTTTTACCTGGTCAATTATAATGTACTTTGTTCCAAATATTAGCTATAGCATACGTACAATCGACCAATGATGAAGATGTCTTGAAATGAAGTCAAGAATCTATCATATGATAATATATTTACTGACATATAAACCCAGTACGAATTAACAGATTTAAGTCAGTCAGTCAGTCACAACGTAGAACTTCGTACGTACGTACATCAGTTCGAGTTGCCATACCACATTAGCACAGAGATGCAGTTGCCGATTCAAATCCCATAGTGGTAGAAGTAGTAGGAGTATAATCAGAAATCCAAAAGATTAGGGTTTGAAGAAATTATTGAAGGAGTATAGTACAGTGAAATAAATTTGGAAAAAGAAAAAGTTAAAGACATGAGGAATTCAGAAGATTAGAATTTGGTAGAACACAAAGAGTGGATGCACCTTCGCCATTGCGATTTAAAACCATATTCGTTTATGAAGCAATCTAAATGCAAAGAATTTACTTATTCGGATTATATGAAGTAGTTATTATTAAGTTAAATATACTGCAGATATATCGTTAACCTATCATAAGTGAATATGGAGAGAAGTAGTTTGGTCAATGAAAATAAAAATTCGCGAAATATGTCTTTCAGTTGTATAAAAAAGTGATTAGTTTGACGGCATCTGATTGTCAAAGTCTTCGGAATGTTGCTTGTTTATGATCAAAAGAGTAAAAAAGTAGTATGGTTATATCACTATATAAAGGAGGTTAAACGTCAAGCACTTGGATGTTTGTGATATTTGTGATGCATGCTTAGATATCTGCCTACTCTGAAACATCACACCGATCAGTATAGTCTAAACTAAAATGACTATGAGCGTTTAAAACAAGATATGAAACTATCTCACTATATCAAAAGGCTGTTTGGATAAGGTTTGAGTTTTTTAAGCAGTATAGCTCAAAATTAATTTGATTGAGAGAGAAATATTCACTATTTAGCTGCTTTAAAACTCGATCACTTTATGCTTTCCATTCAGTAATGTTGTTGATTTCCTTTTCAATTCATAAATATAGTTGAATCTTTTGTAATTACTTGTCTATCTAAAACGATAGACTTTTGTCTTAGGTCGTCTGTTTTTATTAGTATTTGGTTATTTAACAATATGGAACGACACTAAATGAAGTTTTTTTGCTGTGTTCTGAATTAAGCTTAAAAAAAAACAGAGATTTAAAATATGACCTAATGAACTACTTCAAATTAAAAAAAACAAGTTTTTTTTTAAAAAACTTAGTGATAAAAAAAGAGAATTGATTAAATTACCTTTATCGTACGTTCATTAAGAAAATATCTTTGACAAAATTGATTACGTTCGATTTGTGAATTAAGTCCATTATAACTCTAGGAATATTTATTCAATTAAGGTAAAGTGAAATTAATGAATAGGTATTTAACTACACAATAGTATTTAAAATATTTCATAACATCTAAATAATAATTTTTACATTATTTCAGATGAAACAGAAAGTTTGAAAGAGAAAAAAACTTCCTAAAATCAAATAAATAGTGTATTGGTTGGTTAACACACGAAAGCCAAGATATAATACAATCTCATACACATAGTTCCTTTTATTAATATCTAAATATTATATATATATATATATATATATATATATATATATATATATATATAATTCTATGCAGTCTTTAATTTATTTACATTTTTGCTATACTGTGCAGCTGTAAGCTCACAACAACGTTCAATCAGATTTATTTTCAATCTACTTTCTGGTCTGGATTTTTATATATTGCAGGTTGTAAAAAAATAATGAGAACTCGACGACACCAAAGATATTATTCAATTAATAGGACATTTTTATTGCGATGATAACGAGCTATATATTATATCAGTCGTTTACTCATGCCCCCAAATGCTCTGGCACGGCTGAGAGTGGAGAGGGGTCACCTTCCCTCTCGAAATGCTCTCAGATGGCCATGCTTATAAAGCCTCTGCCAGGGAAGTCCTACTCACTGCCTTCTCGTGGCATTACTATTGTTTACGAAATTGAGAGGACGAAAAGTGAATGTCCAGCGCTTTAACCGGGTTGGTGGATGTGGAGGATCCACCTAGGGGAGTTTGTAAACCCTGATTCCAAACCTATGGTGCACATGAGCTCCAGTATCCTGAGTGAACAAATGACGTATGAATCAATCGTTGGACACCGGCTACCATGGGATTGCATCTCCTTACGATGCTTCGCTGCCTTGTGGATCAGATCTTTAGGTCAAAGGCTCCGGGTGTGGTCCCCTAAGGAAACCACTTGCTTCAGTTTGGGCACCTGTGCAGTATCACAGCCCCCACACAAATCGAATGAGATTTGTGCGGCACATATGTATCTGGTGCTTCCTTGTACCAATATTTATGAGTTTAAATAAATAAAACTTATTCGCTTTACGATCACATATTTGTCGATTTATACCTAGCTTCATTTACTGTTTCAACGTCAATATACTAACTTTAACCCAGAAATAGTATAAATAACTTAAGTTTTGTTAAATGAACTTTCAGAAGCTTATTGGAATGTATCATGGCTTAAGCGGACCTCGGAATTTAGAATCCAACGTATAAAATTTGAATACCAGAAGATATGACTCAGTGATTCTAACACATCATTTACTACAGACAAGTTACATGAAACCAAAAGGCTATATAATATATGTTTTCCGTCTATGCTAGTAATAATCCAGTTCATGTAGAACCTCCGGAAAATTTGTGTTCATTTTAAGAGTTGGTGATGCGACGACCTGATAAATAGGTTTTAAAGTTATTCCTTAACGTTAGAGAAGCAATTCACTGTTCAAAAGTGACTTAAGTGTCATTACTAAAGAGAAGTAAAAGGAATTTATGATTATGTTTAAAAGACAAAAATATGTTTTAACGTATTTAAGCGCAAGTGATTATGAGAGATTTATTGTTTAGAATTAAGTCGAACTGTCAGTAATCTAATCGAATAATTTCCTGCTTTTTGGAATAAAAAGAAAGCTGAAGCTAAATACAAGCTGTATTATATATAACTGTATAAGAAAATTATTTAATAATGAATATGGAATAAAGTTTCGTATTTATCGGTACGTATCGTCAAATATTCTTGCTTGTCTTGAAAATCTATATTTGCACAGAGTATACAAAATTAATAAAATTCTAGAAATGAATAATTATAGAACTAACGTCTGTAAGTTTATGATTTGATAATAAATCCATACCTTGGCTATAAAAGCAAATCTTTTTTAAAAGACAGTATCTTACTTGAATAACTGTAGCAAATACCCAATGGTCGCTAAAAGAATTCTGAGACAATTCCTTTCTACATCGGTCAGCCTCTTGTTGTTTCTCCAAAGGTACTTCGAATGGATCACGAAATGTCAAACACGAAGCAACAGCTAAAATTGGTTCTAAGCAACCGAATAATGCGCCGAAAATTAGGAGTTTAGCACATTGTGGATCCAAAGGGAAATTGGCTAAATGTACACCAAGAGGAGTTAACTCATCGTCATCTTCATCTGTTGAATCTAAATGGATACAACTAGAACCCAAAATATTTATACCACTAGCGTTTACATCCTTTTTAATAGCTTCTGAAAATTCTCGAAGAGATTTTCGATTAACTTTATGACTTTGTCCACGAGATTTTATTGAATGAGATGTATTAAAATTCGTTGTTTCCGATTCGATTAGCTTCAGAGCTTGAATTTGTCTAAGAAATATTAAGGTTTTTGAAATAGCATCTTCAGAAGGAGAGTCAAGACAGTTGGTTAAGAAAGATTTTACACGGCCAAGGCTTAGCAACTAAACGAAAAACATACACACATAAAGTAATTAATGAACGTATAAAATAAACGAATTGAATTGTAAACAATAAAATTACATATATTTACAACTAGTCCAAATAACCAATTGAATTACAACATACATCAATTGCCATTTATGATAATGGTACAAGTAAATCTCCAAACAATGTAAAGCATGTTTATTTGACGTCATGGTTTCTCATCATTTACTTACTACTTTTTTAAAACTTCATATTCTCATACAGCATGTTTATTCAATACGATAGATTATTAGGACAGATCCTAAGCTAATATTTTCAGTAGTAAAGATCATTTCATATTAATAGTGGGAGTAACAATTCTTTTTTTAGAGAATATCACTTGCACTTACAAATGGTGTAAATTAATTAACCTAACAATAAAAATGTGGTACCAATTGCATAGAATCAGTATGTTCAATAATACATGGGAAAATATTGGGTGGTTAGGGCTAGTTGACAAGAAACTCTGCATCTAAGTTTCTTGCTAATTGGTATTCGTAAATGGGAAGGAGGTTCGGTTCTCATAAGGATCGTTTATGCCTTTAAGAAATCAGGTAAGCATTGCCGACGTATGTTAACTAGAACAAAAGCCGGTTTCAAGGTTTCTTATCGACAAACCGGAACTAAATAACATATCACTATAGTGCACCTGAAGTCTAGTTACTTAGATTAGTGAACACATTTTAAATGGATGAACATAATTCGATTAGCATTTAAAGGACTAAACAACCATGATATTGGTCACCACTCAGTGATCAATCAACTGTAAGTATCTCTCTAAAATTATCAAACAGATGCTTAAAAACGAACTATGCATTATTTTGAGTACTGTATACAACCCTAAACAAAACAGAAAAAGTCGTTGTGTGCCAGACTGACAGCTTAGCTCTGTAAAAAATGAGGATAGATAATAATAATAAAATTGATACATAGTGGTAGCAACAAGTTTATTGATTGATTGAATATAACATCAATTTTGTCGGTGTTTTTTCTTTCAACTCGCCACTATTAATTATACACCAGTGAAATCGAATAAATATATTCGTAAATGAATGTGTGTGTGTTCACTACAGTCTACTTATATAAAGTTGACACATACTTCTGTTCGATATTCTTTTATGTAGGTCAATTAAATTCATTCATTTATTATTCAAAGGATTTAAATTAATACCGAGAGATGTGATCCGTTAGATAGAAAAGGTGAAGACGGAAAAGCTCTGTTATTTTATTTATTTATTGATTAGACTTTGTAAAGGAATCTGAACAGAAGAGAAAATAGTGGTAGTGAAAAAATCTTAGGAATTATTACTTTTAAGGAAAGGCTTAATACCTGTTGCGGTTATGATTGATTATTAGATAGTGAGATTTAAGGTAAATTTTATGCATTAAAGAATTTAATGAGAAGTACATTCAATTATAAATCTAGACGATCAGTGTCATCAGGCGAACTGGTGGAGTTAGTTTATACTATTAGATTGATCCAAATATTGATTATATCTATTTAAAACACAGATACAAACAGAGATAGTTGAACGAGTTGCCTCACTATACTAGCCAACTGTTTTATGCAGGTATACAGGTTCAATAGTCATGGAGACTAAGCATAGTGTTAACCAAGTAATTTTATTTGTGAAAATTAAGCAAATTCAGTTGACATTGAGAAATCAACGTTTTTTTCGGAAATGAAATGAAATAGTTTTCGTAATTTGAAAAGAAGACAATGAACACAGATGAACTTTAGCAGTTAAGAGTCAACATGGGATATTTGTTGCATATGACGGTCAACTTTATTCTTGTACGTTTAATTTGATTTTTTAAAAGAAATCTAAGATTTCACAGTACGTGAATGATTGCTAAAGAAACATACATGAGAAATTAAAGGCGTTTACCAACGAATTACTACATATATGTAGGGGCTTGAGCTTTCCCGCTTTTGATATTAAGGACTGGATTTAATAATTATATTGGCATACTTTTACCCTTAGCAAATTGCCTCATTATTCCCTTTTAGTCAGAAACGGGCATATAAAAATCAATACTAATACATTTATGTTCGTAAAATACGTTAGTAGCTATCTTGAATTAACAGCTCATTGTACGACGCGTTGGGGTTCAGAGTGAAAGGTAGTGGGTTCAAATCACAGTAGAAACATCAATGTTAAGATCCACGTACATCCAGTTGAAGGGTCCCAAATAGGACAAAACGGACATTTTGGATTTTACTGATGTGGATTACGGAAGTGATTGATTGGTATATAGTATGTAAAAGAAATTGTATCGAAGAATAAATATTAAGAAAATACAAAAAAGCTCTAATTACTTTAATTCTTAAAATCACATCTTCTAAACGGACACGTAACATTTCTGGTTGTAGGAAATCTGACATAACATTATTATACACATAACTTGGGAATAAATGATAACAGATGCCAGGCTGTACACTAGGAATAATTAAAGAAACATGCAGAAAGAAGAAAAAATATTTAGACAATTAATAATATATCGAACATTTTGAGTGAATACATGAGTAACCCTACCACCATTCGTAAACATGATCATACAACCGGATGCATTCACTAATGAATGTTGTAAATAACCGATTCTATGTGTGCTAAAAATAACTAAAGTATATGTGATTCCGAAGAAATGGTGGGAAATAAAGTAACCAATACTCACGACTACATTGTATTTTAGTTTTTACGAGCTGTTAGTTAAAGATAACAATAGTAAGGGTAGATAGCAACTAATAAACTTAAAACCCACTGATATGAGGTGAAACAAGGAACAGCATTCTTCCATGATGTGGGGAACTGGGAAGTGAAAACTGAGTGATCGCTCCTAGCACTACTCAAGATATTTTTCTTCAAGATGGAATAATAGTCAATTTTGGGGGAAAAATCCAGAAAACATTAGTCAAAGTAGAAAAGTTAGATCGGTGAGACCATAATTTATGGATGAGCCAATCAGAAGCATTTGAGGGATTTCAAGGTCACAGCGTCAATTTCAGTACCTGATGCTCACGTACGATAGGTTCACAGAGGATTTTAGAAAAGACATGACAACTGAGCAGCTACAGCAAATGGGACTACTAAGAATTTCCTATACTCGTAATTGCGGGAATCAAATGACTTGTAGACCTTATGCAGACTACCGTGATGTTATCTTTTGGTGTAATATAAATTACATATATATGTTGGAGAAAGACGTCTGCTACATAAACTTTTTTTCGCTTGACTAAGATTGAGACTAAGGCAAATTATAATCATTGCTGCGGACTGTATGATAAAAGCACTAGTAACATTAGCTGCAATATTCGAAGATGTTACTGAAGCTTCGGCTGTTCAGTGGTATGGGTATTGTAGAGATATATGCGTAGTAAAATGACAAGCTTACACAACCGGAGTACACAGAAACAATATTGAAGCTACGTGGTCGGAGCTGAAAGAGTTTTTGCGACCTTATCATGGTTCTAGAGACCGACTATTATGGAGCTATATAGATGAGTTCCTCTACTATATCAATTACGATTTTAGAACCTTTGAACACCTTTCTAACCTTGATGAGTTTTTGGACCATGTAAAATAAGTGTATCCACTTTAATTCTTTGGTTTTGTATAATATATTCTTACTCTATACCAACTGCCCCCTGATTGGCTAGTAATTCTCAAGGTCACTTAAGATTCGTTTAAAGGTCGTCCATAAACTATAGTTTCGCAGTTAGGTCAACTGAGACAAGGAATGATACTTGCACGTTAATGATCTTGGCTAAGCTGAAGTTTGAGAGTAAAAAAAGATTTGTGATTATAAAAACAAAATATTCTTGACATTCATGAAAATATCGATATTTAAGTATTGTTATAAAGATTTGACTTGATAATTTCGAATAGATTGAGCATTGGTAGGTCGTTAACAATAGAAATAATATGTTTTTAACGTCTTAATGAATAGAAAATGGTACTACTTAAATTTGTGTTAATTTTATTAGTTTATCCATTTTACTCTCTAAAGAAGTGGCTTACACTAAGCAAAGAAACAACAGAAAATTAATTTTCTACTGATTGGAATTTCATTTTTTTTTGTTAGACATGACTAGTTATTTATCCGAACTCTGTGGGAAAAATGTAGCCGTCATTGTTTGGGTTAGTTTTAAATGCGTTAAGTGACATACTTAGAAATCACTGAGTTCAGACAGACCAAATAATTGATTATCTCGTTTTTATTTTTCTTTCGTTATTTGGTTTTATCTATATTGTTTCAAAGCACTGGAACTCAAAATAAAGAGAGCTTGATCAACCAGTCATTGATAGATTCGAATCAATACTATGAATAAAATCAGTAAAGCAATTGAAAAATCGACCGAAAAACATGTATGCGTGAATCGGTATAATAATAATAATGTTGAAAAAGACATAATATTATGTAAGTTAGAAAGGAGCAATGGGCGGCTATTCAAAGATATTGAATCAGAAAACGAGTTCATTAATTGTCGGAGAGGTACATGTTAGGTGTAGACTTCTTGGTTTAATTTCATGATATAAACAGAAACACTGGTTGGATACCTTAAGCGGAATAGTTTGAAATCGAACGGAGTGGCACATATATATTTGATCGCTATCCATTTAACTTTAAATCTAACAGTTGTAGTTATGATAACAAGTAACTTTTCAACTACCTACTGAGAACATGAAACCGATAAACATCATACACATAATTATTTTGCTAACAACAGAGATATTATAGTTGGCAAGTGACAATTGAATGATGTTAAAATGAATGTTAAAATGAATAAATTAAATATTGGTGCAAAATAACCTGAAATGATTTAGTTCGTAGAAATAAACAATTGAATCAGTATATTAAATTCATTGATAAGTCATAATTAAAATATTTTTAGGTCAAATCATTTTTACTCCGTGCAGTATAGTACGAAATGTGATGATAACTTATCACGCTAATAAGTAAATTGTTTTATCTGTAAGCCATGAGTTTTTACAATTAACAAATTATGGTACTTTATTTATTTATTTAAACACATATATATTGGTACAAAATGGCACCAGATACATATGAGCCACACAAAGTAATGAAAGTAGGAAGAGAAGGGATGAAAAGATAAGGCGGACTGAAATGTACAACCAGAAGACTCTTTCAGTTAAGAAAGTTAGAACCACTCTTATGTAGAAAGTAAAAGAAGGTTGCAGCGGGATCGCCACTGGCTTCTATTCTGAGCCATATCTGATAACGTCTCTAGCCACTGCGTTGCACCATCTCTCGGACCCCAACCAGGGAGTCGTGAAGGGCCAACAGAAGCTAGCCCTTTGCAGCTCTCTTTCATGCCACGACACCATGACATACACTGACCTCCTCTCCGCTTTTTCCAACCAGTCCCAGGGTCGGCAAATAATGCACGACGTGGAAGTCTCTGAGACGACATTCGTAAAACATGTCCAAGCCACCGAAGTCGGTGTTTCAAGATGGTGACACCAATTGAATTATCGTCTCTGCGCCCGAACACACGATGCCGAACCTCTGCATTACTAACATGGTGTTGCCACTGAATGTCAGCAATCCTTCGGAGACAACGATGATCGAACACAGATAGACGTCTAACATCTTCAACTCGAAGAGGCCAGGTTTCACAAGCATAGAGCAAAACTGCTCTCACCGACGCGCTGTAAATCCGATCTTTTACAGCCAGACTAACATCACGAAGGCGCCAAAGATGGCCCAGATTGGCATGAGCCGCTCTGGCTTTCATTATACGTGCATCAATCTCATCACTCACGCCACCACCAGCACTTATATAGCTACCTAGATACACCAACTTCTCAACTACTTCAATCTGCTCACCATCCAGGGTGAGTGCAGGATTAGAATCCTGCCAGTCTTGTAGGAGTACTTTGCACTTGGAGGGTGCAAAGCACATGCCGTACCTGCGGACACTGATTGCCAACTGATTAAGTGCTGATTGCATGCCTTGGGCATTATTGCACAGTAAGACAATATCATCCGCATACTCAAGGTCGAGAAGTCGTTCTCCAGACAGCAGATCCACACCGCCACTACTTACATCCATCAGAGTTGTTTCCAGGATGTCATCGATGGCAAAGTTGAAGAGGAATGGTGAGATCGGGCAACCCTGCCTAACCCCACTGCTCGAATGGAACAAGGGAGAAAGGTGGTTGTATGCCCTCACTCTGCCTGAGGTGTTCGTATACAGGGCCTTTAAGATGTTAGTGAACTTCTCAGGCACACCCTTCTTCAATAGACAATCCCAGAGAACGGTCCTGTCCAACGAATCTAAGGCAGCCCTGATATCAAGAAACACTACGATTGTTGGCCTGCGATAAGTATGACGGTGTTCTAACATTTGGCGGAGGGTGAAGATGTGATCAATGCATCCTCGACCAGAACGAAAACCAGCCTGCTCCTCGCGAGTCAATCGTTCTCGGGTTTTAAACAACCTACGAAGAATGATAGAAGCCAATAGTTTGGACGCGATCGAAAGTAGACTTATCCCCCGATAGTTGCTACAGGAACAACGTGAACCCTTTTTAAAGATAGGGACGACTATTGACTCATTCCAAAATGTTGGAACACTTTCTTGCTGCCAAACCTTTCCAAACAACGCAGTCAGTTCCTTAGCCAGAAAGTCACCACCATCTTTAAAAAGAGCCGGAGGTAAGTCATCTGGGCCCGGTGATTTATAACGTTTCAAGAGTTGGAGTTCCTTTACTTAGAAACCACCTTAGAACCGCACGAATACTTTTAAGTGATAAATAATTACAACCATGCAATAGTAGAGATAATGTATGTTATATTTTAATACAGGAGGGTAATTACAATATCGACATAGTACGAACATTGCTAAATGTTCGTGGTATCGATGGTAGGCTGAAGTAAAGTGTCGAAATCTCAGAACTCAGATGGAATCAGCTGAAGTTTATTTTAAATGGAATTCAAAATCAAGAAATGAGAGGCCTTATATACAAAAACTAAAGTGAATATTAAAGGATTTGGGTGAATTTGTAGTAAGCGGTTTAGTTAATATTTGTAAATTACTGTTGCTGACTTACATAAACCGTTTTTGATCGTTTGTATTGCAGTATGGTTCATAGTTTTGAGTCAAAACCGATTAAATTTTATGCTAACTGTATTTATATTCTGTTCCTAATGCTATCGTTATGAGTTAATTGTGACTTCTTGTACCGTGAGTTGACCATAATCATTAACTGAAAGTCGAGTAGATAGTTTCTCTTGTGAATGCCCCTAATAAACCTTCGCGTTAATTTAAAGCCTAAAATACTATTTTACACCAAGGATTTGAAATCATTACAGGAAAACAACACTAGACTGATACTCAAAATGGTCAGTTAGGTATGATGGAACGTGAATCAGTAACATTCTCAAATGAATGAAGCAAGTCTTTAATTATCCAAAAAAATGCATGAAGCAATATCCTCAGGTAACACTACAGTCAAGTTTTGAGACCGATAGAAAGAATATAGTCAAGACGCATGACTTGGAAACGTAGCATTTACTACAACCAGACGGTTGAATTTAGCAATCGACAGACAAATTTTACATGTTTAATACACGTAAATGTAGGTATATCCTGGGAAACAAACGTTAAGCTCCTTTCAGATTTCATTTTTCATATAGCAAGTATAGTATTCAAAGGAGCTAACAACCATCAAATGTTTTCGAAGATTTGATTAAACTTATGAGAAAATTATCAGCCATAGAGTATGAGTGAAGAGCAGCTTTCTTGCTGTATATTTCCTTCATGACCTAGAATTTCGTTAGAATATTTAGCAAAATCAACTACAACTATCTGACTTAGCCATTGAAATTATAATTGATTATTGAGAAACCAAATAAATACCAGTTTGTTTAAAATAATTATACTACACCTTATCACTATTGGAACTTGATTTGTAATTGACGTATTCTACCACCTAAGTACTTATTACTTTGATATTGCAAATTAATTTAGCATAGAATAATAAAAAGAATATGATCAACATTTAAATTTCTTTATTTGGGAGAAAATATGTCGGAAAGACGGAATACGAAGTCATTTGAAATTTTATCTTAAGAAATCTTACCGACCAGCTCTTCCAGAACGCTGAGCTGCATTGGCTTTGCTAACAAGAATCGCAGTTAAGGTTGATGTGTTCTGTCTCGGATCATAATCTGTCACTTTGATACGACCACAGTCAATCACATAAACTACATCTTGAATGGTTATGCTATAGAGAAAGAAAGGTATTTTCTTTCATAAAGCAGACCATTCAAATTCTCCATACAAAAGCAAAAAGTATTACATTTTTACGTAACAAGTCAGCCAAAATCACTTTATAAATAGACAGTTACTAGGTAGATGTGTATTATATTTTCATTGTTATCAGTTGATCCAGGTTTAAATGTAGCCTTACACTGAACTTGTGAAACCATTAACAATCCATAGAGAAAATGACAGTCAAATAACTCTTACCTGTAATTCTAAAAGGTAAATAATAAATCAGTTGGCTAAGAGACTTTGTTGTCTTTTTATAAAATATTATTAAAAATTCTCAACTGACATTGTAGTTTGTCCTAACATTGAATCTATCCTCGTCGTCTTTCATTCATTTTAAGACCTACCGTGGTGTAATAACTTCCTAACCTTTCATATTGTTTTTCTCTATTCTTTATTTTTAGTCATCACTTTATATTTATTGAACTCTTATTTAATTAACCTTTATTGGTCCTCATATAAAAATGCCTTAATATGTAAAAGTAGATGTGACCAGGTTGATCTAGATGTATGACTCAAATACATCACATTTTCTAGATCAACTGTTTAATTACCACACTATTAAAGAAACGATACTTAATATTCTAAATTTCATATTGTGAAATCGATGATCAACTGATACGTGGAGTAATGGTGAGACATTCAAAACTACATCTAGACATGAGTGTAGCATAATGCAGGAACTAAAATGAGTTGTAATTATAAACGAATTAAATGTTTTTCATCCTGCATCCACATGATTCTAGTTAGTTCTATCTCTGTGAAATTACAAGCTTAGTAGATGGTATTAGACAGATAATAAAAATCAATGGTTAGTATTGGACAAATGTATTTAATTCTAATTTCTTATTGAATCATTCAAATCTCAATGCGACTACTTTCTTCATATTTTATTTCATGTCGGGATTTTTGTCATACACCTATTTCACAGAATGTCATTGGTATTGATGTAAAATATCGCCGTTAGTTGTAGTCATTTTCTGAGATATGTTATAAAATTTAACTTCATTTATTTTCATACATGTATCGTAATTTACTTATTACTGTGCAATTTTATCAATAGCAAATATTTTCGACGGTCTTTTGAAAAAAACATATAAACAGATAGATGGGTAAACAGCTGTACATTGAAATAAAGTGTAGTGAGAAATCTTCACTGACCTCGTTTCAGCAATATTGGTTGCTATGACCACTTTTCTTTGATTTTTTGGTGAGGGTTCGAACAGTGAGCGGTCCCTGGACGTGGGAATTCTTGAATGCAATGGATAAATTCTAACACTTCCATAGCGATTATCATATCGTCTTGGATTTAATTCACGTAAACATCTGAATACATCTTTTATGTCCTGATAAGTGATAAACACAATCAAAGAAGTAAACAGTGGAGTTTTAAGTTGAAAAAAGGGTGCAAACAAGAAATTAATAGAAATAAAATGGTTTGATATTTATTAATTGTAATTTTAATATAATCCTGTCGAACTGACACCATGTAGTATAATGCCTGTTATAACTTGTAGCCTGGGTAACCTGTTAATGTATAACATAATACTGCCAATTAGAGAGCAGCGAATTATCAATCGGACCAATGATGCATAAAACCAGTGCGAGCAGTCTAGAGTATTTACCGGCCTGCTTTTTGCCTAGCCCATTCAGTTAAGTCCAGAACACCAATAACAGCCTCTGTGGTATGAATCCTTGTATTTCAAACATACAGAGTTTATATACCGAACAGACTGACCACATCGTACCAATAAAATAGAAAATAACATTTGCACAAGATTTAGCCAAATGTGGCTGTGAATAAGGGAGATAGTAATCGATAGACAGAGCATAACCCAAGAATGGTAAAGTGTATAATAATAGTCCATATATCAAAATAATGCTCATAATAAGAGGGACATGAATATGAATAGTTTAATTATTTAACAATTATACGATAAACATAGTATTGGTCCATAAATAGATCCCAAAGTTACCATTCATTATTCTTACCGGGACATAACAGCCACTTTAAAGTTGAATTTGTTTGGTTTTTGGTGAATTCATTGAATAACTTCTTTACAGTATCGAAAACCCAGAAAAACACAATAAGTATTTTAAAATACAGTACTACTACAGTAATGAACGAACACTCAGGTGGGAAAAACCAGTTTATTATTCAATGCGTAATCACACGGTGGTTTGGTAAAATGTGAAAATCATGCATTAGGCACATTATTTGCACATCTGCTCACAAGCATTCCACATCTGATCGGTGCTACATACTACTTGCATCTATCGACACAAGTAGCACACATCACACTACTACAGTTCAAGATGTTTTCGAACATCTGTTCGGGTATGAAGAAGTTCATTAACTGGTTGGATTTATGGACACAAATAAACAGATTTTGAGGGACACGTTTAAAACTTAAGATTCATGTTCTTTTCGTACTAACTTTAGAAATTTCCAACTTTTCAATTTAATTATATAAAACATATTTCACGTAAACTCAGCTCCAAGTTGATAACTGATCAGGGTTAGACGCTGTATAGACTAAAATTATAAAAAAACTTCAATCAGTCACTCATCTACAACATAGAACCAGGCACATATATGCATCGGTCCAAGTTGCCACACCTCATCAGCAACAAGACTGAACACCGAATTCATAGAAGTAGTTCATTTAGTGGTGGTAATATATAAGAGAAAGGGTGTATATAAGGATATAGTATAGGAAAGAAAACAGATAAGAGGCAATTTTGATCTCAAGGTTTAAGGGGACATAAAGAGTGTATACACCTGCGCCATTGTAATCGATTCTGAGTCATGTCACCTAGAGTCTACAACTATTGGTTACGATAGTCACACGGACTACAACCAAGTAGTCTGCATCAACCAACATGACTCAGACTAGAAGTTAGTGACTTCAAGCACTGATGTCACGTTTTGGTTTGCCCCCCTAGCTTTCTTCCCACCATCCCCAATACTAGTCAGCATTGCGCCTCGTGGTAATCGGTGTTCAGGCATACGTAACACATGGCCCAACCATCTCAGTCGATGAAGATTCATCACCTCATCAACTAATTTACCACCATTCCCTAATACCCCGTGTCTAACCTCACTATTACTTACCCGGTGATCCCAGCAGAGGTGAGCAATATTTCTAAGGCATCTGTGGTCAAATACTAGTAACTTACGAGTATCTTCTACTATTAATGACCACGTTTCGCAGCCGTAAAGTAGAGCAGAATGAACTGCTGCGCAGTATACTCGTCTCTTAATTGATAGACGGATATCTCGTCTTCGCCATAGGTCACGTAAGTTGGCAAAAGCTAAACGAGCTTTTTGAATCCGTGCTGAGATTTCGTCAGACACCAACCCATTAGGGCTGATCAGACTTCCAAGATAAGTGAAGTTGTCGACGCGTTCGACTACTTCACTCCCTATCCTTAGTTCGGGTGTTGACGCAGGCCAGTCCTGGAGTAACAATTTACATTTAGAGAGGGAGAAACGCATCCCAAACATCCTGGCATTATTACTCAGTTCTAACAGAAAACTCTGCATTATGTCAGCGTCTTCACCAAACAGGACTATGTAATCTGAGTATTCTAAGTCGATAACACCCCCGTCTCGTGGCGGGGGTGTTGTTCACAAAAGTGAGAGGACGAAAAGTGAATGTCCAGCGCTTTAACCGGGTTGGTGGATGTGGAGGATCCACCTAGGGGAGTTGGAAAATCCTGATTCCAAACCAATGGTGCACATGGGCTCCAGGATCCTGAAGGAACGAATGGTGTATGGAACAACTTGGTCACCGGCTATCATGGGATTGCATCTTTTTACGATGCTCCACTGCCTTGTGGACTAGACCTTTAGGTCAAAGCCTCGGGATGTGGCCCCCTAAGAAAAGCACCTGCTTCAGTTCGGGCACCTGGGCAGTATCACAGCCCTCACACAAATCAAATGAGATTTGTGAGGCGCATATGTATCTGGTGCTTCCTTGTACCAATATTTATGTGTTTAAATAAATGAATAAAGTCGATAAGTGGACCCCCTGGTAGGAGATCAATTCAGGAAAATTCAGTCGACGAGGGTGTAATTTACAGCAATGTCTATAATGAAGTTAAACAAAAATGGGGATAGTGGACAGCCTTGTCGGACACCACTTGAGGTTGTAAAATCAGATGACAGTTCGCCATAACCTCTCACTCGACTGGTAGTGTTCGAGTAAAGAACCTTCAAAAGGTTTATGTACTTCTGAGGTACACCTTTCAATGACAGACACTGCCATAGAACCTCTCGGTATACAGAATCAAATGCTGCTTTTACGTCAAGAAAAATTATCATTGTCGGACGCCGATAAACATGTCTATGCTCTAAAACCTGACGACTAGTGGTCGATGCAGCCACGAACAGGTCTGAAGTCAGCCTGATTTTCTCGTGTTTGCAGTTCACTAGTCTTAGGCGCCTGATAATTATTGAAGCTAGTATTTTAGATGCCATATTAAGTAAACTAACTCCCTTATGGTTATCACAGGATGATTTTGGTCCCTTCTTATATATTGGGACAATAAGTGATTGTGACCAGTCAGATGGGATTACGTCCAACTCCCAGATGTTAGCTAAAATATCGGAAAACGTAATGGCTTAAATTGGACCACTACATTTAAAGACCTCTGGAGCCAATCGATCTGGACCAATTGCTCTTCTCGCTGGAACAATCGTTCCTCAAGGTCCTACCATGCCAGACAGGTTGATTGAAGAGCGGTAAGACTAAAAGCAGCAAACCCAAGGTCCGAAGGCGAAGTCGTACTGCTGACTGTACAGAAGTGTGGCAGCAGTAAGGTGTTTCCTTTAGACAACCAGCATATCAGCGATGCTGCCTTCCCACAAGGAGGGGTGGGGTTAGAAAAGGTCGACCCTAAAAATGCACACCTCGCCTTATCCCACGAATATCCGTCTCCGGCGGTAAGGTCACAACAAGTACGGAGCTAACATAAAAACTACCCACAAAAAGGTCGCGTGTGACCGACCTCAAACAGTTGTCCCTTGGGCACTGCGGTCACGCTCTCAGGTCATTAAGACCACTTCCAACCCAATTTCATTTTCAGGTACCTCTAGAAGAACCCTTCCACGGTGTGGGCAACCGGGAAGTGATAACTGCCCTCATACCTTTAAAACCACTCAAGATCACTGTACTCATAATCAATCCGCTTCTTCAATCAAAAAACGTACAATCACTCGTTACACAAAGACATCAACAGAAAGACCGTTTAATCTACAATTAAGTTATTTCATCACAGTTAGCCCAGCAAGAGGAGTTATCAGGAATCAGGAATAAACGATGTCAGATAACATAGTATTGCATCTAAAACATGAAAAGACTAGTTGTAACGAAACACTGAATAGTACATACTAATCAATCACCACTAAAAAGATGATAACTTACGACAAGACCTGGAACAAATACAAGTATTGCACCCGATTGTGTATTCTGTAAAATATGCTCAACTGAATGTGCAATAAGATCGGTTTTAGGATAGGTATCTTCTCCAACACTACGTAAAATTTCTATTGCATTTGAAGATAATCTGAATGTTCAAAGTTAAGAAATTTTTTGGATACTTTTAATAATCAGAAGGGCATTTGTGGAGATTTCAGTATATTTCAAAGTTGAAATCATGAGTCAATTGAAGCTAGACCACCATCGAAAACCTGGAAGCACTGGACGGCCGTTTCGTCCCATTATGGGACTCCTCAGCAGTGCGCGCCCACGATCCCGCACTCGCGAGATTCGAACCCAGGACCTACCAGTTACGAGCCAGAGCTCTTAACCGATAGACCACTGAGCCGGCATCTAACGGTGTTAATGTCTAACTTCAACTGATCCACGGATTATGAGCGACACTTCACCAATTGCCTTCAGTGAGTTGTTATCTCACAACAGACGTGGTTGAACTCCACTGGTCACTGCTTCCCACTAGAACTCCAGGACATGTATCTTGAAGTCAGTCACTAGTGGGCATATGATTATAATCAGAAGGGGATTTGTGGAGATTTCAGTATATTTCAAAGTTGAAATCATGAGTCAATAAATAATAAATAATACCAAGATGTACGGTTAAGCTGGTAACTATTATATGCAAAAGTCAGACTATATCTCATAAATATTAATAATAATGTACACAATAATCGCAGAATGTTAATTTACAGCAAGTGGTTGCTTCTTTGTTCTTATAACAAAATACATAGAAATATGTATTGGGAGGTTGAAGTTAAATCATCATCGAAATTTTTCTGTACTTACAGCTGCTCTAGAAAATATGACCTCAGGAGAACAGTGATTTTTTCTAGCACACTAACATCTAATTGGTTCTCATCTAGGTATTTAATTAGCGTAATTTAGAAAATGGAGGGTACTAACTTAACGAAAACTTATAAAATCTGTGTTGTAAAGATTAAAATGAAGGTAAATGAGGATAGCATAACTGATTGATCTCTGAAAAACCTGAAGAAAATTTTCTGTACATTTGTTTAAGAGAATTTAGATTATACATTTGGTCAAGGAGTACGTTTTAATTTATTAAGGGGAGGAAGGCTCCTAGTACTAAGTATAATTAGTTCGTTACAGAAAGAAAAACATAAAATGTTGGGACCTTTCCTACAAAAAATGAACATGATTTTATCATAGTTGTAGTCGTGTTACTACAAGATTTAAACGATGAAATCAACTGGTGATCCTATTACTTTAGAAATAAGTACATGCATATTATAAAATCTAATAACAATAATAATAACGCTAATCATGGCGGATGTAGATAGATTGATGTGATTTAGAATCTAATAGATAGATTAAATACTATTCATTAAGTGCTGTATAGAATCAACTTACGTTTATCACAAATTGGTAATATTTCAGGGTAACTCCGAAAATATACTTAATAAGTCACCAGGTAGAATGCACTGAGAATTTTTCGCTCTTATTGCCGACTAATTTTTACCGACCAGGTTTGAGGTGCTAAGATATATATCAAGGTGTGATCTTTTATTGTCAAACTGTTTGAACTAGGTTCCTTCAAGTATGTAGATACTCCCTATTGACAAGTACAAACAATTATACAAAATATTCTACCGAACTCTTCCAACCACTAGACAAATGAATCACGTTTCCAGCTACCATAAAACGTGAGATCAAACGTCCAATCTATGAATATGTGCGACGTTAGTGAGTTGAAACAACTAATTAGTTTCAAGAGTGGAAAATTCCCTTGAATTGACTGTATAATAAAACTGTACAGTTACACTATAACAAAATGTTTGGTCTAATGCTTGGTCACAAAAAACGTTACCATAAACTTAAAGTACGTAAATGTAAAAGGAGTAATTACAGGAAATAATATAAAAAGGTCATATGAGATCAATAAACTCATAAAAGTATAATTAAGAATTAAAAATAAGGCGAGAAAAGAAGAGAAATAAAAGTGCTTAACAAAATTAAGGCATCCGAATATTTAGTTTTGCTAGTGCCTCAGTATAATTCATAGTATATTTGACGATGAATAAGAATAAACCAAGTGCTTATAAACAAATGATACGGTGATCACTACTAAAAGTGATGCTACATCTAACCTCCCTCCATTTAATAACTAAATACAGATTTTAATAAACGGTTTGCAAACAAATTCCATCATTGATTGATTAGTGAAACCACCCAACAAAGCAGTGAAAATCATTATACTCATAATGGTCGATTATATTGAATGGTTTGACGAATACAAAACATGTAGGCATCATTAACAAAGATTGGTTTGATACTTTTAAAGGAGCTGAGAATTATACAGAATGTTATTTAAAAAATAAATGATGTATCTATAATATTCAAGTTAGTAGAAAATTAAACTTCCTGCACATCACACCGAAGTGTAAACCTTCAGAGTAAATAAATAAATAAATAAACGAATTACATTAACACAAGATTAAATAGTAAAAAGGAACAAAGAAAAAATATGTAGAATAGGTAAAAAGTACAAGTATAGATATATTAGTTGTGATAACAGAAGGGTGAAAGATATATATATATATATATATATATATATATATATATATTAAGTGAAGAGGAAAAAAGAAAAAAATAATAAATAGGTGGAGCTAAATATCTGTAGATTGGAATTTTCTAATCTTACCTAACTACCATTGTTTCAGGTAACTTAGATCAAACTTTTTCCTGGATATATTAGTATTCGATAGGTCAGATGTTGATGTGAAAAGAGAAAACAAGAAGCGATGACAAACGACAGAATTTCATGGGAACAATATTTCACATAATTCGATGTCTGTAAAATACTAACATTTCATGTTGTCTCTGGTTTGTTCTTTTAATTATAAACTTTAGTTTGATGTATGATTCACACTCTTTTTTATTCCAAAATAAAAGCAATATGAACGTAAACTTTTGCACTCCATTTTTCTACCTTAATGTCTAGTTTGGAAATCGTTGTATTATCCTAATTCTTTGTGCGTTTTGATCGTGCTGGTTTTCTCTTTATTCTTGACAAACCACATATTAAATATAAGCTTTCTGTCTAATATCTGATATAAATCTTTCGTTTGTACACTACAACTTTAATTTTATGCCTAATTCTGAATAAATAAAAACTAACTGCAAACGGCGTTCTGAGTTTTTTGTGTCATTTTCCTTCGTATGGATATCATGGAACATATTTTACACCATATTAAATAAAATTTTCCGTTAGGTATATAAAACAACCCAAACCAAACCTTTGTATCCTGTTAGACAGCTTTTGATGCAGAACTGGAATTTGATATTGTGATCATTTGAAGAATGAAATTTACAGCCGTAAACAATATCTAGGTTTAATAAAACTCGACTAATTGACCATATTTTTATTTAACTCACAGAAAATGTGGTACAACTGGGCACCAAAAATAGTATAAACCACGACAAATACTTGGGTGTGGGCTGGAACATAATTCACGCGCTCAAACGAAAGCAGACTGTTTCCTTAGGGGGTCATTTCTCGAGTCTTAGGCCTAAAGGTCTATTCCATGATGCAAAGGAGAAACATTAGAAAACGATGTTCCATGGTATCCTGTGACCATAAATAGGTTCATATGCTGTTCGTATCGTCAGGATCCTAGAGGCCTTGTACGCCAGTGATTTGGAACTAGGGTTCTTTAAATCCTCTTGGCACAACCTGAGTATCCACCATCCCAGTTTGAGCTCCTGAAGTTTGCTTTTCTTTCACTTTTGTTAACAGCACTCCCACCACATGGACGTAGTGAGAAAAACTTCCCTGATAAGGACTGTGAATGTGTAGGAATATGAGAGCATTTCGAGAGGGGGATATAACTCTCCCCATCACCAGATGCACCAGAGTATTTGTGGGCAACTGATACATCTTTTTCAAAAAAACCAATATTTTCATATCACAATAAAGTATCGAAGAAAAAAAAGCCAATGAAATATATTTTTCTTTCTAAAAACTTTAACATACCCTGTTAACGAATGCAACCACTTATTGAATTCAGGGCTTTTTCCATAAGATAATATACGAGCTTCTTTTTTTGAAAGGTTAGATTTTAAAAGACGTTGTTTTAATGAACGTGACTGATCACGGCATAAAGCAGTTATAGCACTATTCGGCAACCAAAATCTAAGAGAAATAATAAATTTATATAAAAATTTAATCCCATTTTTTTTGCTTGGTACAATTGAAACTCAATTGATACTAGATGACAAAGAATGTAGAAACAAGGTTAATAATCAGGAGAAAAACTTTCAGATGTAAACCAAAAATAAATAGGTCAAACATATCACTATGGGATATAGAAAGCAACTAACTTATAATAAACGTAATATCAAGATGTTTTAGTTACATAAGGAAAATGAGCTATAACCTATACTATCAGTTATAATGATCACTCAAGAATCCACTAAAAGTTAAATACTAGGCAAATTTTCATTTTGAAGTCTAACTGGTTAAATTCCTCATCATCGAAAAGATATCAGTTAGGTTTTCTACACTTGAAATATAAGTAATAACAAGTTACAGAACATATTTTAATTAATTGTAAAAATAAAAAGGGTGAAATTAAAATATCATTTTCAGTGTGCGGGGTGGGGTAGTTATCAAATCTCGGAAATGAGACTGAATACCGCTGGAACCAATAAAAATATAATCTTTATGAAATACTCAGTAGGAAAAAGAGTGTAAAATGAGATTATTGTGTGACAATCTGTATTCATCAAGTGAGTAATCGTTGGATTAATGAAATTGTCTAATATGAGACAATAAGCAGAATAATACACGTAAGAATAACACTACAATCGCAATTCTCATAATAAGCCTAGGAATCATCCGTCAAAGTTACATTAGTACTTAAGAAACATTACAAATAACCGTTTATAGTAACTGAAGAGTGCGATTTACTGGGTAATTATTGATTATAATATTATTACACGAAGTCAGCTTACTTAGTTTCTCTCAAAACATCTTCTAAATAATATGTCTTCACTGGGAAAGTTCTACCAGGAATTTCGAATTTAGGACAGTTATCTAAAAATAATAAAAAGTTAAAGCAAAGGTATTGGTCGGATTCAGAACGGATTTCAAAGTTAAGGTTTTAAATGTTCCGAAAAATAACTTTGTACATAACCAATTTCAATCAGCATATTACGAATGAGCTATAGTTCCTTGTTTATGGTGTTGTCTGAGCATATCTTCCCAGCTCTACTTGCAGGAATTCTAGCCAGGTTTCTCTTGCAATGAATGGGTACAAAGCTCAAGAAATGTGTGTATCTGTCTGCTGAAGAACTTTTTCCAGACACAGTTCTACTAGTAGAACCGTTTCGTCCTCTTAACAAAACATAAAAGAAATGGAATTTGTTATCAAACTCCCCCACACACGTAAATCTTATTGCTGAGTGTACAATGTTAAGTCGCTCTAAGAGTACTTTTGCAATGTTTCGACCAACGATAATGAAAGTATCATCAATGTAACCACATGAAGAATCAAACTTATCAATAACCTGTTTAAAACGAAAATTTAATGAGATCTTAAGTCGCTTAAAACACATGATAACATAAAAATGAATGTGAGACATATGAAGAGTTCTTTCTGACTGAATAGCCAAACAAAACAAGCATTAAAAAATAGCTGAAATCTAATTACCTACTTTCTATAAATAAGTAGATGATTTAAAAATACAAAATAGATAGATGGTCACTGTGTGGTGGTATAAGGAAACTAAATAAATTTTCGAGAGAAATTGAAATACCATTCAATTCCTGACAACTTATCTATACCAATTACATTATTACCGAGACTACCATTTGGCTGTAAATGGTGATCATAGGATTCTCTATCACAATGACCACTTAACATCAATTGTTTACAAAACTGGTCAGTGGCCAGATTCATAGCTAACAGTCAAACCCACAAAATATAGTACAGAAGTGATGATATTCCCTTTTTAATTCAAGTTTAATAATCTTAGTCTTAGATAATCTGAGTTAGACATAAAAACAGATGATTCGAGATGGTTTGCTGAGTGATCCGTTTTTTTGAATAAACATTTCTGAAGATGCAGAAATAACGTATGAACAGACGTGGATTTTCAAACTTTCTAAACATGCGTAAACAATTTCCACAAAAGTTATTTATGATCACAAAAAGTGATAGACACCCATCAAGTCAAATTATTTGAAGATTTCATAAGGAGTCTATACCATTAACGATGGTAGACTAAACAATAAAATCAGATTTAAATGTATAATTACGACAAAAACATGGTACAATCAACAAAAATAAATGAAGTTGATGAGGAGATCTGACTAAAACATATGAAACATGGTGGGAATACTGGCTGTTAGTATGAACAGTGTTCAAATGTTTTTGATACAGAGGGGAAGATTTTACCAAAAACGATTCCTAATTAATATCACTTGCTGCAGAGAATCCATCACGAGCTATGAGCAAGCTAACACGGCAACCTGCTAACAAACAGAAAATGTTACGAACCAAATTAACTTATAACTACGAATCTTAACGAATATAAGAGCCAGTAGTTTATTCAAATAATTTCCATATTTATCATTTTTCACGACGTTCAACTTAAGAAAATACATAACATTTTGAAATATAATGATGAGTATTTCATCTATTAACGATAAACAAATTTACGTAATTACCTCCACCTTATTTATCAAACTTCAAGTGCATACACAAGACAGCTATAATAAGTAACAATGGTGTGTAAATCTTGTAAAACCATTTCGAAAGTGATAGGGATATTGGAGATAAAACAATGAAATGTTAGTTTATATAATCAATCCAACTAAAATTTTAAACTACGACTCCCTACCATGAAAGTATTTTAATAGATACTCACCAAAATATTCAGCAAATTTGTCTGCATTGATTGTTGCCGACATGAGAACTATTCGAAGATCTGGACGAAGAGGAGCAATTCGTTTTAGCATACACAATAGAAAATCACATAAAAATTCCCGTTCATGTACTTCATCAACAATGATGTGACTGATGTTCTATAACGAAGAGTTTCAAAGTATAGAGTAGTGCGAAGTTTATTATCAAGGTTGATTGCTGCCAAGATTTAAACTAGCATTTTGTTAACTCAGTGAATGCATGATGAAAATGGAAAGTGAAGTGACAAATTAAAAATCTTTCTATGTCTTATAAACTCGTATAGTGTCAGTACTACCACTAAACTTCTGATTGAGAAGACACAGGAAAAACAAAATATGTTATTAGTTCAGCGGTTGAGATCATGGTGAATTATCAATGAGTACTGGTCGACCTTAAATATCACTTACAAGGTTTTAACTTCCGACAGTAGATAACATAAACATCAACGTTGATTCTAATGTGAATATTTGACCAATTAAGACTAAATCAGAGCTTGTAGTATATTGAAATTGTAATTATACGATAAATTTTTTTTGGGTCCGCTCACCGTATTACTTGATTCATTAGCTAAAACATTTTCAATCTCTTGGCCATAAGCGTGAAGGTTCACTCACCTAGTTTATATACAATAAATTTAACTCAAAGTGTATTTCACAGACGTACACTTAGGCAATGGTACGGGAAAATTGAAAATAACTGGAAAAAATGATTAATTTTTAGTTACCTTCAAAAGTGGATCAGAACGAAACCATTGAAGAATAATGCCTGTCGTACAAAACATGATAGATCCATGAGGACGTTGAGGATATCGGCGTTCTAATCGGACCTGATAGCCAACGGAAGATCCTACAGATTGTCCTCTTTCAGTTGCTACACGTTCAGCAATCGAAACAGCACTTATACGCCGAGGTTGTGTTACAATGATACGCGTAACAGATCCATTTCCACCTAAGACCTGATCTTCCAAAATAAACTGTGGAACCTGTGTAGTCTTCCCACAACCTGTTTCACCGCTTATTATAACAACCTGGTTATCTCGAATAGTTGAGACAATATCCTAGAACAAAAGGATACTGAAATGAATGTTATGATATATGATGGCTCTTTATTAATATTTAATATGTTGAAAAAAAAAAGTAATTGGTGTGACGTTTTGTTGAGCTTTATAATGAATATGATCAAACAAATAGTTCGAGGTCGATTATTAAGTCATTGACCTGAACAATCCATAGAAATAAATTTCTTTCAAGGAACTATGGTTAGTAGATATGGGTACGCAGAACGGGCTTACATTAAGTGTGAAGCGGCAACTGTAAATCCTAATTTCCAACTTCAGTATCATACAAATCAAACTTCTGAACACTATTTGTTTTGCATCTTTAGGGGATATTTCCTGTATTATTTCATTTATTAAAGTCATTGATTGATTGGTATGTAATTGGTATCTATAATGTTTTTCAAATTAGGTAATAATTGTACTATTCCTAAATAAATTACACATTATATCAGAACTGTACTGCCGTTATTTCTGTTCATAATCCTACATCATGAGAGGTCGGAAAAATATATTGCCAATGCAAGTTACTAGAATCCCATTCATCAGACTGCACAAACATGATTAAATAAACTAAACACCCACTTCTTTGAACTGGTACGCTGGAAGTTTACACCTGGATTCTGACATTTTCATGTAGGCAGCAGAACTCATGCAGTTCCGCATTGAAAGACAGAGCTCATGATCGATGTCTGGATTTCGAGCCAAGCTTTCTTTTGTTAATAACATTTGATCAGGGTCAGAGCATGGACCTACTGAGACATCAAAGCAATCTCGAATCTCGCCAAATAATTCTTCTGCTTCGTCTTCTTCAGGAGTTTGCTTTGAAGTACTGAGAGTTGGGAGTTTACACATGAATGAAATATGTTCATTACTAGTTTTGGGGAGTTCAGGAACTGGCTCCACAAATTCTTGTATAACTGACTGAATTTTCGAAAGATTCAGGCCGACAAGAGGCATAGAAGCAAACTAGTTAAATTAAGAATTTATAAACAGAGAGAAAATCAAGGCCAATCAAGTCTAAACAGGCTAGAAATTTACATTTAATAAAAATGACCCAACCCAACTAAACTGAGCATTGTGAGAAAACAACATACAACTCTAAGCTAATTAGAAATTTCTCAGAAACGTGATCGGTTAAAGAGTATAGAGAAAGAAGTATGACTGAGTTAATCCAATGTTTGATCTGCCTCCAAATGCCCTGGTACGGCCGAGAGTGGGGAGAGTCACCTCTCCCTCTCGAAATGCTCTCATATGGCCAGCGAATATATAGCCTCTGCCAGGGAAGTCCTACTCACTGCCTTCTCGTGGCGGGGGTGTTGTTTACGAAAGTGAGAGGACGAAAAGCGAATGTCCGGCGCTTTAACCGGGTTGGTGGACATGGAAAGTTCACCTAGGGGAGTTGGAAAACCCTGATTCCAAACCAGTGGTGCACATGGGCCCCAGTATCCTGAGGGAACAAATGGCGTACGAATCAACCGTTGATCACCGGCTACCATGGGACTGCATCTCCTCACGATGCTCCACTGCCTTGTGGATCAGACATTCAGGTCAAAGGCTCGGGGGGTGGCCCCCTAAGAAAACCACCTGCTTCAGTCTGGGCACCTGGGCAGTATCACAGCCCTCACACAAATCGAATGAGATTTGTGAGGCGCATATGTATCTGGTGCTTCCTTGTACCAATATTTATGTGTTTAAATAAATAAATAAATAAATGTTTGATCTTTATCATTAAGTCTTTAAGTGAGAAATGATCCACATTAACTTTCTCCAACAAGAACGGTGAACTAAATTTCGGATTGTGGAATCCAAACATCAACAGTACAATACTCATTCAAAATAAGACAATCATTGAAACAGTAGTGGCACTAACTGCTTCTTAACCAGTGGTAAGAAAATGTCCAGTCTCTTTCCATATTGCTATTAACGTTCTATTCTGAATAATCTTATAGGCATTGAACAAAATAAGTTATTTCGTAAGTAGAAACAGAGCATACACTTGAGAATTTAGTACAGATATGATTTTCATTGTCTCAGTAATAAATTATTTTTACCTTAGAGGATAATAAAGAGGAACGACGTTGCAGTATTTCACTCTTGTTTTGCTCCATAACAATGGAACGTAGGCTTTCAAATTAAGGGATATACATAATTTAATGTTACTTGATCATAGTTGTCTTTGAAGCATTTTTTCACGTAGGTCGGAACCCCCAAATAAGCGATGCTGAAGTTGGGCGTTAGGTATGAAGCAAAGATGACAAATTATTTGATGAGACTATGGATCTTTAACGATCAGGGTGGTAAGGATATGTATTACTAATTCTTAGCCACTCCCTATCACGACTTGCGATCCAGATTGAGATAGGGGTATGTAGACAGAAAGCTATGGTCAGTGAAATCTAGACAATGTATCAGTTCATGAAAACAGTGAATATTGGGCTGCTTTGTACTAGTAGACCCAGATTATCTGGTTGGCGTCTGTGAGACAACTCTAACCTGCTTGATGATGGGTGAAGCAGATGCGTTGTACCTATATCTTGTCGTAAGTCTTGAGATTCAGAATTATTTCATAATTTTCTATTCTCTGAATCCATCTTTTCTTTTCAAGCTATATTCCACAATGTTTAATCTTTCTCACTACCGTTGATACTAATACTATTTCCGTTCATTAGCTATTCATCTTATTAATTCCATTTCTCCCAGCTGATGTGGTACGAGAGATTGGACCGATGTACGTGTGTCATGCTCTAAGTTATTAGTGATTGACTGACGAATCTTTTGGTAGTACAAACCTGATTTCAATAATGAACACATTTCTACATACTTGAGAGGGTTAGCAAAAGTGAGTCATCAAAATTCATTACCGAGACTTAGTGATAGGGTATTTTTCTTTTCCTTTTAGATCTCACACAAGATAACTGATGATTGCAGTTAAAATTATTCACATATCTCTGATTGATTTAAGAAACATGTGATTCGCATCAACATATTCTTAGTAAATTATCTGACTGCATTATACATTTACCAGATAATTCAAATTACCTTACATACTGCATAGATATGTTAATATCAAGGTTATCAATAAACATACTAAGTTTCACATATAATTACGTACCAGGAAATCTTTGGAATCGGTGTCCAAAATGATCACATTTCGCTATGTCACTTTTGAACATGAACAAATAACGCTTACTGTCGCGTAGTTATGAAGAACCATGTTTAGCCTTCGCTATTTGGTTTGAAACTCCGGCAGCAGCCCTTCTAGGGTTAGCGCCGGTCCCAAGCCTGGATAAAAGGGGCGGTTGGGCATAGAGCTAGCGACCACATCCTGTAGAATTATTTAAACTCTACCTTGGACATTAAACATTTTTCAATTTGAAGAGCTATAATGCCTCATAATGGAAGCCGAGATCCTTTGGAAATCCCGAGGCCGATGCTCCTTCCGGCAAACAGAGCAACAGCTAATATAGGTAAATCGAATGTTCAGACTGTGGAAAACCGGGAGGACCGTACAGGTATCTGCGGTGACAAGACAATCTGGCGGCTCTTAGAATAGATGAAAGCCATTGGATGCAAGCTGAACTGTTATAACTTGTGGCCGAGTGGATGCCCAGTTAATGTATGACGTGTTAAGGCCGCCAATCAGAGAGCAGCGAATTATCGATTGGAACAGTGACACACGAAAACCGTACGAGCAGTCTAGAGTGCTTATCGGTCCTGCTTTTGCCTAGCCCATTCAGTTAAGTCCAAAAACACCAATAACAGCCTCTGTGGTATGAATCCTTGTATTTCAAACATACAGAGTTTATATACCGAACAAACTGACCACATCGTACCAATAAAATAGAAAATAACATTTGTACAAGATCTAGCCGAATGTGGCTGTGAATGTGGGAAGCAGCAATTAATAGACTAGAGATAACTCAAGAATGGTAAATCGTATAATAATAGTTTATAGTTAAAAATAAAGCTCATGATAAGGGGAACATGAATACGAATAGTTTAGTCATTTGGCAATTATACGATAAAAAATATATGCATAATATTAGTTCATAAATAGATCTCAAAGTTACCATTCATTATTCTTATCGGGACATAACATGAACAAAAATGTTAACTTCGGAAGAAATGATGTACTCTGGTCACGAAGAAAAATTGCTTCGCACACGCAAAGAGTTGTACCGATGTCACCCAAAGAATTACAAAAAACACTTATAGGATGGGAGTCTCATTGATTTAGAATAATCAAAGCAATCTTCAAAGCAAAGAAGAGATCACAATCAATGTTATCTAGTGGTATGTACCCACTAATGATAGCCAGAAAGACAATAAAGATCAGTTTTACGAGAGGCTGCGGGCCACGGTAGAGAAATAGCCAGGAAAGGATCTGACCATCCCGATGGAAGACACAAGCGCCAAGATTGAGATGGATGACACGGAGTATAAAGATATCATGAGGCGACGCAGATTAGGAGAAAAGAATGTGAATGATGAGAAGTTTGCAAATTTGCGCGCTTTCAACAATACGTTTATAGGTGGAACCATCCCCCCCCACGAACACAAAGCTACATAGGTTTTACCGGATAACGCTACAGAGAACCAGAGGGACCATGTCTGGATCATTAAAACAATCAGAAGGCCAATGGAAGATGTGAGAAACAAAAGGAGCTGACACAGCTTCAGATCACCTGGTGGTAGTCAAGATGAATATGAAGATAAAGAAGCACTCGACAACTAGATCAACATCACTCAACGACCTCAAGATAGCACTTAGTATAAGTCCCAAACATTACGAGATCTACTCAAAGAAAATGAAACTACTATGATGAACAATTGGAAAGGGGTTGAAAAAAACAATAACATGCCATGGGATGTTGGACTGCAAGAAACACCTGTATAGAGTTTATCTCTGCTGATGCCCTGGATGAGATTCACGAAAGATAATAAGAAGACAGGAATCAACAGCTGAACAAGAGTAGCAAAAGACAATGCATAGGTCAAATACACAGCCAAAAAAGCAAATGAAAAGGAGCATTAAAGCTGATAAGCTGAAATATGAGTAATACCCACGGATGACAGACGGAAAAACTGCGAGATGTGAGACAACTAAATAATATAACGAAGAAAGTGACAAAGAAATATAGTAAACCAGAGAGACCAGTCAAGAAAAAAAGTGAAAACATACGAAAGAAGGAAACCTCAACAATATACCAAAGAAAGATCTAACTAACTTGATATTTCAGTGACGGTTTGGGTCAACATTTGTTTACATTTTGATGTATAGATTAGCTCATGTCACTGATGACACTTATAGAAGTCAAATAGCTTGGACGGCTGAAAACAAAAGCCAGCTAGCTTTAGTATCATATTCACAAAGAGATCTACTTGTTGCTTACTCATACTTCCTGTAGTTAAAAAATTACAATCCTAATAAGCTGAGTGTAGCATATTTGACTTACGTATATGTGAATGGTTCCATGTCGTTTTGTTCATTGGTAAAACTAGACAGCCATTAAATAAAAAAGGTGAACTTAAGAAACAAGCAATAATGCCTAAATTTTTCGAGAAAACCCTACAATTTGGAAAGAATAAAACGGTAGGACTAAACTATACTGCCGAACCAGTCAGAAGATTTCGCGGGTTTTCAAGATCACGGCGCTAAGTTCGGTACCTGAAGCTTACGTACGATCGGTTTACAGCGGATTTTAGGGAAGACGTGATAATTCAGCGTCTAGAAGAGAAGCGATCATAAGATTTTGGCGCGAAATTCAATTATCCATTTGGATAAATAGAATTTTGGCATTATAGCTGATGTCAGTTCGTGATGAAAACCCTAAGTATAATTCCTAGCCTTAACCGTGAACGTTAAATCATAATTTGAATTCTTCACACAGGTTTATACCTACATTTGGTCTTAGTTATTATGTTGACGCTCTCAGAGTCATTCCAGCGTCGCTCAAAGGTTGTCCATAACTTATAGCCTCACCCATAACCCTAAACCTTAACTCCAACCTTAAGCCGTAAACCATACCAATATACTAACATTATTGAAGCTATGCGGTCGAGGCTAAAAGAATTTTTGAGACCTTATCATGGTTAAAGAGGTCGACTACTATTGAGCCATATGGATGTGTTCCTGTACCGTATGCACTATGATTTTAGAACTTCTGAACCTGTATCTGACCTTGAGAAGTTTTTGACTCATGTAAAAGAAGTGTTTCCACTTTAATTCTTTGGTATTGTATAATAAATTTTTCCTGTCCACTGTCTTCTGATTGGTTAATATTTCTCAAGGTCATTTAAGATTCGTTCAGAGGTCGGCAGTATAGTTTAGTCCTACCGAAAAATTCATAATCAACTCGTCACATGCCATTGCATAATCCTCCATGAATAGAAAAGCAAACCCATATTTGTTACGGAACATTTAATTTCGAGAAGTACAGTGTCAGAAGTATTTGTAAAGCAGTTATCCCTAGGTGTTACAAATCGAGAAACAATCATTTTTTACTGTTGAATGAAACCTAGGCGATCGCTGAGACATACCATATACTAAACGCTTTTTTAACTTTAGGACAGTAGGGGTAACAGAGGCCTGGAATAAGACCTTTTAGTGAGTCCGAAGGCCGCTTTACGGTGAGTGGAATTAATTAATTGGAATTCGGTCGAATTCGAAAGATAAAACTAACTTTACTAAAAGCTACTCCTAAACAATTCAGAGATAACAAAAGCGATTTTAAGACTTTTAAATAGGTGTATTTCATTCGACTGAACATACCTTAGTCTGGTAATCCAAATGACCTGTACATCTGTTTTTCGATTGAGCAGCATGCCAAAGACCTATCTCTTTTCCTCTCAAACCCGGTGGTCTATGACCTGTGAAGAATAAGAAAACATATAAACTGTCTCTCACCTTTGTTAGTCCGAGACATACTAATACAAACCAAGAAAACTGCACGGCGCCCAAAAATGGGCAGAAACATGTAAAGGTAAAACCGAATCCCCCGCGTCTAACGAACTTCTAAACGTAGGACTAGCTGCATAAGCAACGGCTACTCAGTGTGAGCTCCAACGATGACGATTGACTGAAGACATGAAGATATTCGGATACGGAAAATTCGAAGAGATTGGAAGCTGTACATTCAGTTTCGAATGCTTATACAGCTTTCAGCATATCATACCATCCCATTTCAGTTTCTGTCTCATTTTTAGTTTTGAAATCCCAGGAATCAACCTGGTTGAGGTTCCCTAAACCTTTTCCAATGGTCCAGTGACTTTTAGGCAATGCTCAGGTTTAGGAAAAAAGAACGCTACATACATAATCAGACTGGTCCTAACATCCACATGGCAGAGGGCCATACTTGATGATCAGAGGATTCGAAAACGTTCGGAGCCTGTTGCATGACAGTGTGTAAAAGTTTTCAAGTCTTGAATGACGACGACCTGAGTAGCTATATGTCTGAACAACACGTAGCTCAATGTTATTAACTGTGTATGTATTTGTACTTTACTGACCATTACGCATAATAATATACTCAGAGGCATTTATCGGCGACTACCAAGCACTAAACCATTAAACTAACTTCTGAAAGTTATTTTGAAGCTATGACCCACCATTTTTATCTTTTATCACTCTCCATATCCTGATCTCATCAACGTACAACAAATCCGATTATGACAGTCTAGGAATGTCACTTACAGGCGGAATAGCACGCTCCTAAACTGTGCCCTAGTCTGCTCCACTAAGCACAGTTTCCCAGTCCGACAACTCGCACTCTTTTTACCGACGCTTAAATAGGAATTCCTTCATCCAAGTAAATAAGTTACCTTCAATCCCGATATCAGTTGACTTAGATAACAACCTGTTGTGTGGAACTTTTCAATCAGTCTTACTGAAGTCAGTGAAGGCTAAATCTATAGGTAGCAGTTGATCTTTTAGACCACACGAAATTTCACGGGCTACCAATAAGTTTATGAGTTATGAATAAATTATTTTAAAGCCATGCTGCTTTTCAGAAAAAACCAAGTTTTTTCTAAATACTTAAGCAACATCAGAATGATCTCTTCTAAAATCTTAGTAACCATGCTAGATAGGCTTAGGGACCGAGAGTTCACAGGTTTGTGTATCGTTACTGTTTTGAAGATAGAACTTACTATGAAGTTCTTAAGGTCTTTTGGTAATCAACCATTGGTTACAGATAGAATAAAACATATGCAAAAGAGAGCTGGCATAAAATATGCTAGTTCCTTTAGTGACCTAGGGTGGATTTCATGGGGTCACAGGGATTTGTCCATAACAAGCCCATTTAACATACCAAAGAAATCCAGTTCTTTAATGATCACATAGTTTCCAGAGTGTATGTGGAGGTATTTATATTAATCGAAAGGAAAGGTTTCTCAGCGGTATATATGTGTAGCGATAAATTAACCCTTGAAATCAATAGCTCTGCAAGTCTTCGACATTTGATGCTGACCACAATAATTTTAATGAACTCATCTAAATAAATGTGCTCGTTCAACCATCCTCACTAGATCACGAGTGGGAACACTGTGCACAACACCTACGACTGCTAGCCAGTTTAGATCGGTTACTTCTATAGATACTGATAAACTATCAAACATATCTTCGAACCTCTTTGCTTCTGATTTCACTGGTTGGGCATGTTTCAATTGTAGAAGGCGTTTCTGGTTAAGGTGTTGTCAAACTCCAAATACTTGTGGCATCTATATATGTTACTAAAGCAACTTGGGAATACTTAACCTGTTTCGCAATCGTCATCTATAAATGACGTAGTGCTACTGTCTTCACAAAATCCTGTAATGAGACGATCCTCTTAGTCATTTAGTTAATACACGAATATGAGCGCTTTGAGTATACGACAAACTCCTTAACAAATATTTCTTTGCATATTTCTCTCAGCTTAGGCAGGATCGAATCACAGATATTTCGGGCATCCCGATTTTGGCCACCTACTCCATAAACTTTTAACAAGGTTATCTAAGAGGTATTTCGAGTTATTAGCTGGTCAAGTAAACAATTTATCCTCATATGCTATGAAAGAGGAGAGAATTCATTACAAACTGTCATCCTAAAGACCAGCAAGAAGTAAACTGCTGAAAGATTCCACCTAACGTTATTTATTGTTTATGCATTGTGCGTAAGGACTCCCACTTATCATTTGGTCTCCATTGCTACTGTACACTGACAACGTCGCAATTTGGTGAGAAATAATGGGAAATACCGACATATGTGTACTTCAGGTAAATTCAGGGGTACTTCTAGATATAAATAAGTCCTCGAAATAAATAAATGCGTCTTGAATATTGATTTTACTGAATCTAACTTGGCTGACAGCCCTCACTCAAACATTCTCACCAGGCCATCACTGGATATACCGTGCTACGGGTCCCCTTGCAGTAACGGGTCAGCTCAGATAGGACAACTCTCGATTTACCGACTACCTTCGAAACATATGTACGAACTTCTGGTATGACCTCCATTGGGATGTCCGATTATGAGTTTATGACATGCAATTGCACTGTCTAAACATATACCTCGACAGTTCATAATCGACACTTTCAAACCTTCAATCTTGCAACTGACGCTATTCAGGTCTGATGACATAGAAGACTAGTTTCACTAAACAGTAGCCGATTTCTCGATCTCGACATGACAGACTCACATGCGCAGTTCCTCACAACAGTGAAGACACTACCTATGTGATCGAAAAAGATTTGACTAGTCATTCCCAATGACAAACTGTGATACATCTTTGCAACTGAAATGTCGCTACGTTTGAGAAAAGTCATGAAACAGGATATTCATAGAGGGATTTTTCAGAAAACTCTTCCTATCTGAGCTTTCTCAACTGGTCTGAAATGAACTCGTCTCAGCACAGTGGCATAAGTAGCCGGCGGACTTAGACATATGTTCTACATCACTGATATTATACGAACGTCTGTTATCTCATCGAAACTGTCGGAGAAGTTGATTTCCTTCTCGCGAAGGTAACTGATAATCTAGAAGACTCGGTTTGCAATTTACACGTGACAAACTTAAAAAACTAATCGGTCCTTACGACAACAAGTGTGTTTACCTTAACTTGGCTTCCCGCAGACCCATTCACTTAGCTCTCGTCGTTACGGATGTGTCAATACTGATTATATGGGTATATCTGCTATAACACATCGACCCGCTCATTGACACAAGCAATGAAAATATAAAATTATCTGTCTGTGGAGTTTAATTTTCTGGTTAACGGTAATGTCTGGTCACAATTAAACATATAATTGACCCATACTTCCAACCAAAACCCGACATGTGTCGTTATCTGTACAGATATGATTGTGATTGCCGTATGTAACCGGATGTATCATATATCATGTTATGACCACAGGGTAACTTATATCTTCGGATCATAGTGTGATTATCATAATAAACAATGAGTTAGTTTACAGGTGCTTTAACAAGTCACATTAAGATGCATAGTAATAGCTTAGTACCTTTACTTGTGAGAAGCATAAGCATGTTGCACTTGAAATAGAGAAACGATCAATATCGTACCAATGTTGATATTGGTAATACCTTTGGTTCAATTTAGGAAGTCAGTTACTGTTTTTGTCAGCATGGTAACCGTATGTGTTGATTTTCAGTTACATTTTCACGAATAGGCTAACTAAAGGAACAGAAGTATAGCCTGGGCGAAGGGGAATTTCAACTAGTATTTCAGCTTTTTAGGTTAAACACGGTCTATTTAGTGATGGAGAGGTATTCTCGACCTCATTACTATTTAACAGTGACAGGATTGAATAAAACTAACAGTACATATAAATGGCTGACAAATTAGTGATAATTATATGCATCTTGGACAGACAGTCAACAGTAGTTCGTGAGATACATGCTCTATACCTAATGCTTCGATGTGTAATAAACCAAATATTTAAATTCACACATACTCGCTGATGGTGTATACAAGTTAGCTTGAAGTATTGTGTTAAAATAGGATAGAAATCGAGTTGTTTGAAAAGGAGTGTTATTAATTGTTGAAATTCTCAAACTTTGTGTTCCACAAATATAGGTGATATGGTGATGCACGATGATTTCTGCCAAGTCAATCTTTACAATATGCTGAACAGCGAATACTACTCTTGTGATTGTCAGGTAGAGCATAAGTTGCAACCAAGGAGAGTACAAATCCCGGCTCAATTCATGATTATGACAGGCACCTCTGTCAATTTTGTGGTAAATTCAATAGTATTGTTTACAGTTTGAAAGAAATTTACTAAACTGCTTATACTATTGATTTGCATGCATGACTATATCCTGTAATTAAATAAGATATTATATCGTGAAGGACTATTATGGCACCCAAGTTAATTACATTTCGTGGAATAATGCAACGTACGTTCTGGATTTTTCTGAACCCATCACAGATAACCTACTGAGTACACGTAGCGGGCTGGTATGTTCTACCGACGATTCATTCGGTGTTGCATTTTTGCTTGTAGACCATTAAGAGTCCTGATTTGTTAAGATGCGAATTCATCTGCTTGGACGACAGTGAAATGTAAGCATTTTCCATATTGAGGGATGGTGAAGCCAATCTAACTATACTTGCATACTTTGACATCAAAGCACCCATTATTACAGCAGTAGACATATACGACTCAAGAATCTTACAATAGTGTGTAGACAAGACCTCGCAACGTTTGGAATTCTTCTCAAAATGACTACGAACTACTGAATAGAGGTTTTGAAATATCAGTAAGGAACTCCTAGGCTTATATTGTTCTGCACATTCCATAAGTCTCACTCAGGTGGTCGAAGAATCATGAAGCTCAAAGTATGATGTTTTCGCTGACCTGACATAAATAGTGATATAACGTTTTTGGGACACTCCTGTGTCAGCTGTCATAAATCCGAGGTGATTAGACATTATAAATCTCCCTTCTGCTAATTTGCAGCTGCTAATGCCCGTTTTGACAATGTTTATCCTCAATTTGGTTGTAAGTTTCATACTCATATGTATACGTTTTCACTTAAGGTGCGTGGATTGTTTTATATAATGGTCAGATTCAGTATCTATAAGCAACAATGGAGCTGAAACCGTGGCCAGTGCCTTAGTTGGGTGATGGATGGCAAATGTCGGCTGCATTTCAACTGTGAAAGCTAGCTGAAACTGAAATTTTTTCGTTGTTTTACTACATTTCTGAGCATCATAGGGTTGTGAACAACTGCACTTCACTCATAAGCTAATTATTTAGCAGAACAGTTTCATACGACAGTTGAGGGCCATACTTTCTACTGCAAACGAATCACAATGGGTTTACGGCCTCTCCATTGTGTTACTCAAAATTCTTAATGCATTTAAAGTTAACATAGGATGCATGGCAGTGGAAATTTTATACAGCACATTTGAACTT